CTTGCGCCGTCTAGACGTATCTTGCGATCTCTGCGAGATGGTCGATGCCGCGCTGCTGCCATGTCGTGACGCACGAGAACAGGTTCCCGAGCCACCGCATCGTGTTCTTTGACCTGATGGATCCGCGTATCTTCCTGTGCACCACTATCTCGCGCAGCCCGCGTTCCGCGGCGTTGTTGGTTGACGGAATCCGCGGATCCAGCACGAACCGGAACAGATCCTCGTAGGCGTTGCCCAGCTTGGTCATGAATTTCTCGAGCACGGTAACGTCTGCATATTTGGCCAGGATCTCTCGCACACGCTTGCGCAGGTAGCTGCGCAGCCTGCGCCGTTTCTTCATGGATCCGCTCGCCCGGAGCCCGCACCGGTGCACGCGGGACAGGACGGCCAGCGCGTCTTGCGCCTCCTGGCAGTCGGGATTCTTGCGGGCGAGATGCCTGATCTCGCGCAATATGTGCGCCCAGCACCGCTGGACGCGGTATTTCTTGTATGGGCTCCACCCGTCGGACACGATCGTTCCATCCCATTCGGGGATTACCTCCCTGAGGACATCGCCGCCCCTGCTGGGCCGTATCACGAACAGCGTGTTTCCGGTCTCAGGATCGAAGAATATCCACACCCAGACGAGCTTGCCGTTGAGGGACAGCGATGTCTCGTCCACATGCAACACGCGGGCAAGCCGTACGAGATCAAGGATTTGCCTGGCCGGAGCGTCCAGATTCGTGCCTGTCATGCACAGAATGTTGTGGACTGTCCCGTGGGACATCCTTGTCAGGTGCCGCCGCAGGCTCCTTGCGCTCATCCTGTGTGGCATGCGCTGCAAAAAGTTCTCAGCGACCTTGAGTATCACGTTCATGCCATAGTTGCCCCTCTTTGGAAGCGCCGCCCCCGGCCCGGTCTTCTGGGGGGATTCAGAAACGGCCTCGTTGCCGTCCGCGTCCACATCCGGAGGCGCCGCCCCCGGCCCGATTCCCCCAAGACCACAGACGTTGCAGCTGCATGTCTCCAGGACATGCTGTGTGGTCACGGCCTTTGGCGGAGGCGGAATCTCCGTGACGTTGCGTTTGCTGGTTTTGGTCACTGTAAGATCTGACATGCCGCACCGGGGACACCTGCCTGGCGCGTGTCTCTCAAAGCGCGTTGGGGCAGGCCTGTATGTGGCTCCCTTGTGTCCCTTCTGCCCTCCGCGCGGTTTTGCCGTGCCACTTTTGCCGTTGCCGTTTTGCTGCGGCTTTCCATGTTGTGGTTTTGCCTTCTGGCCGATGGCCTTTTTCGACGACGGCGTATGGGCGTTGTCATGCTGTGCCAGCTCGCGTTCCAGCTCCGAGATCTTCTTCAATGCCTTTGCCAGCTCGCGTTCCAGCTCCGAGATCTTCTTCAATGCCTTTACCGGCTTGTGCTCCAGCTCTGCAATCCTGTCCAATGCCTTGCCAAAGCTCCCTCGCAGAATCTCAAATTGCTGCTTGAGCGCGAGGTGCTCTGTCCTGAGCTGTTTGTACAGCTTTGTGTTCTCGGATTTGCCCTCCAATGACGAGCATGCGATCTACTAATATTTAGATCAGCACATTATGAAGATTTGTCCATTTAATTTACTTGTAATGACATAGTCAGATATCGCTGGCGCGTCGGAACGCTTGGGATCATTGCCTTGTGATGTCACAGGATCAACTGCTGGGAGGTGGCAAAACACGCCTAAATGACGTGAACACTTACCGTTATCAAATTGAGTCCTCTGAAGCGTGGATCCTTCATTATGTGCCAGTCCGTATGCCACATGGAGTTGGAGTGCCTCCCCTCGTAGCGTATCCATTTTCTCTTGCTGAACTTTGCAGCCGACGGGGTCACTAGTCCGTTCCCCTTCATTATCCTGTATCAGTAATCCCAGGTGTGCCAGTAAGAGGTTAAGTCGCCACCATTTGACTCCCATGTGTTACGGGCGTCTGCGCCCGCAGATGTCATGTGTTGGCAATGCGTCTGGTCCAGTCCAGTTGCAGGTTGGCCGGCCGGTTTTTTAAATATTCGGGCCCGTCTCGGAGCGGAACCTGTCCTGTCCCGGGCGGGATCGCCGGATGGCGCGCAGCCCGCGCTGGCTGCCCCCTACGCGGGAGCCGCAGTTGCCCCGCCGGGCCGCGGCGGGAAGGCGGTTAAAAACCCGGGAAGTTCCAGTGTGCCGGCGGCTGCCGCGCCGGGCGGCGCGCGCCCGGACGGCTGCTGCCAACACTGTTTTTGGCAGCCGGGGGGAGACGGGAGGGGGCGTTGAGCCGCCCCTCGCCTGTGCAGGGGCGGCGAGACGCCCCCGGACGGACGTGCCTGGCGTTACGCCTGGGACTCGGCGATACGCCTTGTCTTCTGCATCTTCCGCTTGACGAGATCCCGATTTATTCCCCTGTACTCGGTGCCGCTGTTGAGCATCTCCCAGACCCATTCTAGCATGACCCTGGCCGTGGCCACCCTTGCCTTCATGGTTCCTATGCGGGCTGCCAGCTTTTGATAGCGCGCCCCTATCCGGGCGTCGTGCCGGACGGCGACGAAGGCGGCCTCGACCATGGCGGTGCGCAGCCAGACGGAGCCGCGCTTTGTTATGCCGCCCGTCCTGACCGTCTCCCCGCTGTTGTGGTGCCTCGGCGACAGTCCGGCGTAGGAGACCAGCTTTTCTGCGCTGTCAAAGCGCCCGTGGTCGACGATCTCGGCAAGTATGGTTACCGCCGTAATGTAGCCTATTCCCGGGGATGGTCATGATGAGCCGCGCCCGCGGGTCGTCCCGGGCGATCTCGGCTACCCTCTTTTCGTACCTGGCGATCCGCCCCCGCAGGAAGACCATCTTGGCCAGGTGGGTGTCCACCCCCAGACGGTCGGTCTCGCTCAGGTCCAGGTTCTGCAGCCACTCCAGTCCGTCGCCGGTAAACAGTCCGCCGCGGGGGCGCTTGTAGGGATATCTGGCCAGGATCGCGTGGATGCGGTTCCTAGGAGCCTTTGTGTCGTCTACCGGGGCAAGGCGGCTGCGGGTCAGCTCGCGCATGTCCCGCTGGGCGGCATTCACCACAAACGACTCCGGGATCATGTCCAGCCTGCACAGCTCGGCCAGCTTCTCCGAGTCGGCCTTGTCGTTCTTGTAGGCGGTCTGGGTGATTATCTTGAGGTGGTACGGGTGCGCCAGCAGGGTGTTGATGCCTGCGGCCTCCAGCGTGTCGTGCAGGACGATCCAGTAGTTGCCGGTGGATTCGCAGGCGGCCGTGGCCGGCAGGTACCCGTCACTGCGGAGCATCCCGGTGAACCCGTTTATTCCGGTGATGTCGTTGTCAAACGAGGTACGCTTCAGTACCTTCTTGGCATCTCCCTTGATCGTTGTAACGCATTTCTTTTTGTGAACGTCTATTCCAATGTAATACATTCTCTCACCTCCTTTGCAGTAAAGTGGACCCGACCAGCGGAAAACTCCCATTCACCGTCAAAGCGGTATTTCACTATCCGCATACCTTGAGTCAGTCTGAGTGACGCCCTCATACGTGGCAAGGTACAATCGACTCTCAGGTCCAACAGGGCGGTTACTACGGCTGCTCTTATATCAGCAACACATAGTGTCTGAGTGGAGGGTTGGTCCCACTCAGATATTTTTGGCCATTTCATGTAGATTTAGGCACAAATGATGACGCGTGCGGCAGAATACGGGGGTTTGACCCATGCCAAATTGAGCTCTTCATGGGCATGATGGGGGTGACCTAAACTCTCACAGGTGTTAGATCTGGCACATCTGGGATTACTGCGTATATGCTGCTGTAGCTTGTAACGTGGTCTTTCCGCAGGCGCCTCGCCATGCGCAGCACGCCGACCGGCTCCCGCTTGTGTTCCTCAAGCACCATCCGTATCTCGTCCGTGGTGGGCTGCACTGGCTTCCTTCCCGGACGACGCGGCACATGCGGGGTGCCCGTCCTGCAGAACCCGGCCCACAGCCTCCTGACATGTCTGGGCGTCACACCCAGTTCTGATGCTAGCGTGGACGCGCTTTTGCCCTTCTCACGCTGTCTTATCGCGTATCGTATGGCATCTGCCGTCAGTCGTTTTACCACTTCTTTTCTTGATCGGTAAAGGGCAAAGTAATCCTTTACGCTACGCCTGATCTTAGGCGGACATAATTGTCGTACAATAGATCCGCAGGTAGAGCGCAAAAAAACTAAATCCCATCATGCCATACAGGTGACATCACCGCAAAGAATCCCCGGCAGGAATCGACAAGCGTCCTTCTATGGTTACTGTTCACGCCCCCCCCCCCATCTCATACCGCACACCTGCCACGCCTCCTTGGCGCGTGGCAGATGACCGAAAAGCTTTGATCGCAGGAAATACAACGTCTATGCATGGACAGGTCTGAGCAGATCCGATGGTGTGCCAATTGATCCGCATGTGTCAGGGCCCCCAGCTTCGGGATTGGCTGATGCGACTTGCGCTATATTTATTGTCAAGTATTCTATTTATTTCTAGGTAGAACAATGCTTTATTACAATACTATATAGATTGTTTCTATAATCCTGATCCCGTGGCAGATCCGAATACATACGCCGCCAGAATGTATGCTGCATGCCATTCTGATCCCGCCGATCCTCTTCGGGTGGGGATGTGGTTCCACATCCATGTTCTGGGCCGGCAAGCGCCCAAGGCGTCTTTGGCATGTGGGAGGTATCCTCTGCAATGAGCGCCTGCTAGCCAGTCGGCCGTAGGACGAATTTCTGGCACATGCCTATTAGAGGATTTCCCCACTGTCCCCCTCCATCCTTTTGCTAGAGCAAGCCGCAATTGCAAAGACTGGGACTTCGCTAAATAGGGCCAGCGCGGACGCGGCTCCGCAGCGATGCGGGACATGCTCTTTTCTTTCCTTGAACGCCCGGTGCACGGCAGGTGGCATCTTGGAGGCGGCGGTCGCCGCGGTCATGCCACTCCTCTCTGCGATGTTGGTTACGCAACACGATAATTGATGTTTAAAGTTTTGTGGCGGCTGTAAAGTTATGAGGACATCTGCTCCCACATTCGTAATGACAAGCTTCAAAGTATCTGATGAGACAATAACGGCTGCAAAGATGGCAATGGAAGAGAAAGGCTTTTCCTACACCGGTACAGCTCCAGGAACAAAATCATTGGCGGCAGTGATAAACAAGAACCCCGTATTTGTTGCCGGGTTTATCAACGGAGTACACCGCCCGAGTGAGGCTGACAGGCATGCAATTTGTGACACCCTTGGCCTATCAGCTGAACAAACGGCAGAGTATGATCGCCCGCCGGTAAGAAAGTTCGCAGAAATACCAAACGATCCCTTCAACTACAGGTTGATTGAAGTACTTGCAAACTATGGGGATCCGATAAGGGAGATCATCGGTGAACTCTTCGCAACGTTCTCACTACCAGGCGACGCGCCGGGACGTGGAAACGACGGAATTATGAGTGCAATAGACTTCAGCTTCCATATGTTTAGGCGCTCAGAAGGCAACACACTGCCTGAAATGACGCTCCAGGAGGCAACTCCGCAGATCAATGAAAGAGTCACGATCGTCATGGACGGAAAGTGGCTGAACTTCAAGGCCTTCGTGTCTTAACACCCATTTTTTTTTATTTTTTTATTCACCCACCCAGACGTTGCGGTATCGTGCCCGATCCGGTACAGGGTCGACAAGTCTGCTGGCACATCATGCTGCCGTGGGGTTTAGTCCCTCACATCATCCGAATCTGCAAGCTTTTGATCGTATGCCTCCATAATGCCGGACATGGAGACTGTCCCCACCACGACATTCTCCTCGCTTATGACCGGCAGTTCCATCATCTTTGAATCAGACATTTTTTTGACCGCATCGTACAGGGAATCCCCGGTGCCAACCCCTGGCGCAGCCACAATTGACGGAATTATCTCCGACAGGAGAGCATCCGGACTGCCCAGTTTCGCCAGGCCATCCGAGTCCGCAAAACCGACGTATTTGCCGTCGGCATCGACTATTGCAATGCTGTCTGGTTTTGAGTCCTTCAAGATCTGAATTGCCTCGCCCACCGTCCTGCCATGGTTGTGCAATTCGATCCACTGGGTCACCCCCTCCCCCAGCTGGATCATACTCAATCTCATTGACAACTACGCTTCTCAGAACCTCAGCCGTCGCAAATGGCATCAGGAATAGAATAGATGTCGGTAGCAAATATTAGTTAGCAAACAACTGTTTTAGGAGGCATCATACTGATTAATTTGATTTTTTAAGAAAAAATACGCGAATTATATCTGTAAAATTACCTGATGTCTGGTAGTTTTTCAGATTAGAGCACCATATCGGGGAATTCCTTAGAGACGTTCGGGCGAATCAATCCTCACCTAGGCTGCAAACCGGCTCTGGTTACAGCCGGCTGCGGCCCCATACAAATGCGCCAGAAGCAGAAGGGACACATAGAAATTTGGAGATGTCGACAGGGCCTGGACATCCGCCTGATTTTGACGGCGTCAGAGGACCAACAGCAAGCAGGAAGTCCATAAGAGGGAATCCGGTGCAAACGATCCAGCTGATCTTTCTGACACGCAGACACGGATTCTCCCGGACAAGTGCGGTTATCGCACCAATCTAGAGGGCGGTCCCGCCAAAGTGTCCCGGATGACAATATGGCCGGTAACGCGGACGTCTGTTGTGCCCCCTCATTGCGGCATATGCACGACTGCGATCAAGTGTGCTGGGCAGGCTCCAATGTGATCAGGGAGAAGCATCGCAGCAGCCCTCAGACACATAATCCGTCGAGCTCCTGCTCCGCTTGGCTTGTTCATGATCAGGATATAGTTTTTCTTATCGTGCCTCCATAGTTTTTAGTTCCAGGATGACGAGAATTCGATTTTTTGGACTAGATAAACTAACATAACGACTAACACTTAATTCGCTAAACGGAATAATTGTTCTAAGAATGAGCATCCCCGGTGATATAATAAACGTGCCTGGCGCCGTATCAACCGCTGGTTTGGGCGCCATTGCAACGCCTTCAACCCCCTCTGCACCGTCAATGCCCCCGGCCAAGGCAACACCGCCGCCCGTTGCAAACGCAGCTGGCCCTGACACTCCTGCACCCTCTGCACAGACAGAAAGTGCCACTGAAGAAACGCCACCACCACCACGCATGTTGCCAGGACTGCTTGGCATTGCAGACACGATAAAGACGCTAAGCAATCTTGGAGTCGCCAAAACCAAGGTGAACCCCGCGCAGGGAATTCTCATGGGCTGGCAGTCAATGAGCTACCTCGCCTTTGCGGCATTCTTCTCGTGGATGATAATGTCCACGGTCGCTCCGGATCTCTCCCCCGGACTTGGAAAGTTCCTGATGTTTGGCGTATTTGGCTTCTCCGCTCTAGCCCTTGTGATCATCTATGGCTCCAACCTTGTAACCGGGGATTACATGACCTCGGGAATATCGCTGATGACAGGCCAGGCCAAATGGCGGGAGGTACTGTGGCAGTGGACGATTACCCACTCGGGGCACTGGGTATCTGGATTTGTAATTTCGTGGATGATAATTATTGGCGCAGATCAAGCTGGACCTGCCGGCTCTGCATTGATGGACATGCTGGCAGGCATTGGCAATACCAAGGTCAACGTACTTGACTGGGAACAGCTATTCTATAGGGGAATCTTTGCGAACTGGATGATTGGCATGGGCGTGTGGGGGGCGTTTAGAACCCAGGAGGTCATTGCCAAGATTGTCCTGATCGGCATACCCGTATCCATATTCTTTGCCACCGGGTTCGAGCACAGCATAGTGAACCACTTTGCCCTGTCCGCTGGAATCTGGGCCGGTGCAGACTATACATGGGGAGAGGCATGGCTCAAGAACCTCGTTCCCGTAACGCTCGGCAACATTATCGGTGCGATGCTGTTGCAGGGCATGGTGTACTGGTATGCGGGCGGAATGCAGTCATGGGTCGGGCCGAACAAGTGGAAGCAGCCGCATGGGACATACAGGGATCTGGTAAGGGCAATCCGGGACACGTGGTCTCTCATGATATTCTTTGTCGCGATGGCGCCACTGATGGCCGGACTGATATTCGTCTACGCCGTAGAGCCCGCCTTGGGAATACTCCCAGGCACCAACGATCAAAACTGGATAGAGCCGATTGGAATCCTGATCTACCTAGTCGTCACTTCTCTGATTGTGAAATGGGTTCTGATGCCAAGAAAGCCCTGGTACAAGATTCCGCCGAAGTAGGCCGCCCTCCCATTTTGGGAGACAACCAGTTTTCCTTGGTTCCCGTGAAGGCATGACGGCACCCCTCCACGCGGCATTCCGGTTCCCTAACTGCGCACGATCCAGTGGGTGGCCACGATCTGCCGATCGGCAAGCCTTTCGGTTTTAACTAAACACCACTAGCGGATTCTTGGGGAATTTTTGGACAAGGCCACAGCATAAGAATAAATTATTCATGAAGATTATAAGTAAAAATCAGCACAATAACACATGGCATGCGACGATGGCATTGATTGGAGTGAAGTGATGGGACTCTCCTGGATCTTTGAGGAAGATCAGTATCACGCATAGTAGTGGCCACAATGATCCGATCACCTGGCCAGAAAAACTGCAAGTTTCTGTAATGTCGTAACCCCGTTACCCACACCGACCGTCTCAAGCCAGATCTGCCGATCCAAATTCGAAAGATACTGATCCGGGAAGATTGACGCCATTTTGTGAAGCCAGAAAGTGATTGTGGGAACACCCGAGAAGGCGGATGCGCGCGGCTGGAGTCCGGCACCGCGTTCATGCCGGGCGTCAGCGAGAAGAGGCTGGAAAAAGCGGCACGAAGGGAGAAGGACAAGTGCGCAAAGTTCAGGCTCTTGGCGTGCCTGGACAGGAAGAAGGGCCACAGCATACGCAGGATATCCAGGGATCTGAAAACCGCCTACTCGACTATCCGCGACTGGCTGCTGCGGATGCGCGACCGCGGACTGAAGGGCAGATTCAACGCGAGGCCCAAGGGGCGAAGAGCCGGGCTCCCCCTCCGGATCATCCGTACCGTGCGGCGCTGGCTCAAGAGGAGCCCGAAAAAGTGTGGCTTTGAGACCGGCTCGTGGCAGATGGACATGGTAACCGAGATGATCCGGAAGGAGTTTGGCGTAACCGTCAGGGCGCGCACGCTGCGCAGGTGGCTGCGCAGGATCGGGTTCTCCTGGAGAAAGGACAGGTACGTCCCGTACAGGTCAGTCTCCAAAGAGAGGCAGGAGGAGTTCAAAAGGGAGGTCGGGGAGCGCGCGGCCCAAAGGCGCGCGGACGGCATGACCGTCTTTGCCGAGGACGAGGCCGCGGTCCAAAGGTCCCAGAACCCCGCCTACGGGTGGAGGCCGACCGGGGGGCGCGAGCAGGTCAGGACAAGCTTCTCAAGGGAGTCTGTCAGGATATTCGGCGCGATGTCCCAAGACGAGCTGCAAATAAAGATCGTGGAGTCGACGAACTCGGAGACGTTCCGGGAATTCCTGGAGGAGATCCGCAGGGACCGTCCGCGGTTATTCATGGTCCTTGACAACGCCTCCTACCACAAGTCGAAGGCGGTCAGGGAGTACGTGGAGTCCACCGGGGGCGATGTCGAGCTGGAGTTTCTCCCGCCCTACACTCCGCAGCTGAACCCTGTCGAGACCGTGTGGAGGGACCTGAAGAAGAGGCTTGCCGGCAGGTTCTTCCGGTCGCTCGACGAGCTGAAGGCGGCGATAACCGCAATCCTTGAGCGCGAGATGGGCAACAGACTCAAAGGCTACCTTGTAGCATAATCAAACCTGCCTGTACCAATACACGACTCTGCACTCCAATAGCGTACGACAGTCGCCCGTTCCAGCATGTAATCCAGAAAAATTGAAGGACGTGGAGAATAATGTCACATGGTGGTCAGTGCCTAGCAGTATTTTTCGTCAAAATGAGCGGATTGTTCTGGCCAGTACTACGCATCAGACTGACGTGCTCCGTGTAGGCCTCCCGCCCACGAGTCATGCGCATCGCCACTTACACACCAAGTCAGGCGTGAAAACCTGTCCGCATGCACGAGCCCGCACCAAATGAGACGGAGCTTGCATAACACGCATGCAGGTGCGAATTTTTTATTTAACACCGTCCAGACAGCTGGACGTGCAGGATGTAGAAGAGATCATAGACGCAGGGCAGAAGTGCCTCAATCTGGGCAACCCAAAGGAGGCCCTGGAGTACTTTGAGATGGCGCAGAAGATGGATCCCGAGAACGTCGAGATGCAGGTAAGGAAGGGCAATGTGCTTGGCAGGCTGGGAAGGTACGAGCAAGCCGTCTCGTGCTATGACCGTGCCCTAGAGCGCAGTCCGGACAACATTCTGGCATCGGTCAACAGAGGACTGGCGCTGCACTTTTTGAAGAGATACGACGAGGCGGTATCACAGTATCAGGAGGCACTCGCCATAAAGCCGGACAGCGCCCTCATACTTTACAGCATGGCGTCAAGCTTGGTCATGCAGGGCAGAGCGGATCGCGGGCTGGAGATCCTGCAGAGGGCGGTCAGGCTCGACTACACATACGGCATCAAGGCAAAACACGACATGGACTTTGAGAAGATGTGGCAGAAGCGCAGGTTTCAGAAGATCGTCCGCAGGTAGAGCGCAAAAAACTAAATCCCATCATGCCCTACGGGTGGCATCGCCGCAAAGAATCCCCGGCAGGAATCGACAAGCGTCCTTCCGTGTGTACTGATAGTGAGCGCAGCACTGTTCAGCGTGGCGTACAGCTCGCAATTCATCAGGTTCGGCTCGATAGTCACAGTTGCAATAGCCGGCAGCATGCTGATACTTGCCGTAAGGGGCCGCAGCGCCATGGGCGCCACGATAACTGCCATCGGCGTTGCAACCATACTGATGAGCTCCATAATACAGGGCGATCTGGATCTGAAGACGGAGAACATCAAGGCGCACCTGTTCTGGTGGGATCAGCAGCCGCAGAAGATGCAGGCGCTGGAGGGATTTCCCACATGGGGCAAGATCTGGAGCCTCTCCACCGGAACCGTCTGCATCCTACTGGGCATGATATCTGCATACAGGCACGGCATGATATCTGTCAGAAACAGGCTGCTCTTTGACTATCCGTATCCCGTATGGAAGAGCAGCCAGCAGGAGATCACGCAACATAGCGCAAGCTTGGTTCCACTGAAGAGTTTGCTGTCCCAGAGAGAGCGCCTCATGCTGACCAGGTACAGGCTGATTCTGGTGATGATCGAGAACAGAAGATACCTGGTCAAAAAGGACGAGATGGTACCAGAGGAATGCACCGTGATCAGAACCGCAGACGGCAAGTCGATCTGCGGCCTGTAGGCACCAAGGGCCGCATGGCAAGGAAAGACATACGTTCTGAGAGGGCAGGATCGGCGGCACGGACAGTCTATTTATTGGGTTTGGTGTTACCATATCTGCGTTGAGGATTGCGGTAATGGGGATGGGAGTAGCAGGCTCGTACCTGATGGCCCGGCTGGCAGACTCGGAACACGAGGCCGTAGGGTATGAGAGAAGCACGGAGCAGAACCACGACTCGATATGCGCCTGGGGCACTATCAGGCCAGAGCTTGAAGGCTTTTGTAAAAAGGTCGGAAGGAACTTTGGCGACTTTATGATCCATGATGGCAAGACCATGCATGTCAGGATGAACAGTAGTGTCAAGTTCGACATCGGCCTGCACGGCCTCTGCACTTACAACAAGCTGGGTCTGATCAAGGACCTGATCAAGGACAGCGATGTAAGGTACGGCAAGGCGCCCAAGCTGGCGGAGCTGGAGGCAGAGTATGACATGATAGTTGACTGCACGGGATTTCATCGGAGCTATCTGCCAAAGCTTGAGAAGGACTTTTTCCTACCTACATATGAATACAAGGTAGAGTACGAGAACGGTGTGCCCTACGACGACTTTTACATCGAGCCGTTCCCCGGAATGTCGGGATATTTTTGGTACTTTCCGCTGGGGGAGCGGTGGGCCCACATCGGGGCAGGCGACTACTACAAGAACCACGTCAAGGCAACAGACGACTTTTTGAAGAAGCACGGCGGAAAGATACACAAGATAAAGGGCCGCCCCATAAGGCTGGCCACGCCGGGCCTGTGCAAGCCGTTCTACAACGGAAAGGTGGTAGGAGTCGGCGAGTCCATCGGGACGGTGTACGCGCTTCTGGGCGAGGGAATAATTCCCAGCATGCAGTGCGTCGACATATTCCTAGACAACATGCACGATTTTGAGGCGTATGAGATGGCAGTTGACGAGCACTACAACGTATACAACAAGGTGTTCCGGTTTGTGCACGCCAAGATACACAAGGACTTTAACATCATAAGATCCCTGCCGGACTTTATATCCATATTCAGGTACATGAAGAAGAACGAGGGCAGGTTTGGAATGGATATCAAGATAGGTGACCTCATCAAGGTGGCCAGGGCATAGCAGAGATCAGCTGTTCGCCAGGATATGACTGAGCGCGGGCCAGGCGCCCACACCGTCATCGTTTACGCCCAAACCCGCACGGAGCGGACAGAAGCATCCAAGCAGGCCTAGCTCCTCAGCTCGCCGGGGTTGTAGCTGTACGAGGCGCTCGAGTACGCCCTGCCGCCGTAGTACACGTGAATGTCATACTCACCAAGCTCCCGGAATACGGGATCCGATGCCAGAAAGCCGTACGAGCCGTCAGAGTTTGGCGGGATCTTTGCAATTGCCAGAACCCTGCCTGCCGAGTTGGAGATCACGATTCCCACCTCGTGGTCTTCCACCAGGTAGCTTACAAGGCCAAATATCATGATGTTGTCGCCACGACCGTACTGCTCCTTGTTGGTGTGCACCGATATGGTCAGGGCATCAGTTGCGTTAGTCATGCTCTGAATTGTTGCCTCGTGCTCTGCGATCTGGTCTCTCAGGGCCTGGTTTTCTATCTCCAGCAGTGCTACCTGGGGAACCGTTATCATGTCAGTCTCGATCATGAACTGGATGTTTGCCACCAGTCTCTGGTCATCCGCATCCCCCTGCGCCCAGGACAGTATGTTCTGCCGGATATAGTCCGGAATGGAGCTCTGAATCTGGGCAGATGCGGCAACCGTAACTGCCAATGTGGCAAATATCAGCAGACATATGAACAGCAGGCGCGTACCTCTCAAGTGCACATAGTGTCTCACCATCATATATGAAATACGTGGTTAAAAAAAGATAATATCTGTTTTGTATGTCTGATAATTCTGTAGCAATGTAGCTGTCGGCCAGGCGGATCTGCCATCGATCTTGTGCATACTAACAGGGAATATCCAGACCACCCGTGGCCCCCATCACGCATGCAGGGGCCATCCCTGCCGCGCGTGCGACGGGACTGCACAGCAAGTGGCGCGGCTGCACGATCGGCGCACGTAAGGCAGAAGGCTTTCGGATTGGCTCAAAGGCTGACAGCCCCAAAGCCCTCCCGCACGGTGCGCGCAGACTCGAGGTTGTACCGGTATATTATCCCCGAGTACTCCTGCAGAAGATCCATCATGCCGTCCACCGAATCCGCAAGGTAGAATCCCGGGCAGTCTCCGGTGAATTGAAATGTAGCGTGAACCCGGGCACGACCGCCCTCGCCTGCAAGCCACGTGGAGAAGGGATACAGATAACAGACGCCCGGCCGTCCGGGATGAATGCCGCACGCCCCGTCCCCGTCAAGAAACCTGCACGACACATGCGTGCCGTCGTCGGCCGCCGTCTCGCCCTCTTTTCTCTTCAGATTGATCATGGTCATCAACGTACTACGGCCGTCGGGTCCTGCTTCCTCCCAGGTAGCGGTCACAGTCTCCTCCCTGACAAAGTCCGATGCCCGACGGTACTTTAGTCCAGTGCCTATGGTGATCAGATCATCGTATGTCAACGGCAGCCTTCCCTGCCTGTTGCAGCAGTTGTGGCAGTCTGGCCAATAGCACTTCCACAGCACATACTTTTTGTGATCCACAAGGTACGGGATGTGAAATGTCACGTCACCTGTTTGTACCACACGATCCGACACGTTTGATATCCTGCGCAGTACAAAGTCCTTGATAACGGGATCGATGTCCCAGTCACGCTCCAGCAGCATTAGAGACTCAGATATCTTGTCCTGAGACAAATCAAGTTATAACCCGCACGGTATTGTTATTAATGTTGGGCGTCAAAGGCAAATACGCGGCGGCAACAGAGAACAGGCGGTTTGTCTGGAAGGAGATAATCTGGCCGCTGATACTGGAGGTAAACGATGTAGCCTTTACCTTGGAGCAGTACCAGGTAAAGCGCGACTATGTCTCAAGGAGGGACGGCATCAGCATCTACAGGCTCTCCCGCGGATTGGCATCCCTGCTGCAAAAGGGCCTGCTGAACAAGGAGAACAAGCTGTACTCGATCCACTACCGCCTCATCCCATACATGAGGCTCAAGGCCGAATGCGATTATGCCACGGCGCTAAACGAGACAAAGATGTGGCCAGTGGTGAAGATCGCACAGGGGTAGGACAGGTAGTCCGGACAGCCATTTGCGGGGTTGGTGCGTAATTCTGCTCCGTCCTGCTTATGTGCGTCTCCCGCCGCGTTTTCACCGGCGGTGCTTTGGTGCGTGTCAGGCTTTTGTTGCCCGCACGCCGTGATCAGCTACTGACGGGTCGGATCATCAGGCGCACTCCGCGTGCGCCACGCCACCGTAGGAGGGTATTGGTATGTTTAGCCGGTTGGCGCACTCGAACCGGTTGAGGACCCGGATGTTCCAGGCGATCGCCCTTCCCTTGGCGAACAGGCGCCGGTTGTCCTTCCGGACGAACCGGCAGTGCAGCTGGTGCCGCCGGGTCTCCTCGGCCCCGAAGATGCCCTCTATCAGGGCCCTCTTTCTGTACTCGCTATCGCTGAACATGCCGGCTGCCTTCCTCCTGTGTGGCTTGCCACGGTTGACGGCATCCTTCCGTTGCCTGATGTCGGGGATCATGCCCATCCAGAACAGCAGCTCGCAGTTGTAGTCAGAGTCGTACCCCTTGTCCCCGTCAAAGAAGTTCCCCGCAAAGTCAAACCCGCGGCGCCTGATCTCAGCCAGCATGACTGGAAGCATGGTCGTGTCGTTGATGTTGCCGGGCGTGGTGAACGCCGCCAGCACGATCTGCAGACCCAAGATGGCCGTTATGTGGTATTTCCAGTAGGTCTTTTGGCATGTCTCGACAAAGTCGCGCTCCTCCCTGTTCGGCCTCTCGACGTATTCGTACCTAGTGGTCTCCGCCGCGCTGCTGTCGGCGCCCAGCGGACCCGTCGCCTCGTCCGCCTCTTTGATGCAACGGCGGGCCGTCTCGGCCACGATCAGATCGAGCCAGTCTGCCGGTATCGTCTGGAGGTGCCTGACCAGTGTGGTATGGTCCGGGACGGGCTCGTTGTCCCATGGTGTCCGCATGCCTCGCAGGTCCGATTCGACTCCGCGATAGGTGATGTTGCCTGCCATCATCAGCAGACAGGCAAAGTCCAGTTTCTCCTTGGAGTGAACCGGGGGACGGCCCCTGTTGCCGTTTTCCCGGCGCGGGCAAGGGTTCTCCCGGATTATCTCGATCAGCTCCCTCTTCAGACTAGACGCCTCGACTTCCTTTGCCAGTTCATAGTACTGCCAGTATCCTTCCCGTCTGTTGTGTTCGCTCATTGCCGCGTGCGGGAGATCGCGGATCATTGAACGTATCGGACGGGTCTAGGCGGTTCGGAGAATTACGCACCAACCCCGCCATTTGCAGAATAATTATATGGCAACCGGATTGCAACAGACACTGTAGCCCGATAGTCTAGTTAGGTCAAGGATCTCGCGCTCTGGATCTTACCTGAGGGGATACGCGGGGACGGCAGTTCGAATCTGCCTCGGGCTACCACCCTATCTTGAGGCCTGTGCTATTCTCTCCAGCTCGTTCTTCTTCTTTACCGATGGCGCGTCGGAATCGTTGTTCTGCGCCCGGATGAGGTGCTCGGCCAGGTGCTCCTCGATTGGCTTTGGGTTGGAGAAGGTCGCCTCCTTGACGCCGTCTGCGATAAACCTCAGGGCCAGATCCACGCGTCTGATGGGTGCCACATCCACCGACACGTGGTATACGGTGCCGCCGTAGACTATTCTCGTGGTGTCCTCGTTGGGCGCAGAGTTCTCCACTGCCCGCACCAGAACCTCCACGGGGTTCATGCCGGTCTTGATGTGTATGATCTCAAAGGCTACCTTTACCGTGTTGAAGATGTTCATCTTCTTGCCGGTCATTCTGCCCGTATTCTTTGCGTACCTCTTGCCAAAATGCATCATCTTGTTTGCCAGCCTCTCCACTAGGTTTACGTCTGCCTTGTTGAAGCGCTTGAGTGCAGAGCGACCAAAGGTCATGGGCATGATCATCTTCTTCATGGATATGGCGGTCTTGAGGCCAGGATCCCTGACCTCGATCTTTGATATGTCCCATTTTCTGAACAGAAGCAGATTCTTTGTCTGGGCCATTGCACTACCGCCTGGGTTTCTCCTTTTTTCCGATTACCAGCTCGTGCAGCGACGTGCCGTTTACCTTGAATACCTTGTACCGCACGCCCGGAATGTCCCCCATGGCGCCGCCCTGCGTAGCCCCCATGCCTTCAATGTGCACCTCGTCGTGCTCGTCGATAAAGTTCATGGCGCCGTCGCGGGGCAGAAACGCCGTGACGGATCTGCCGTTTTTGATCAGCTGTACACGGACGCACTTTCTTACCGCAGAGTTGGGCTGCTTGGCCTCCACGCCCACCTTCTCCAGCACTATGCCGCGTGCCTGCGGCGAGCCGCCCATCGGATTTGACTTCCTGTCCAAGCCAAGCTTTCTTCGTTTGTATGTGGAGATGGACCAGCGCTGTCTCTTCTTCTTGGCCTTGAGCACGCGTCCTGCAAATAGTCCCAGCGGTGATTTTGCCACAGCATTACAACTCCATCTTTGCAGCTTCGGGACTGTTGATTAGAACGTTGGCGATACCAAAGTATCTACGGGCAAGCAGTCTTGCCTTCTCGGCGTTGCGTCCGTCCCGGCCCACCACGAGACCCTTGTTGCGGGGATCTACTACAACTATGGCCTGCTGTGCCCCATCGGGGCGCTTTGTTATCTTTGCCTCGGTGACCAGCTTGTTGTTTAGTAGGTTCTTCAGGAATGTTGCCGGATCCTCGTTGTACTCCACCAACTCGATGTTTCTCCCGACCATCTTCTGCAGTGTCTTGATGTGCGCCCCGTTTTTTCCTATCGCCAGGCCCATCTTGCCCGAATTTACTACAAATATGATGCGGTTCTGTTTTTCGTCCTCCACGCAGTCCCGGGGGTTTACATTGGCAACATTCTGAAACAACGACATCAGACGCATCTGATCGATTGTCAGGTTTATTGATTGTGTCAAGATGCCTCCATTTTAGATCAGAATCAGCCTGACTCCATTTAAACCTTCAATAGTACTGTGCACTGTCACTCTTCTTCAGACTCGTTGATTATGGATGTTATGCTGTTTTCAGCTAGTGAGTTAAATGATACGGTAGATACACGAAACTGCCGTCCGCACAGCCGTCCCAATGCCATCGAGGTGCCCGCAAACTTGAGTGTCCGCACCTCATGCGCCTTTGCTGCCTCCTCAAGCCGGATCATGGACGAGGTAGGCACCGATCTGGAGAGCACCACCAGCTTCGAGTCGACCATGGTTCCCAGCACCTGCTTTGCGCCCAGAACGCACCGGTTCTCCTTGATCTCGTCACGAAGCGTCTTTTGTAGCAGTTTGTTCATGTCTGTAGGCTTGATCTCACCGCAGGGGCTTTATAACATTATTGAAGACCAAAAGGATCCGGTCAAAGGCCACAACGGGTGCCATGTCCCACGAATTGCACAGGCATGATATGCTCAACGTTTTGGTTTGTGTTTACTAAATTAAACATGCGCAACTAAGAGATGCACCATGGATCCGATCCCATGAGCCTGTCTGAGTTCATGAGCAGGATAGATGACAACCCCTACTACCCTGTGGATCTGGCAGACTATCCCGGCATGTTTGACTTTAGAATTACGCAAAACGGCATGGTTTACCTTGAGCGACTCAGGGAGGAGCTGGAGTCGGGCTCAGAGTTTTCCGATGCAAAGTGTCTCTACATGGGCATCCTCTACCTTGGATACGCGGTTGCCACGAGGAGCCCCAAGGAGTGCAAGGGGTGGCAGGTGTACATGTTTCTGGTGGGAAAGACAACAGACATGTACACGCCGGAGATCAAGGCTGATCTTATGCAGATGGGCTGCATTGAAGACAACCCGGAGTACAACCCAAAGCTGTACAAGCGGCACCTTATCTGGAAGATGAAGGCGCTCACGTCCACCGGCTGCGGCGGGCCGGTCATGGTAGAAGAAGAGCCGTAGCTTGCGCAGAGAAGCCTTTTGCTGCAGTCGATATACCGAACTAACTCTTCTTGCAACAGATGTCTTGTGCTAGATTCCGCTTTCTTCGTCTGGAGCCTGGACGGAGTCGGCCTGGGTCTCTGCGGAATCTGTCTGGACTTCTGTGGAACCAGGTGCATCCGTGGAGTCGGCCTGGGCATCTGCGGAATCGTCTCGGGCTCCCGCGGACTCCATGTACAGATCCACGGTTCCGCTTCCGATGGGTATGTTGCTTCCCACTATGACGTTCTCCGTCACGCCCTTAAGCTGCTCCACCTCGCCGCCTAGCGCCGCGCGGGCTATGGTGGGAACTGTAATCTCAAAGGCTGCCCGGGCAAGCACACTGTCCTTGGTTCCTGCCACACCGTGACGGCCTATCTGCTGCATCTTTCCCTGGGAGCACATCAAGTCTGCCACCAGCATGATGTACCGAACATCCACCTCCAGACCCTGATCCTCCAAGGTGGACTTGATCTCGTTTATCAGGGCGCTGCGGGCGGCCTCGATTCCCAGCGTGCCTGCAATCTCAAACACATTATTGGTTCTGACGTTCTTGACGTCTATGCCCTTGACCCCCAGCACCTTGGCCAGGTTGGAGCCCGTGGTCTGGATCACCCACTCGTTGTTCTTCTGGATCAGGGTGACCCGCTCTATGTCGGGGACGCCCTTGACAATGGCGTTGAGAACCTTGTTCCTGGTAGCTATTATGGTCGGCGCGTCAAGCTCATCTACCAGGTTCAGCACCAGCTGGTCCCGGTTCTTCTCTATCTTGAACTTTTTGTTGGACGACAGCGCAGTCTTGACGTCATCTATGGTGCAGCCGCGATCCCTCATCTTTTTGTAGTCCAGGTTCAGTGCTATGTGCGAGGCGTAGTCAGTGGGGCTGTCTATAACCAGCTGGCCCACCTTTGTCTTGAGCACGTTCCTTGCTATGTCGATTGCCCTTTCGCGGGATCCTTTTGAGTCCTGGTCCAGATAGATGTCCATGGTGGGCGTAACGGGCTTTTTGCGCGCATCTACCAGTTCGATGAGCCTCGGAAGTCCCAGGGTGACGTTTCTCTCCCTGATTCCCGCAAAGTGAAATGTCCTCAGGGTCATCTGTGTTCCGGGCTCGCCTATGGACTGGGCGGTAACGATGCCCACGGCCTGTCCTGGCTCCACCTGTGCCTTGTTGTACAGGTCCAGCCCCTTCCTGCATACCTTCTCGGCACCCTCCACACTGAGAGACGACTCGTGCAGCCCGGCAGTCACCATCTGCCGTAGCCTTGGGTTGAACGTTCTCGTGTACTTTTGTGCCAGCGCCTCCATCTCTTCTGTGGTGGCCTCGTCGTCCGTATCCACTATGGTCTCAGAGTCTATGAGCCTGTGTATGTTGAATGCCTCGCCGTGATCGCTCTTTGCCACGTCTATGCCGTCTTCGCCGTACAAGAACTGTATGATGTGGCCGTGGGGATCCCGCACGGTGCCGTCGTACTCGAGCCGGATGTGTTCCAGAGCGTTGATAAGCCGGCGCTGCATGTATCCGCTCTGCTGCGTTCTCACCGCGGTGTCCACAAGGCCCTCCCGGCCTGCCATTGCGTGAAAGAAGAACTCAAGTGTGGAGAGGCCGTCGCGGTAGTTGGACTTGACGAATCCGTGGGCATCCGGGTTGCGGTCGTTCTCCTCAAAGTGCGGTAGGGCGCGGTTGTTGTACCCCTTGAGGAGACGCTGTCCACGGCGGGACTGCTGTCCCAGCGAGCCTGCCATCTGGCCGATGTTCAGTGCGGAGCCGCGGGCGCCGGTGGTCGCCATTATCTTGGCGGGGTTGTTGTCGTCAAAGGAGTGATCGGCGATCGAGCCTGCATTGTCTCTGGCCTTTGAGAGCTCGTTTACTATGTAGGCCTCCAGCGCCTCGTCCTTGGAGAGGCCACGGGTGAGCTTTAGCGTGCCGTCTTCTGCCTTTTGCGCATAGTCGGCCACCACATCGTAGGAGTGCTGTATGTTGTTGAATATCTCCTGGCGCGTTGGGTCGGAGAGCTCCAGATCGCCGTATCCGTAGCTGAACCCGTAGTGCGTGATGAACTGCTTTGCGATTATAAGTACGGAGTTGAGGAATGTCTTTGCCTGCGCGTTGCCGTAGTCCTTTGCTATGCGGTGCAGGACGCTCTCAGGCTCCTCTGCGCCTATGGAGGACTTGTCTATTACACCTCTGAGGAGTTTGCCGTTTTTTATCACCACATCCTTGTCCTTGCCCTTTGTACCCTTTGACCACTTGGAGGTCATGATGTAGTTAAAGTCCCCTGGAAGGAACAGCGAGAAGAGCTGCTTGCCCGTATACTCACCGCGGCTTTCGGGCTCCGGAAGCTTTCCATTGTATCCTCCAAGCATTGCAAGGTTTGCAAACTCCTGCGAGGTCAGCGTGGTTCCGTCACGGGTAAGAAGGTACGCCCCGGTCACAAAGTCCCGAAGTCCGCCGATTATCGGGCCGCCGTATCTGGGAGATATCAGCTGATCCTGCACCCTCATCAGGAGGATGGCCTCGGCCCTGGCCTCCTCGCTCTGGGGAACGTGGAGGTTCATCTCGTCGCCGTCAAAGTCTGCGTTGTATGGCGGGCAGACGGCCGGATGCAGCCGGAACGTCTTGCCCGGCAGCACCCTGACATAGTGCGCCATTATGGACATCTGGTGCAGTGATGGCTGCCTGTTGAACATTACGATATCTCCGTCCAAGAGGTGCCTCTCAACCAGGTAGCCGGTCTCCAAGGTCTCGGCTATGGCTGACCTGTCCTCAACAAAGTCCAGCCGGATCTTTACGCCGTCACGGCGCACGATATAGTTCACGCCGGGGTACATGCTGGGCCCGTTGAGCACCAAGTTCCGCATCCGCTGTATGTTCCACTCGGTCACAACCTCGGGTATTGTAAGCTTCTTTGCCACGGGCACCGGAACGCCCACCTCGGAGAGATCCAGGTTCGGATCCGGCGAGATTACGGTTCTGCTGGAAAAGTCCACCCTCTTCCCTGAGAGCGAGCCGCGGAACCGCCCCTCCTTGCCCTTGAGCCTCTGCGTCAGTGTCTTCAGCGGCCTGCCCGAGCGGTGGTGCGCCTGCGGTATGCCAGACACCTCGTTGTCAAAGTATGTGGTAGTGTGGTACTGCAGAAGGTCCACCAGATCCTGAACTATGAGCGGCGGGGTGCCGGACTCCTTACTCTCCTTGAGCCTCTGGTTTACCCGAATTATATCGACTATCTTGTGCGTCAGATCGTCCTCGGAGCGGATGCCCGTCTCCAGTATTATGGAGGGGCGCACGGTTACCGGGGGCACCGGCAGAACCTGCAGTATGAACCACTCTGGCCTGGCGGTGGCAGGATCGTACCCCAGCAGCACCAGGTCCTCGTTGGTTATCTGCGCAAACCGCCCGCGGAGCGTAATTGGAAGCAGCCTGTGTTCGCCCAGCTCGGTCTTCTCGGAGAAGGACGTGGGCTTGGTAAATATGAGATCGTACTGGATCTTGCCGCAGTGCGGGCATTCCTTTGCCTTTCGTGCCTTGTCAATTATCGCGTCGGGTATCTTCTTCTGGGAGATTACCGTGTACGCCGCCTTTTTGTTGCGGATAACGTCAAACTGCTCCAGGTCAGCCTGTGGCACCTTGAGGCGGGAGCACGATCTGCAGGTGGATATCAGCAGCTTGTAGATGTTGTCAATGAACGCAATGTGCAGCACGGGCTCTGCCAGCTCAATGTGCCCAAAGTGTCCCGGGCACCTAGCCGCCGTATTCCCGCAGGTCAGGCACTTCTGGCCCGGCTCCAGCGTGCCCAGCCTGCCGTCCATGAGACCGCCCTGCACGGGCATGCCGTCCTCGTCGTAGGTCTCCGGTGCGGTAATCTCTGCCACGGAGTATTTTCGGATCTCGTTTGGGGACCAGACGGAGAACCGGATGGAGCTTATCGATTTTATTACCTGGTACGACATTATACCTTCTCCTTTATCAGCAGGCGCGGGGCCACGTTGAGGCTCTGCATCTCCTGCAGAAGCAGCTTGAACGCATAGGCCACAGATACAGATGACACCTTGGCCTTGTCTCCGCATATGCGGCACAGGTATCTCCGCTGCTTGATGTCGTGGTATGCCACTAGGCCGCAGCGTTCACACACAAATATCTCGGACCTGTCAGACTCGTCAAGCAGCCTGTCCTTGAGGATCATGGATGCGCCGTAGGCGATGAGGCAGTCACGCTCCATCTCGCCGAAGCGAAGGCCTCCGCCCCGGGCGCGGCCCTCCGTGGGCTGCTTGGTAAGCATCTGGACCTGGCCGCGGGCCCTTGCGTGAATCTTGTCAGCTACCATGTGGTGGAGCTTCTGGTAGTAGACCACGCCGATAAAGATGTCCACCGGGAATGGCAGGCCAGTACGGCCGTCGTACATGGTCTCCTTGCCGGAGTACTTGAATCCGTAGGTGCTCATGGCCTCCTTTACCTCGTCCATCTTCTCGCCCACAAACGCAGAGCCGTCAAACTTTCTGCCCCGCAGGGCAGCTGCCTTGCCGGTAACAGACTCCATGAACATTCCCACCGTCATTCTGGAGGGAAACGCATGCGGGTTAATGAGCACGTCCGGCGAGACGCCCTCGGCCGTGTACGGCAGGTCCTCGCTGTCTGCCAGGATTCCCAGAACGCCCTTCTGGCCGTGCCGCGATGCGAACTTGTCGCCGATCTCCGGCACTCTCATGTCCCTTACTCTGATCTTGTACATCTTGCCTCCCTCGCTTGACTGTGTCATCACGACCGTGTCCACCACGCCGGTCTCAGACGGCCTGACTCCGATGGATGTGTCGCGCCTTGAGGGCCCGCTGCCGGTCTCAAACTCACGGTACTCCTCTACGAACCTCGGGGGGCTGGTCTTGCCGATCAGAATCTCGCCTCCTGCAACCTTGGCCTCGGCAGCAACCACGCCGTCGTCCTCCAGCTGGCCGTATGCCTTCTCTCCCTTGTAGCCGCGTATGTTGTCATCTGCGTTTGGTATCTCAAACGAGTCCCGCATTCCGCCGGGGTACTGCTTTGCCTCCGCGTCATAAATCCGGTAGAAGAACGTCCTGGCCAGACCGCGCTCCACTGATGCCCTGCTGAGGACTATGGCGTCCTCGATGTTGTAACCGTCAAATGGGAGCACTGCCACCACACAGTTCTGGCCTGCGGGCCTGTCCTCCAGACCCAGCAGGTTCATTGCCTTTGTGGTCACGATGGGAGTCTGCGGGTACAGCATAAGGTGCTGGCGCACGTACGTGCTGGTGTTCATCGTGGGCGTGGAGAATCCCAGGCTCTGCTTTGCCATGGCAGACTCGTAGGTGTTTCTAGGCGACTGGTTGTGCTCCGGGTACGGGATGATGGAGGCTCCGGCACCCAGGATTGCAGGCGTGAATATTTCAAGGTGTGTGTGGTTTTGGATATCAGAATCGTCTATGGCGATGTAACAGTTCTCCTCCTCGTTGGCATCGATGAGCTCGATCATTCCCATCTTCAGCAGGTCAAGCCACGAGAGAGTCCGGGCGCTGATCTTTTTTAGCGCCGTCGATGTGACCAGCGGCTTGCCGTCACGCACTATGATAAGGGGCCGCAGCACGCGTCCCGCGTTGCAGTTTACGTACATTCGCTTTGTAGCGCCGTCCACCTCGGGCTTCTGGAAGGCAACCCCCACATGCGCATGTATCTTGGAGTTTCTCCTCAGGTTCCGCAGCTCGTCGGCCAGACCCTCGCCGTCCTTGTAGTACCCGATGAGCCTTCCGTCCACGAACACCCGGGTTCCCTCCCGCTTGAGATCGTCGGTGGTCTCGGCAAACGTAGCGGTGCCCATGTCATAGAGTCTCTCGATGATCTCCTCGGACGGCACGTTGACAGATATTATGGCAGACAGCGCCAAGTTCTTTACCAGACCGCAGTTGGAGCCCTCCGGTGTCTCGCTGGGGCAGATCCTTCCAAAATGCGTCGCGTGCAGGTCACGTGCCTCAAAGTTGGGCTGCGTTCTGCTCAGCAGCGATTGGATTCTTCTCAGGTGGCTTATGGTCGAGAGATAGTTGGTCCTGTCAAGCAGCTGCGTCACGCCGACCCGGCCGCGTCCCCAGTTTCCCGTGGCAATGGCATTGTTCAGCTTGTCAGTCACTATGCCCGGCCGGATGGCAGCGGCAACGGCGTTGATTCCCCGCTTCTGGCCGGATCTCTCCAGCTGGTACTTCATATCACGTATCAGGTTCTTGAACGCTCCGCGGAACAGCTCCTCCAGCATCTGTCCTGCAAACTTGATTATCTTGTTGCCGTAGTGATCCTTGTCGTCAGGGGATATCCAGCCAAGTTTCAGCTCCAGCAGCTTGCAGGCGGCCTCGCCCAGAAACTGCGCCTTCTCCTTTCTGTTCTCCGGATGCTTGCCCAGGTGCGGCAGTAGGCTCCAGTCCATCACTATCTCGGCGCGCTTGATCTGAAACTCCTCCTGCATTCCCGGTGCAAACCTCTTGCTGATGTAGACTATCGCATCCTTGGATGTCTGCACGTCCGCGGTCTTCTCAAAGGAGGGCTCCAGCTCGTTTTGTATCTCCTCCACCAGCGATACCGCCCCTGCAATGTCCAGATCCGACTCCAGCCCCAGTGCGCGCATCAGGGTGATTACGGGGATGTCAACCGGGGCGCTGGGAATCTTTGCCACTATGAGGCCGTCATTCTTCATAACCAGCTCCAGCTTGGCCCTGTAGCCCACCACCGAGGAGTATATCTTTGCCTTGAAGACCGGGTTGCCGCTGACCGTCTCCCGGTCCACCATGATCTTACTGTACGAGAGATCCTCCAGCCCGACTATGACGCGCTCAGATCCGTTTATGATAAAGTAGCCGCCGGGGTCATTGGGATCCTCGCCGTGCTCGACCAGCTTCTTTCGTGGAAAGCTGCGCAGTACGCAGGCGTTGGACTTGATCATTACGGGGATGTCGCCTACATGGATGTATCTGGACTCAAGAAACTTGCCGTCCTCCACCACGCTTGCCTCCATCATCACGGGAGCCACATACGATACATTCCGCAGGCGGCTCTCGGCAGGCGTGGTGTGCGTTATGGAACCGTCAAGCTCCATCATGCGTGGCTCCTGCAGTTTGACCTTTCCCAGCTGTATCTTGTAGGGGTACTCTGTGTTCTCGATCTCGATCTGACCCACCTCGTTGGCAGCGTTCTGAAGCCCCTTTACCCGGAACTCGTCAAACGAATTGAGGTGCTGCTTGGCGATTCCGTTCATACGGAGTATATCCTGTATAATGGGCCAGCGACTGTTCTGTGACGATGACATGTCTCCCTAATCCTCTACTACATATCGGTAGTAGATGCTGGTGCCAGCGGTGCTGCTCTTTCTTGTGATCTTTATCAGGTCTCCCGGCTTGACGTCCAAGCCGATAATTGCGGGATCGCTTACCAGTATCAGCGGAAGCTCCGTCGGCTGGCAGTTAAACTTTGCCAGAATCCCCTGTGTCTGATCCTTGGGCAGGATCTCGTGCTTTGGCACATAGATGTGATCCGGTACCAGGATGGGGTTCTTCTTAACTACCATGAGATGGATCCTCGCGCACCATACTAACTGCAGATGAGAATAACATGAACAAACTAGAGTCAAGTCGCAGACGGGTTAATATATATTTAACTGGCGAGATTCAGCCTGGATCTCCGCACCCGGCTACGCCTGCGCCAAGGTTCCGTGTAGCGATTCGGGCCTGGCGCAGGAAACCGCCGGGATCACGCTCTGCCCGGCTTGAAGATGCTGTCCAGTGCCAGGGAGCCGTCCGCGCCGGTGTACACTCCGATCTTCTCCCACTGGCCGTCGCGCACCCCCCACACCTCATAGTCCGCACTGGCCAGATCGCCTGCCTCGTTCAGGCGTATGTCACCTGTCGTACCACCATACCTGCTTACAACGTCTGCGATGACTGCCTTCATATCCGCGGCGTTCACACTCTGCGCCTCCTGCATGGTAAGGGCCATGACCCACACCGCATCGTATGCGACGGTCAGGAACGAGGTCGGCTCCCTTCCAAGCTGCTCTGCCGTGGCGGATACGACGCGATCGCGTGCGGCGCTCTCGTGTACGGAAGGCACGGTCGATGTCAGCCCTACCGAGCTTGAGAACCGTCCCACGACGGGATCGTCGACTATGCCCTGATCTTGTGTGAGCGCGGCGGAGCCGAACCAGTTGACGTCATCCAGTATCCCGTACGAGGATGCAAGCCGCATAAGTCCCAAGCCCTCGCCGTAGCTGGAGAGCAGTACCGCAACCCTGTCACTGCCATGCTCCTCCACCATGCCGCGCACCATATCTGCCAAGATTGGCGCGGATGCGGCAAACTCCGGGGACTTGGGGTTGTACCGTATTCCCTCCTCCACCGTACCGCCAAGCTCCGAGAAGACGTCCCTCACTGTGCCCACTACGCCCTCGCCCCACGTGTCTCCGCGGTACACCGGAATCAGGACATCTATCCCGTGGCTCTTCACGAGTCTTGCCAATACTTCAGATTCGTAAAGTTCGCTTGGGACCATGCGGTAGACGCTGTCGCCGGGCACTGCAAGTCCCGGAGACGACGAGCAGCATGACAGGATCAGCATGTCATTTGAGTCCGCGTACTCCTTGACGCTTTCGACGTTTGCGCTGGACGCGGGCCCGACTACCGCCCGCACCCCGCCTGCATGGAGCAGTGCCGCCTTTTCAAGCGCCACGGCCGGATCGGTTGCGGTGTCCTCCGGAACCAGCCTCATGGTCCACGGCTCTCCCTGCTCCCGGAGGTAGTCGTTGACGTCTGCCTCTGCGAGTTTTGAGAACGTCAGTATCTCCTCCCCTAGGGGGGCCAGATCACCCGTAAGCGGAAGGAGTAGACCCACCGGCACCTCGCCTGAGAGTCTGAGGCTGCCTGGCGCATCATCGTCTCCCCACCCGGTAAGCGCAAAGTATGCAACGGCTATAACAGCAAGGGCCACCCCCACCACGATCTGCTGCTCCTTGGGCTTCATCACACATACCAGTAGGTAGGCGCGGATAAAGATTACCGCCCTCCTACAGGGGTGTGGATCGGGCCCCGTGCCTGCCAGAGATCAAAGAGTTAATATATATCACTAGTGATATCACTAGTGATGAGCTCTGATAGATCTTCCAGGGGTAGAAGTGCCGTTCCAAGAGGCTTCTCCAGATACTACGTTCTGGAGCTTTTAAGGAAGGAGCCTCACACCGGCAAGCAGATCATAGACTGCGCGTCCGAACAGAGCCAGGGAATCTGGAAGCCGTCACCGGGACTGGTCTACCCGTTGCTGGGCAGGCTGCTGGATGAGGGCCTGATCGAGGAGATCGAAGGCGGCAGATACCAGATGACAGAAAAAGGGCATATCCACCGCAGAGGACATAGACAAGATAAACGACACGATCAAAAAGCAGATTGATGTTCTGACCAGACTGGGCAGCGCAGGTCATTTTGTGGCAATGGATGTAATAGAGAGGATGATATCCATGGGAGTGGTTTTGAGCGCAAACGTGAAGAATATGAAACAGCGTGAGACCGCCCGGTACAAGAGTTTTCTCGAGTCGGAGCTGAAGGCCCTGAATGAGAAGAGTGCCGAGAATGGGGAGGATGCCCCGCCTGAGAAGGATAGTACCGTTGGGGATGGGGAGGATGCCCCGCCTGAGAAGGACAATACGGCCGGTGGACGGGAAGTCAGGGTGGAGTAACACCATTTAGTGCTTGAGACATGATCGACCCCAAGGACGCGGCCCGGATCATGGATACGCTGGCAAAGAACCTGGCCGGCGTGTCACGGGACGGCAAGAACTTTGAGAAGCTTCCGGATACTTTCTGGGGGTATTTTGCCCGGGGCCACGACTCCAAGGGAAAGTTCGGGGTGATTGTGACCTACTCTGAGACCGGCTCTGACGTGGACGATCTCATCAGGATGTATGAAGAGTGGGTCTCAAAGAACCTGCACGGGGAAGGGAGCCGTCCCGGCGCATGACGTCGACATGCCGCATCCTAGGCAGCCGGTGCCCGTGCCTGCCGTGAGCGCCTCTTACTGAACCGGCAGCCGAACCGGGCTGTTGCGGAACCGGCGGCCTTAATCCATAACTTTTTATGGTTTTTTAGTTACGTGACCTCATGAGCAACAAACCCGGAACGGTCTATGACCGCATAGCGGAGCTTGAGCAGGATGTGGCCACCCTCAAAAAAGAGATGAAGATAATCAAGTCCGTGTTCCGTGCCAAGATAGCTAGGTATGAAGTCAGCGCTATCAGGGAAGGCAAAGAGGTCTCATCTATTATCGACTAGACCCCTTTGGTCATGTATCATCTTCAGAACATAGTCTGCGTCCGGGGCGCTCGGGCTCATCTCAAGGTATTCCGTGAGGCGCTCTAGCGCCGTGTCGTGCCTGCCCAGGTGTGCCTCCAGAATCCCCATGTCTCGGACATCCTCTGCCGAGTCTGGCTCCAGCGCCAGAACCAGGCTGGAGCACACCATTGCCTTGTCGTATGCAAAGGACTGCAGGTACGCGTTCTTCAGGTTTCTTGCCATTCTGGCCAGAACCTGCCCGTGGCTGATCTCGTTGAGAAATTCAGGTACTAGTGTGAGCTGGTCGCCAAAGCTTGCATCAAGCAGATCCTGGAGGTCGTCTGCGTCCATAATTGAACCGCGATTGTAAGGGTCAATGACGTACTCGGTGCCGTGCCTCGCCAGCACATGACCCGGAAATCCCACAATCGCCAAGTCAAGGCCGATGTACCTGGCCAGATCCGCATATATGACTGACAGAGAGATGGGGATTCCCCTCTTTGTGTCAATCACCTGATCCAGCAGGCTGTTGGCCGGCGCGTGGTAGTCGACCTCGTTGCCGCCAAACCCCAGAACATCGAACATGTACTCGCCAAGCGCAGATATCAGGTATGCGTCTGACTTGTCCTTGGATACCCTATCTGACAGGGATCTGCCCATCTGATCCAGCGTCGCAAGGTACGGGCCCGCGTCTAGGTTTGTCTGTCCCACAAGTCTTGAGAGGGCAAGGCACTTTCCGGCAAGGGTCTGCCCCTCGTCTCTGACAAGTGACATCCATTCTGCGTATTCCAAGACTATGCCAGAACCCTCTTGGTGTACGCCTCGGGATCCCTGAGCTCCCTGGTGGTGGGCGGCTGCGCGTCCAGGGTCTCAAAGGGCACGCTGTCTGATACTGCCGCCGTAAAGTCCCGCCCGATGTTCTTTCTGACGCGGTAGGACGATGGGTCGGTGCCCATGAATGTGGACAGGTAGTTCTCAAAGTCAGCATCACCGTCCAGTATGCTCTGGACCGCAAACTCTGCCATTCCCTCCATTACTGTAAAGGCCGCGTGGTGCGCCTGCATGGGTCCCAGCCATCTCTGGTACACATCCAGGAGGTGCGGAGCCATGAGCGATATCTTTGGGTCGATTCTGACGCCGGTGTAGGTCATGATGTCAGGGCCCAGCTGCTGCGCCAGAAAAAAGTTTGGATCCAGAAAGAAGAACAGATTTGCCTTCTTTGCCAACGGAAAGTCATCGGGCACGGTCTGAAGCTGCATGTACTCGTACAGATCTGATGCAGGTCCCGCTTCCAGATCCAGGATCATCCTGGCACAGTCCTCGTTTATCGAGTTGACATCCATGACCGCACGCATGTTTGTAGCCTGCAGGTTCCTCTGGACGCTGTGGACGATCTCCTCCAGTATGGTCATTTTGAGCGCCCCCCTGTACCCGGATCTCACCGACTCTGCTCTCGCCTGGAAGGGCTGCCCGTGCCTGTAGAGTATGATCTTGGGATAGCTGTCAAGGACAAACCTGTTGAGATGGATGACGTCGTCCAGTATGTCCCCATATGTGGTGGAGATCTGTGAGAGGTAGTTCTTGGCGTATGTGGAGTATACCAGGTACCTCGCCGTGTCTGCGGTAACGAGGCCTGCAATTTTGTCCTTATCCTGCATGGCCACTGCCAAGAACAGGTCGTCCACGTATCCCCTTGCCGCGTCGTCGGCGAAGACCTTACGGCCCTTGAGCCTCTTAAAGTCCAGAAGGTTGGTAAAATCCAGCCTCAGCGAGTCTGGCACCGGCATGCCAGTGAACTCCTCGACCAGTCCCCGGTACTCGGTGAACACCTTGTCCGCCATATCCTCCAGAGATTCAAACTCCACCGCAAAGGATCCGTCCTCGTTGATCCTTGAGACGAGTTCCGCAATCTCTTTCTCCTCGTTGATCTCCACAGATATCTGATCCAACAGGGCCTCGGCGAACTCGTCAGATTCTGGCAATATGGTAGGACTGTGCCGGGACTAAATTTATGGCTATCTAGAAACTGGTATTAGGCGGGCAGGCGTAGGCGGTGTATCTTGCACGAGTTTTGTGTAGAGTACCTAAGGTGCGTCCGGTGCCGTGGTAGGCTGGAGCTGGAGGCACTGGTCGAGGGCCCCGACATCACGGAGAGGTTCTTGCACTGTTACCGGTGCCACCTTGACTTTCCCGTAGTGGACGGGATTCCGATCCTGTGGGACGACTTTGCCGGGTACGTCCGGTGCCGCGCGTCCCTTGGGGGCCAGATGTATCTGAAGTGCGGCCACCGCAGGGTGCGGGAGTACGTCAGGAGCTGCCTGTCGGTTGCGGAGCCCACAGCAGAGGACATATCAAGGCAGGAGTTGAGGTGGGCCCGCATATACCAGAACAGCTCCCGATCCAGATTCTACACCGAGATAAGGAGAAGGCCGGACATGCTTGAGTACGACACCTTTCTGGAGCATGGCTGCTCCATAGGTCTGGTCTCAGGGCATGCCGCTGAGCGTGCCATCACGGGCTTTGGCATCGACCGGTCGTTTCACGCGGTGCGGCATGCCAGAAGGTCGTCTGGACATGGACATGACTGCCTTGTCGCCGACTCACTGGAGCACCCCTTCGGGGAGCAGAGGTTTGACCTGGTGATGGCGCTGAACCTGCTGGAGATTGTGGATCCTGCGGAACTGCTGCGGGTGATGACTCCACAGACGGGGCGCCTGATGATGGTATCTGACCCATACGACTACGAGAGGGCCGACAGGAGCGTAAAGGGGGCGGTAAACGGGGCGCAGTTCCGGGACATGATACGCAGATCCGGATTCTCGCCGGTGTCCGGAACGTCACAGGCAGGATACATCCCTTGGAGTCTTGCCATAAACGACCGCGCCCGGCTGAACTACAGGGTAGACCTAGTAATAGCGGAGAGGCGGCACGGATGAGATTGGAACCGCCACGACCCATTCACATATGTCAGGATATGATGCCGGAGGTGGGTTTCGAACCCACGACCTCCAGATTATGAGTGTTGCCTGTTTTTTGGAGAAGCTGGCACTCTAGGCCAGGCTGAGCTACTCCGGCACTGCACCATATTTGAGATATCTCAAATTAAATGATTCTAAAGGATTCACAGCATTTGCTAGTACTTTCTTGAGATGCTCTCCCAGCTGCCCCTCTCGTCGTTCACCCACAGGAACTTTTTTTGCAGCGCCGCCGTGTACGTCTTCTCCCGCAGGGACTTTTTCCGCAACGGCGTGCCAGTCTCCTCCCGCGGGGCATCCACCCTGTCGGCCCAGAACTTGAGTATTCTGGGGTCGATGTAGTTTCGCAGGGATGTCCCCAGGTTGTAGTCCCTAGTCTTCTCGGCAAGCTCTATCTGAAGCTCGGCTTTCTTGATCTTTTCCTGTTGCGCCTCCTTCTTTCTTTGCACCGTTACACGGAGCCTTTTGATGCGCTTGCGCCTTGCGGCTTTTTGCTTGTCCGTCTTGGGCTCGGATGCCTTAACATCCCTTAGGGTCTTCTGGTCCTTGGTCCAAAGCCCCTTACCCTTTAGTTTGGCCAGTTTGTCGCGCTTCTTCTGCAGTGACTGCTCAAAGGTCTTTGGGATGGTTCTCTTGTGGTTGCACTTTTTTGCGGCCTCGAGGTTTGCCATCTTTATGTGATGGAGTTTTTCATAGTCCGGGCTTGACCTTGCCGTGGTGTGCTTCTTGAGGTAGCTGTTGACCACGGTGGATGCCAGGTATGTTCTGAACACCTTGGCAGTGAGGCCCTTGACGATGCCTGAAAAGTACTTGTTCACATGCCTTGAGGTGATGTCGTGGAAGATCTCGTCTTTGGGCTTCTTGTCTGCCACCAGCAGTGCCAGGTTGTCCCGGAACTGCACATCGTGGTCTACGGCAGGCACGGTCTCCTGCCACCGGACGCTGTCCTTCCCAAGAAAGTCAAACTTGATCGCATTCTGGGATATCCGGATGTGCTCCTTTCTCAGCGTGGTGGCGCCAACGGTGTCCGCCTCGTCAGGATCCTTCTCGTCACCCACCCTCATGGCGGTCCGGTATATCAGGTAGCATGCGGTCGCAATCCGGGCCTTCTTCTCATCGCCTCCCTTCATGTCGTGCACCATGCGCTCCTTGATCTTGCCTATCTCCTTTGAGAGATCGATTGCCTTGTCGTACTTGCCCTTGTCCCTGTCCTGCTTGACCCTTGCGGTGTCTGCCAGCCAGACGTACTTTGCCTTCTTCGTCAGATCGTCCATCCAGCTGGCAAGCCATGTCGCGTCGCGGCGGTGGACTATCTCCTTCCAGTCACCGGCGGGAACCGTGGCCTTTCTTCCCAGGTTAAGCGTCACGTCTGCTGGCGTCACCCTGCGCTTCCATCTGCCCCTCAGCGGGTGCGCGCCGCGGCCGATGAATATTCCCGGGGGCTCTGCCATGTAGTTTCCCACCTCGACTGCCTGGCCGTCCATTACGGCCGTGCCGTACTCTACCTTCATCTCCTTCCGGATCTCCTTTCTCTGCGCCGCCTGCTCCTTTCTCTTCTCCTTGGTCATCATGTCCCTTTTGTCCTTCTCCTGGTCCACCAGCCTGTAGGCGTCGGTAAAGTCGATCTCGCCGTACTTGACGCCGTCAAGCTTTGGGTTCAGTGTTCGTGCAAAGTCTGCGGTAAAGTTGCTCTGAAACGTGGGATCCGGGGCATACGGCGTGTCCTTCTTCTTTGCCCACTGGTAGACCATCTCCTCCTGCAGTATGTCCAGATCAACCGGTTTGCCCCTTATCGCTATCTTTATCCCCTTTGACTCATAGGGCGGCGAGAAGAGTATCCCGTTGTGCTCAAGTGTCTTCCATTTCGTGCCCGGCATCGAACTCTTCAGCTGTGCCCTGAACACGATATATCAATTTAACAAACGCTCTTACGGATTCGGGCGGCCGTGCTGTGTGTGTCTACGAAGGGTTGAGCTCCTTCTTCAGGTAGTTCTCAAACTCCACGTCCGTCTTTGCCCTCCTGGCCTCCAGAAACATGGCCGCGTCGTTTCCCACCGTGTACCTCGGGGGCGGATTCTTGTCCCCGATGGCCCGCACGATGGTGCCTGCCACATCAGACGGCGGCGTTCCCAGCTCCGACATCATCTTTATGCCCGAGATCACGTTCTCGGTGATGCCCCTGTACGGCGAGTCTGGCCCGGGAGTTGCCACCCTCATGGCGTTAAAGAAGTTGGTCTTGATCACCCCGGGCTCGATTATTATCACCTTTATGCCAAAGCTGTCCAGCTCGTACCGCAGGCTCTCGCTGAGCCCCTCCAGGGCGAACTTTGAGCTGATATACGCAGGAGTGCCTGGAAAGCCTATGCGGCCGGCAACCGAGCTCACGTTCACTATGTGGCCACCGCCGTTTCTCCTCATTACGGGAGCCGCCTTCTGGATCATCCTGATGACGCCAAAGAAGTTGGTCTCAAACTGCTCCCTGAACTCCTTCACGGTGAGATCCTCCACGGTGCCGAAGATCACGTAGCCTGCATTGTTTACCAGCACGTCCACCCTGTCCTTCTCCGAGACGATCCTGTCCATGGCAGAGTCAATGGAGCTTGCGCTGTCCACATCCAGCTCCACTACCGATATGTTCAGGTTCTCCTCCTTGGCCGCATCAAGTATCTTGTCACCCCGGGATGCGTCCCTCATGGTGGCGTAGGTAAAGTACCCCTCCCTTGCCAGCGCCAGTGCCGTCTCGTAACCGATGCCGCTAGAGCAGCCTGTGACCACTGCCACCTTGTCCATGATCTACGGCACCCCTAGCGCTATTTATGTTGGTGGCAGTAGATCCGAGAAACTGTCAGAAGTGTTCTGGGCGACCTAACCTTGTACTGGACCCGCCCGGCCGGCACCCGCGCAGCAGATGTCCGGATGCCTGATGTCTTGAACTTCTGGCATCAGCAACCGGGGCTAGACCAGCGCCCGGTCATCTTGCGTGGGGGCCGTGAGCTTGGTCGGTTCGCCTGCGTTTATGCGCCGCAGTATCTCCAGCGCAGAGCACCTATGGAGAAAGTCGTTGTTGTTTCCGCACCGGTATGAGAAGGTGCACCTGGGACAGCCCTTGCGGTGGCTGCAGGAGCAGTCTGCCGCTATGCGCATGCTTCGGGCCAGCGCCTCCTCCAGCCTGTCGTATAGCGCCCAGCTGGCCCCGTTTCCGCCCACCGCCCCGTCGTACACGAATATGAGTCCCGAGGTGCCCAAGGAGATGCCGCCCAGATCCCTCGAGGCGCCGCCGGTGATCATGTTGCTCCCCTCTATTATGATGTGCTCGGCGGCATGGTATCCGCCGGCCTCCACGTACCCGGCATCCTCGGACTCTGCGATCGAGTCCAGCGGCCTTGGCGCGTGAAAGACGATCCCCTTTGTCACCAGATCGTACTCGAGGGGCTCATCCAGTGAGACCGCCTCTCCCTGATCCGCGTCCTGTCCCAGAGCGATCTTCAGGTACCCGCCAACGGTCTTTCTTATGCGCAGTCCGCAGAATGCAACCTCCATGCCAAAGACGCTTCGCGTCTCGTAGATGTCATCGATCGTGGGCCTCTCCGAGGTCAGCGCCTTGGTGTAGTATGAATGGTCCTCTGGGATCCTCTGCAGGCGGGCGCTCATCCCGTCGGGATAGTCAAGTCCTGCGACAAGGTATCTCCTTCCGGCAAGAAAGTAGATGGCTCCACTGTGTAGCTCCTCAAGCGCGGCGGGAAGGGCCCTGTGCCCCAGTCTTTTGCCGTCAAGCGTGATGTAGACCGAGCTGCCTATTCCGCGTATGTTGTACTCCCCCAGCAGTTTTTGCGCCTTGCGGCTCGGCACGTACAGGCTGCCTGCTCTCCGCAAGTTTCCCGCCCGTACCTGTTCTTGCAGCGTCGCATCGTGTCCCGGCATCTCACCTGCTCGGATGGGCCTGTCGCAGGCCATGGCCAGTATCTGAAGCCGTTCCACGAAGGGGTTCTTGGGATCTATGTAGGCCTTCTCCACATCGGTAAAATAGTCTCCCGGATGGTTGCCATAGTACTGCGAGATGGGGTCGTCCCCCAGTGCCAGGAACGCGTATCCCCGCTGGCCCTTCCGGGCTGCCCTGCCCATCCTCTGCATCAGCCGGTTGATTGGAACCGGGGAGGATATCACGCCGTCCACGCTGCCTATGTCGATTCCCAGCTCCAGTGTGGATGTAGAGGAGATGGCCTGCAGCCTCCCGCTGCGAAACTCGCTCTCCACCAGGTTTCTGTACCCGGGGTTCAATCCGGCCCTGTGCACCATGATGTTTATGCCGGCATTCTTTGCCTGCATGGCAAACAGCTCCACGCTCCGGTGCGTGTTGTTGAAGATTATGGTTCTGTGCCTGCCTTGTGTAAGCCTTTTTGCCACATCCACCATCAGGCTGCTCCGCTTTCGCAGGGTTGGAAGTATCATCGCAAACTCGATGCTGCCCCTCCTCCCGGAGCCGCAGACATGCCTCATCTCCGTGCCGAAGAGCCGCCGGCAGAACTCTGCCGCGTTGTCCAGCGTGGCCGACGCGGCGACAAACTGCATTCCTGCGGCGATTCTGCCCAGCCGCTTTATCACATAGTGCACGTTTGAGCCAAAGATTCCCGAGTATGTGTGCACCTCGTCTGCAACCAGAAACCTGACCGTTCCCAGAAGCGACGCAAGTCCTGTTCGGTGGCACATATGGTAGTGGAGGACATCAAAGTTTGTGATCAGCATCTGTGGAGGGCGGTCCATGATCTTCCGCCGCTCGGCATCAGGCGTATCCCCGTCAAACACCTCTGCCCTGATCCCCAGCCTCTCTGCATACCTCCTGATCTTTGGAAGCTGGTCCCTGGCAAGGGCCTTTGTGGGGTACACCAGCAGCGCCAGAATCCCCCTCCTGCAGGCCGCGTCCGGCGATACTCTGCAGGATTGGCACCACAAAGGCCTCGGTCTTGCCGGATGCCGTGGGCGACTCGATTACCACGTTGTCGCCGGCAATTATGCCGCGCACCGCCTCCTCCTGAAACCGGTAGAGGCGCTCTATTCCCGAGTCGGCCAGGCCCTGCACTATGCCCGGGTTCAGTCCTAGGTCGTCCACGCGGGAGCCCATCTCCGGCGGGGGGCTGTCCATCCTGCGGTAGTCGGAGATGTAGTCCTTTTGGGACTGCAACACGGCCAGCGTGAGCTTGTCAGGCTTCAGGCTGCCGATCATCTCCCTTATCTCGGCCTCTGACCTGACCTTCCCTGCAGATACAGGGTCGGGATCACCGGCATCCCTCTCTCCGATCTCCCCGCGATCAAACCTGTACAGAAAGTCTAGGTACACCTCGTCGTGGTTCCTGTTGTATTCCAGCACGGCCCCAAGGCCGCAGCCCGGGCACGACACCGTTGCCTTCCCGTCGGCCGGCCCGATATCCAACCTGGCTCTGCAGTCAGGACACAGAAATCTCTGCAATGCATGGCATGCATCATGCTCTGAATTTATTGTTTGGAGCCACGGTACGGAAAGGGAGGATCATATGCCTGACCCTGCAGGGAACAGGCCTTGTTCTGGCGACCCCGCCCACCCTGATCCTTGCGCGATGCAGCCATGTCCGCGCCAGCCGACGCGGCCGGTGTGCATGGCAGCGCCGCGATCGGCTGCCACCGTAGTCACGCATGCCTCTTTAATACCACACCGACAAAGGAGGATTGGAATGCACGGCGCGCGGGATATTGTCGACAACGGGCTGCTGTTGGCAGATGAGGGGAAGCCGGAGGCACTGGATCTCTACAACAGGGCAATCCAGCTGGATCCCGGCTTCTTCCCCGCTTATTTTCACAAGGGGGAGCTGCTGCATGATCTTGAAATGTATGGCAAGGCGGTAGAGTGCTTTGACAAAGCAATAGAGTTGAAGCCCAGCAATGTCACGGCGCATTTCAGAAAGGGACTGGCGCTGCATGAGATGGGGGACTATCCCGCGGCAGTAGAGAGCTTTGACACGGCAATAGAGCAGCATCCAAACAGCGCCATCATGCATGTCCAAAAGGGGCTATCCCTCTATGAGAACGAGGATTACCGTGCTGCCGTAAAGTGCTTTGACAGGTCGATATCCTTGGATCCAAACGACCCAGTTTGCGTACGACATCAAGGGAAGGTCGCTGTATGAGCTGGAGGATCACAGGGGGGCAGTGGAGTGCTTTGACAGGTCACTCCATCTGGAACCGGACGACTCCCTCACGCACATAGATAGGGGAATGGCGCTGTGCGAGCTGGAAGACTACAGGTCCGCAATAGGAAGTTTTGACAGGGCAATATCCCTTGATCCAGATGACGCAGGCGCATACATACACAAGGGAGAGGCGCTACTCGAGCTTGGGGAGTATGCGGCCGCTGTGAAGTGCTTTGACAGGTCGATATCCCTTGATCCAGGTGACGCAGGCGCATACATACACAAGGGAGAGGCGCTACACGAGCTTGGGGAGTATGCGGCCGCTGTGAAGTGCTTTGACAGGTCGATATCTCTTGATCCAGGTGACGCAGGCGCATACATCCACAAGGGGAGTTCCCTGCAAGAGCTGGAAAGCCATGATGCCGCATTGAAGTGCTTTGAGAGAGCAACAGGGCTGGAACCGGACAACAAGTATGCCCACCTAGAGAAGGGCATGTCCCTGAGCGATCAGGAAGATTACCGCGCCGCCTTGGAGAGCATCGATGTGGCAATCGGCCTTGATCCAAGTGACCCGCTGGCGCACGGCTTCAAGGGAACGATCCTCCATGAGATGGAGGACTACAAGGGTGCGGTGGAGAGCTTTGATGCGGCAATCAGGATTGAGGCAAATAATTCCTCCCATCACATGAACAGGGGAGCATCACTGCACGAGATGAGAGATTACAGTGGGGCGGTGGAGAGCTTTGATGCGGCAATCAGGCTGGATCCAAATGACGCCCACCTGCACTACAAAAAGGGGGAATCCCTGTACGGCTTTGGGGAATACGGCGCCGCCGTGAAGTGTTTTGATGCGGCAATCAGGATTGATCCAACAAATGCCCATGTGCACTGGATCAGGGGGGCTTCCCTGTATAAGATGGAAGACCGCCCGGAGGCAATCAAGTGCTATGACGAGGCGCTCAGGATTGATCCAAAATACAGTCTTGCGCGCATCCTCAAGTCGGTCTGCCTTTTGGATGTCGGCAGTCCGGAGGAGGCCCTGGAAGCACTGGAGGGCGTGGAGAACAAGGTGGGGGATCCCAGCATGTCGTGGGCCATACTCCACAAGGCAAAAGTCCTTTACGCCTTGGGCAGGCCGGACGGCGCCATTGCCAACCTGGACATGATTGAGGATGGAGATCCGCTCTATGCCGACGCTCTACTTGAAAAGGGCATAATCAATGACGAGTACTACGAGGTCAGCAGGGAGCAGGCCAAGCTTGATGAGGCCACACGCTGCTACAGTGCAGCCATGGCAGCAAGACCGGGCTTTGACGAACTGCTGTACAAGAACGGACTGCTGTTCTACAAGTATGGCAGGACTGAGGATGCAGTGGAGAGCTTTAATGGCGCAATCAAGCTGAGGCCGATCTTTCCAGATGCCATAAATGCCATGGGAAGGGCGCTCAACGATCTGGGACGGCATGAGGACGCCATACAGTATCTTGAGGCGGCAATCAGGCTAAAGCCCGGCTTTGCAGAGGCCGTCTACAACAAGGCAGACATCATGCGCAGCATTGGCATGGTTGAAGAGTCCGCGGGGTTTCTTGACGAGGCGGTTCGGTTGGATCCCAGCCTTCGGAACCACGAGGGCATAAGGCGCATGTTGGACGAGAGGCCGGGGTTTAAGCGTAGGACTCGCGGCAAGAAATAGACGGCCGCCGGCTCCCTGCGTGTAGGCATCTGGGGGAACTCTCGTGCCATGTCTTACGACTTTTTTAGGGGGGCCTGCCAGTGTCCAGCATGGAAGTGGATTGCATATACCACGAAGACTGCATAGAAGGCATGCAAAAGATTCCCCCGGGGTCGGCGGATCTGGTGATCACAGATCCGCCATTTGCGATAGGGTTTGGGGCCGCCAAGGCCAACTACAACCGCACCGCGTCACGCGTTATGCAGGGGTACAATGAGATTGGAGCCCCAGAATACTACGACTTCACCATGGACTGGATGCGCCAGGCATACAGGATCCTAAAGGACTCGGGCAGCATGTACGTCTTCTCTGGCTGGAACAACCTCAAGGACGTGCTGCGGGCGCTTGACGACGTGGGGTTCGTAACCGTAAACCACATCATCTGGAAGTACCAGTTTGGGGTCGTCACAAAAAGGAAGTTTGTGACATCGCACTATCACTGCCTTTACGTCTGCAAAAACAAGAAGATGAGGCGCTTTTACCCGTTCAGCCGGTTTGCAAAGGACGCAAAGACCGATGCCGGCAGGAGCCTGCACTACCGGGACAAGGAGGATGTCTGGGATATAAAGAGGGAGTACTGGACGGGCAGTACCAAGACGCCCACAAAGCTTCCGCGCAGCCTCATAGAGAAGATCCTGCAGCACTCCAGCGTGGAGGGGGACGTGGTGCTTGATCCGTTTCTGGGCTCCGGCCAGGTGGCCGTGGTGGGCAAGCTCATGGGGCGCAGGTATCTGGGGTTTGAGATCGTAAGGGAGTACTACGAGTTTGCAAAGGAGAGGCTGGATGCCGGCTCGTACAGGATCTGACCCGGCTGTAGTCCCACGGGATCTGCGTCTGGCTATCCGTCGGCGGGATCCTTGTATCCCACCTTTTCTGTGATCGTCTTTTGCAGCTCGGCAGTGGGCATCCCGTCTGGGTTTATGCCCAGCGACCTTGCAATCGCCTCAAACTTCTGCCTCTCGTTCTCCACGGGGCCGCTTACCTTTACGGTACCGCCGGTCATCTCGTTTACCTGGCTCTCGATACCCTTCCTTGCCTTGTTGAACTCGTTGGTTGCCTGGCCCAGCTTCTTTGCCGCATCTGGAAGCTTGCTGGTTCCAAAGATCAGAACCAGCGCTACAAAGACTATGACGATCCACTCGCTTCCACCGATGTTTAGCGGATCCAACACTGTACAGATCACGTCATCTTAAATTAAAGATTTGTATGCATGCGGTTTTTGGGATCGGCCGCGACGCCGGTGAGAGTTGCCGGGTTGTGTGGACGCAGGCGCGCCAACCCACCTGCGAGACTGCTGGCACGGCCTCATTTGTACGCGCCGACTATAATCGCCCCGCCCATGAGATCCTTCTCAAAATCCACCCGGGAGAACTTCTCCAGCAGCATGGCCTCCAGATCCCTGTTCTTTGGCCACCGTCGGTACGTGCCGTACAGTGTCGCAAACTTGAGTCCGAGTCTCCCGCCGGCGGCAAGGGCAATCACAGGAAGTATCACCCTGAGATAAAACGAGACGCCGGCGCGCACCACGGCATTGTCTGGCTTGCCCAAGTCGACTAGGACAAAGACCCCTCCCTCCTTGAGCACCCGGCATATCTCGGATATGGCCACGCGGAGGCTTATGGCGTCCCTGAGCGAGTATCCGCACATCACTGCGTCAAACTGCCCGTCCCTGAACGGGATGTGCTCAAAGACGCCGCAGGACAAGTCTGGCGCATCTGCAAAGAGCCTGCCCGTGTTCTTGAGCATCGGCACAAGCGGATCGTACAGGGTAATGCGGATGTTGCACATCTCTGATGCGGTCTTTGACATGTTCCCAAAACCGGATCCCGCGTCAAGCACCCTGCTGCCGGGGGCGATACGGCCATGGATGGCCCGGCGCCTGTGGGACGCGTCCTTTCCAAGGGATATGCACGAGTTTACCCTGTCGTACACGGGAATTATGTCCTTGAGAACCTCAAGAACCTCTCCCCAGTAGTTACTCCCAAGCCCCAACACGCGTCACCTGCCACCGGGAACGGATGGCCCGTTATGCATTGTTCTTGAACTTTTCGAGCGCCAGTTTCGAGTACTTTTGCAGGTCCTCGTCTGAGACTTTTTCAAGTGACTTGGTGTCAGATGAGATGAACGCCATCTTGATGTGCTTGACGCCGTCTTCGTTGTGTGACTTGAGGTTTACAGCTGCAATTGCCAGTGCCGCACCCTCCTCCAGCGTGATGTTGTCGGCGTATGCCTTCTCCAGAAAATCGTTCACCTCTTCGGCCCCCGCGCCTATCGCCACTGCCGCAAAGGAGACATACGTCCCGCTGGGATCCGTGACATAGACTGACTCGCCCTTCTGGTCGACTCCTGCAATTATCAGGGATACGCCGTAAGGCCGAACGCCCGAGTACTGGGTAAACTGGTGACACTGATCTGCCAGGTGCTTTGAGACCGTCTCGACCTCCACTGACTCGTCGTACGCTATCTTGTTGCTCTGGGCAAAGAGCCGGGCCCGATCCACCTGTATTCTGGCATCCGGAATGTATCCTGCCGCCGCCACGCCTATGTGCCGATCCACCTGAAAGATCTTCTGCGTTATGTTCGATGTCTGCAGAGCCCTGGCCTTCTCTTCTACTGCCACTAGAACCCCATTCTGGGTTTTGATTCCTATCGCCAGAGTTCCGCGCTTTACCGTCTCGATGGCGTACTCGACTTGGTATATTCTTCCATCAGGCGAGTACATTGTAGGGGTCATATCGTACCCCCTGGAAGGCATCATACCTGGTGTCTGGCACCAGTCAATTTAAGGGTAATTGTTATGCCACCTGCCTGGATTCGGCTGCAGGATCGCCCGCTATACAGAGTCGGGGCGACTGTCATGATCATGCATCAGTGAGAAGACCTGATCCAGTCCCTCCCTGTATGACGGGTATCGCATCTTCACGATGCCGGATATCTTTTTGTTGGATGTCCTCACATTCGTGGTCAGTAGCGTTGTCGCGTCGTGTCCAAGTATGGTTCTGGCAAGAAACACGGGAACGCTGCCCGGGTGTTTTTTGCCCAGCTTGTCTGCACAGTAGTTCACCATATCCCGGAAGGCGCAGGGTTCAGAGTCGGATATGATGTATGGCCCATCGGCTCCGCCCTTCTCCAGCACCGCAACCAGCGCAGATACCGCATCATCCACGTGGACAAGGCTCTTGACGTACTTGCCGCCTCCGGGGCTCTTGAATCGCCCATGCCTTATTCTGTCAAGTATGAATTTGGTAAACCATCCGCCGTTGCCGTACACGTCTCCCAGGTATGCTGTGCAGAATCCGACGGAGCTCTCGCGGCATCTCCTCTGCAGCTCCTCCTGCGCCTCCACCCGGATCTTTGCAAAATTTGTGTTCGGGTTTATCGGCGTGGACTCGGTGATCGTGCACCTGCAGTCCCCAAAGACCCCCAGGCCAGACACGTACACGAACAGTTTTGTCCTGTCCCGTATGCTCTCAAAGAGGTTCAGCGCGCCGTCGTAGTTTACACGCCTGAGCATCTTCTGGTTCTTCGTCAGTGGGGTGAGCGACGCCAGGTGGACTACCGCGTCCCAGTCTTCCCCGGGCAGCTCGGGCTTTGGGCCTGCTAGGTCCAGACGCACCTGCCGGATGCCGGCGTGCGGCACCGTCCCGGTGTGCGATGTGCCGGTTACGTCGTGATTGCTCTCAGCAAGCCGCCGCACCAGGTTGCCGCCGATAAACCCCGATGCGCCGGTCACCAGAACCCTCATGTCACGCATGGCGTGGCTCCGCATTTATTGTTTGGCTGCCCGGATGCGCCACATCCCGGAGCTGCCAGTCTGCAGCTGCATGCGCAGGGGAGAAGGGCGCCATAGGCTACGTCCCGTATCAGGGCTGTCTCAAAGATGACAAAATGATCCCGTGAATCGGCCTAGCGTCTTCTGCGCCTCTGGCCGGGTTTGTTCTGTCCGGGGAATCTTGGGTGAATGGGATCAAACCTCTTCTTGTAGTTGCTCTTGTTCCTCAGGCTCGAGTTTGTTCCGATTCTCTTTCTTCCCTCAACCTTTGGAGTCTGACTTCTGACCTTTCCCGCCTTGGTAAGCGATCCGTGTGTTGCCATAGTATACCGCTTGTGGATTTTAATTTATGTATTGTGTTCTGGCGCACGCCGTCTGCCGTACAGGGCCGGATGTGAGGGCTTGTCCAGACGCGCAAGTCCGTGCCTGAACAAAGTCTGGAGCCCTTGTTGTACCGCAGCACCGGGCTGCACGGGAGCCAGACACGCACCTGCCAGCCCCGGGACACCCTGCAGGTACGATTTGGCGGCGAACGGGACACTATCTTTAGGGATGCATGATCGCGGCACTTGGCACCATGGCCGGACGTAACTCTACCAGTACTTTACCTTGATCTTCTCAATGACCCGTTCGTGTTCTTGGCCGTGGCGGCGCGCGTACCTTTCCATGGCACCCAACGGGACACCTCCCAGGGATCTGGCAAGGAAGTTGAAGAAGACCTTTTGGGGCGAGCCGTGGCCGCCGGTCTTGGTCATGAACTTTTGAATCCCGTACTTGAAGTTGTGCTGCCATGTCTTGTACATGACACCCAGCTGTGCGGGGCTCATCTCGTTTCCAATGTTGAAGAACTGGGACTTTTCCAGCAGTCCGATGGGAACAAACGTGAGTGGGGTCGTGGTAAACATAGAGTCGGGCTGCTCCCTCTCAAGCTCGCTGATTATCCGCACCGTATCCCACGAGTCCTCCGGGGTCTCGTCATTGTCAAGGCCCATAATCAGCGTAAATGCCGGAATCCAGTGGTACTCGTTGAGTGACTTTACGCCCTCCTTTACCACCCAGTGCCACTCCTCTGGAGCGTACGGCGCCAGCTTTCTGTCGGCATATTTCTCGATCAGCCTGAGGCTTCCTGTTTCAAACCCGCACTGAATCCCGGTCATGTTTCCCGGGCCGGACCTTATGATCTTGGACAGTTTTGGTATGAGCTTCTCGTCGGCAATGGCTCCTGCCAAGGTACCGTGGGTCGGGTTTGTGTGTGGAACCCCGGTGGACATTATGGTCGTGAAGAGATCCACCAGCGCCTCCCGGTTGGGCTCCATTCCCTTGCTGGTGCGGGGATCCAGACCATAGACAAAGATATCGTCGCTGTGCACCCAGGCAGACTTTGCACCGCCCTTTTTGAGGTTGACCTCGATCTCCCTTTTGACCTTCTCTGGCGGGTAGTACCGCAGGGCGCGCAGGGTCACGTCACAGAACTTGCAGCCACGGCCGCAGCCACGCATGACTTCTATCATGCCGTGCATGCTAGGCTCCACGATATCTGGAATCTCTTCTATGTCCGGCTTGTCCCAAAAGTTTACAAATCGTCCGTGCAGTTTTTCGCCGTCACGCTCAAACTCCTTTATGTTTACCTTAAAGTTGCTCCTCTTTCTGAACGGATCCATGTTATCAAAGTCACCGTTTATCAGATATCGGAAGAACCGCCCCGCGTGGCCGTCGATCTCTGGCGCAATGCCGCCCAGCTCGCCCTCCAGTATGGCATAAAGCCCGTATTCTTGAATCTTTGCGGGATCATAGTTGTACTGCCAGGTGCCTGACGCACCGGCGATCACCTTGGCATGGCTGCCGGACTTTTCCTTTGCCGCGTTAATTCTCATGTGGAGCTCGCGGTTGTAAAACTCGTCGTAGGAGATCTGCTTGCGCCCGTACGTAAATGTCATGGTAACCGGCCCCATTCCCAAGGGATCCATCTCGTATGTTCCCACTACCTCGGTCTCCGGGCCGATGAACTGCTCGATGTGATCCGGATGCGCCACTACGACGTCCTCACGCCTAAAGCCGTCACGCAGCAGTCCTGCCTCCACCTTTCGCAGGCCGTACGGGGCATAGTTTGCAACCCCGTTGGTGTGGGGGATATAGTTACAGATAAAGTCAAACAGCACTTTGGGAGTCACCTGGTTCTTGAGCACCTTGTACCAGAAGCTTCGCTTGTCCCTGTGGGGGTCAAGTGCTGGTGCACACCCAAAGAATGTGGCAAGGGAGATGTTCCTGTACGGGGACATGAGGGTTCGATCTGCTGTGAGTACTATTTTTGGGTGTCCCATGTTTGTTATCGCTTTGATCTCTTAATTATTTATTTTAAACCTTCTGTATTGGGCCCGCTTGCATGGCCTGCCATCGCACGACTGGAGGCTGAAGATGCGTCTCTTTGACCGCCTTATGCAGCCACGGCCCCGATCTGCCGCCTGGATCCCGCCAAACCGTACAGGGTCGTCCCCGAGAACCTGTTCCGGGCCACATTTCACATACTTTTGGCCGCCTGTGGGCGTACCCATGTGGTGCCATGAGCCACACCGGAAGATCGCAAGCCGTTCTTGGGTGGACGGTATGCCTGCCTCGACGCGGCCCGGGGACAGATGTGTACAGCCAAATGGGCGAAACATAACAGTTAACTAACCAGCACCACGCTGGTGTGCCATATGCCTGCAAGAAAGAATGGAAAACACCAGCGACGGGCAGATCAAAAGGCCAAGCGGAGGACGGATAAGAAATCGAAGGGGCATCAGACCCGGGCGCGTTAAATTAACACTTTTACATCAACAATACATGGAGAATTCTAATGAATCCGCTGGTTAGGATCGAGCAGGCGCGTCAGGACGGCCGCATACCGCCGGATGCCTACAAGCTGATAGTAGACAGGGCCCACATCATGTACAGCGGAATAGATCGCATAGAGAGGGCATCCGGGATCAGCTTTCCTGTGTCGTATGTGGAGCCGTCCATTCTGGTAACGCCCCCCGATGCAGGATCCTTCCAGTTTGGCGTGCTGTACGCCAGAACCATCCCCCTGATACTGGATGAAAAGCTCCAGGTGGTAATCCAGGTGTGTGCTCCATTGGTTTCATACGGGCTCAGGGGCACGATACACGCGGTTCTGGCACACGAGTTCCTGCATTATCTGGAGCTGCTCAGCAGGATATCAAAGATGAGGTTGCTCTCAGACGAGATCACCGGGAATGTGTTTGAGAGTGTGTACGCCGACGAGACGCGGCTCTTTGAGCCTGGAGCGGTCTTTACGGACAGGACACTTCTCCGCCACATCACCAAAAAATTTCCATCTGGCTTTCGGGACTACAGGCTAGAGGACAAGGTGATGGAGCACTGGATCGAGCGCGGGCTTCCGCAGTCAGGCATTGCACTGGACAGAAATTTTGCCCGGATCTCTGTCAAAACGCTGTCGGCGGTCAGCCTTGATCCCAAATTTCTGGCGCGCCTAAACGAGATAGAACGCAAAAGCGAGGCCGTCAGAAAGCGGATGCGCTACTAAATAAACTCGGTCAGGTTGCACTTGCCACAGTGGTGCCTGTCCTTGTGGTTTGACATGAATGTGCCATGGCCGCACCGTGAGCAGATCTTTCTCACCCTGGAGGCCTTGTTGCCGTCTATGCTGTAGTATGTCTGGATCTTGGGACTGGAGCCCTTTCTTCCTGCCATTACTCCGATGCCCCCTCTGCCGCTTTTCTTGCCTTGTCAAACCGTGTCATGATGCTGGGATTGATGTGCTTCCTTGCCAGATCCTCGTCGTCATACACGTAGAATGTGCCCTTTACGTCGGTTCTTCCAACCTGGTTCTTCAGCAGAATGGGAATGACCAGCTTGCCACCAAGGCCAAGCTCCTCTGTTACCATCTCTGTCGCCTTCATCTTGCCCAGCCTTCCGCTCATATTGGCAAAGCTGCACACGATCTCCCTCCTGGAGAGAAAAGGGTTGCTCACGTCGCTCTCGGCTCTTACCACAGACATTTATCCGAATCAACTGCCAAGTTCTTATAAATCTTGATTGAAAGGTCCGGTGGCAGGACAGGGAGAAGACACCCATCACATGGAAGAACCTTGGCGCGTTTGGCAAGAAATTTATGAAATCAAGTCCAGCGAGTGCTGTGGATCGGTTTATGCTGCACTTGGAGAACCAGGGCTTTGAGCCGCAGGACGCGCAGCATCTGCTTCGGCGGGCCAGGGATCTCTGCTCCGACATGGATGCAACGCTACGGGATGTCCGGGTCTCCAGCAGATATCTCGAGTACGATGTCTCGATAGCAAAGGAACGGATGGATGAGCTGGTGGCCAGGCTAGGACCCGTGGGGCCGATCAGCCGCTCCAAGCACTTGGTGGAGGAGGAGATAGAGAAGGAGCAGGCAGTCAGGGACGGCATATCGTGCTTTAACGACGAACGGTTCTGGGAGGCCCACGAGATGCTGGAGGGCGTATGGAAGCGGTCCCTTGAGGGCGAGCGGGATCTGGTGCAGGGGATAATTCTTGTGGCTGCCGCCTTTGTGCACTACCAGAAGAACGAGAACCGCATCTGCATGTCGATTATGGGCAGGGCGCTGGCAAAGCTGTCAAGCTCCAGCGGCACTTATCGAGGAATTGACGTGGACAGGCTGAGAAGCAGGGTTGCAGCAATCAGGAACTCGGGAGCAATCTCTACGTTTGCGATCTGATGAGGTTCAGGGCTGTCTTTACCACCTCTGCGCCCATGATTAGGCCTATGCCCCCTGTTGCCGCGTCCTTCTCCGTAACGCGCTCTGTTGCGTCGCTTTTTATCGAGTCTCCAGACACCAACACCGGCACGGGATCGTCGCTATGGCCCTTCATGATGCAGGGCGTGCTGTGATCCGCAGATATCACCACCGTAACCCTGGCCGGATCTATGTTCTTCAGCAGGGTGCCAAAGAACCGCCCGTCTATCTCCTCGATGTTTCTTGTCTTGCCGGTGGCGTCGCCGTCGTGTCCGAACTCGTCGGGGCCCTTCAGGTGTACGTATATTGCGTTCTGCTCGTCCATTGACCTGGCTGCGACCAGAGCCTTCTCCTCATAGTCAGTTAGGCCTCCGGCCTCAAAGGACTTCATCTTCAGGACTCTGGATATTCCCTGCTCCACCGGCATATCCACTATACACGAGAACTTCATCGAGTACTTTTCGTTGATGGGCTCCACCACGGGATACGCGCTACCGGCATCGCGAAGCAGTATGCTACTCAATGGCTTTTTGTCCTGCTGGGATCTCCGACGGTTCACCCCACTCCCTGCCATAATCCTCATAGACTGCTCGGTGAACTCGTTTACCAGATCTGATGCCAGCACCGCTCCGGGATCGTCTCCCAGAGGCAGGCACCTGTCTATTCTCAAAAAGTCACCTACCGCCTTTGCAATTCCCATCCCCTCCAGCCTGGCGTACGCAGGATCAGTGTTGGTAATGTCAGACGAGAGCCTTCTGTCTGCCCTTATCCTTACGGTGAGCCTGTGGCCTATGGTGGGCGCAACCACCACCGAGGTATCGGGGTGCGAGAACCTTACACCGCGCTCGATCTCCGCCGCTATCTCTGCTGCGTCTCTTCGCTCGATGTGCCTCCCTGCGCGCCGGTCTGTGATCACCCCGTTGCTCATTGTTGCAAAGTTCCCCCTGAGCGCCAGATCGCCGTCCCTGAAATCGATGCCGATTCCCACCGCCTCGATCACTCCGCGGCCAGCATAGTCTACATGCTGAAACCTGTATCCAAGCATGTTGAATACGGCAATGTCGGATTCGGGGGCTATTCCCTTCCCGACAGATATCACCTGGCCCATGGCACCGTTTCTTGCAAGCCGATCCATGTTGGGCGTCTTGGCAGCCTCCAGTGGTGTCATGCCCTGCAGGTCAGGGTGCGGCAGATCCCCCACGCCGTCAAGTAGAACGTATACCATATGGACATCTGGCTCTGTAATGACGATCTCCCCTCATGCTCGCGACCCGTCACAGACGTTTTAAAGGTATCATTATTTGCAGGGCGCGGAGCTGCACCACTCGTCTGGGCACGGACATAATTCCCGGTGTCCGGCCAGATGCGGCATGAGGCCAGATCCATCCGTGCCTAGGTACGAGCACACGCACCCTGAAGGATGCCTACGCCTGGCTCGATGCGACAGGCGACCCTCCGTACCCGGCACACCATGAAAAGATTTTATCGTGTAAGGTGTGTTGGTGTACAATGGGAGATATGCGAAAGGACTACCTTGATGAGCGCTTTACGATCGTCTCAAAAAAGGACGTAACCGCCAGCGGAAAAAGGAACCCGTACAGGCCGGGCAACGAGAAGATGACCAAACCTTCCGTGCTCTCGCTGGTAGCCCAGAACGGAATCCTGCAGAGACTCCAGGATACTGACGGGGAGTCGGTCAAGGGGTGGGCAATTCGCGTATTTGAGGAGGATGACCCCGTGGTATCCACCAGCACGGAGGACACGTACAGTGAGAGGCCACACTACAGCGAGCCCGCTTATGGCTACCACTATATCGTGGTGGCATCACCAGAGCAAGACGAGAGCCTTGCGTTCATGGACTCGGATCAGTGGTCAAACATACTCATGGTGGTTCAGGACAGGCTACGGTGGCTCTACACCCAGAAGCGCGTCACATACGTGGCAGTACATGCAAGCTATGGCGACACTGCGGGAAGCAGCAACAGGATTCCCCACATGCACCTGATCACGCTGCCCACAATTCCGCCGGTAATCGCAGCGGAGGCAAAGATGACATCCAAGATATTAAACGAGAAGGGGGCGTGCCCGATCTGCCAGATTATAGATATCGAGAGGAACGGACCACGGATGATCCTCAAGACAGGAGGGTTTGTTGCGTTCTGTCCGTGGTCGCCAAGATACCCCTACGAGTTCTGGATTGTGCCGGAGAAGCACACCACCAGCTTTGCAAAGATCACGCAGAAGGACCTGAACGGCCTGGCAACCATCCTCAGGGCAACGCTGGGCGGACTGTCCAGATCAATTGATAACGTCGCGTACAGCATGGCGTTTCACCTCTCGCCGGAGACCAAAAATACCAAGCAGATACACTGGCATGTGGAGGTCTACCCGCTCACCGAGGCGTGGTCCGGACTTGAGCGCGGCTACGGCATATTTGTAAACAGCAAGTCTCCAGAGGATGCTGCCAGGGAGCTGGGAATCTCGTGCAGAAAGGAGCTTGCCGGCATGATGGGCGTCACATAGGTGTGTGCCGGGTCGGGCATGCGTGAAGGCTCCAGGCTTGGATGGCGCTCGGAGTCACATCTAGGCGCCGTCCTGCGGTGGCTCCCCGTGAGGCCTGTAGGACCGCGCAGAGTCTGGCCTCCGGGCCGGATCCGAATGCCGGCACGGCGTTCCGGTTAGGGGCAGGACGGCTATGGAGGAGCCCTGTGGCCATGGCAGACAGAACCCCGATGTGCATGATTTATTTATCAATGCGGGTAGATCGAACTGTATGGCTGTGGAGAAGTACATTGCCGCGGCGGGTCTGGGTCTGTTTGCAATGTTTGTAGGGGAGATCACGACCCTGTACAGCTTTTTAATCGACTCCGTACGGGAGGTGGAGCCGGCCCCCAAGATACTTCAGTTCATCTCCATCGGGGTTGCGCCTGCGGTCATAATGACCGGTGTCTCGTTTATAATGTCCAGAAGGTACGGCTCAAAGCCCATAGCATACATGATCATCGCCGGGGGCGCAATCCTGCTTGTGGGCATGGCATACGCATACACCCTACTTGACAGAATTGATCCCCAGTACATGGACGAGACGGTGGCCCTGGTTCCGCCGCTTTTCATGGCAGTGTCGATTCCCGTCATTGCCGTCGGGACGATGCTGTTGCGGCTCAGGGAGCGGCGGCCAAAAAAAGAGTACGTTTAGTGGTCGAATCTCATGCCGCTGTCGTGGTGCCGAAATCCCAAATTCTGGTAGAATTCCTTTACCGCATCGGTGCACTGCAGGACGGTCTTGTAGCACCCGGCCCGGACTGCGTGGTCCAGGCATACGCGAATGAGGCTCGCACCGATGCCTGAACCCCGCATATCATCCAACACGGCCACATCCTCTATGTGGCCCGCCCGTCCGCCATTGTGTATGAACTTCTGTTCTATGAGTAGGGTGGCAGCCCCGACCACCTTGCCGTCAAGCTCTGCCACCAGCACCACGTGATCTGGGTTTGAGCATATCCGGTGAAACACGTCCCGGGCCTCTGACTCGGCCATGCTGCTGGCTTCCCTCAGCGAGTCCAACGACAGCAGAAAGCCGTTGAAGATGTCTTCTTCCTGCAGCCTTCTGATCCTGAGCCCGGGAACGCCGCCCATCAGATCTTTCCCAGCCTGTCAAGAAACTTCTGGTTTGCTTTCTGGTACGATGTCTTGTCACCTATGTCAATAAAGCCATCCTTGATGAGAAAACTGCCGACTGGCTTGCCGTCGGATATGGCATTCTTTACAACGCTGTCCATTCCGTATGGCACGTTCTCTGGAATGTACCGGAACACCTCTGGTTCCATGACGTAGCAACCCATGTTGATGTCTGCGCTGATCTCCGGCTTTTCGTTCCAGCTGGTAACCCTTCCCCCATCTGCCGTATCTATGACCCCGTAGCGTATCCGGGATTTGTACAGGTACGTGCCGATGGTAATCAGCGACCGGCTCTTCTCGTGGAGCCCGATCATGTCCCGCAGGCCAAAGTCAAAGATCGAGTCGCCATACATGCAGACAAAGGTGCCATCGATGAGATCCTGGGCCGTCTTGAGCTGGCCAGCCGTGGCCAGCGGGCGGTTGGCTGTAGCATACTGCACCCGGACACCAAAGCGGTTCCCGTCCTCAAAGTAGTCCTCGATGGTCCTTTTGAGGTAGCTCACGCAGAGGACTATGTCGCTGATGCCGTTGCTGCTGACCCACTCGATCAGGTGTTCCAGCAGCGGCTTCTCCCCCAGCGGAAGCATGGGCTTTGGCAGGAACGTCGTGTACGGCTGGAGCCGCGTCCCAAGCCCACCGGCCAGAATTACCGCCTTCATAAGTCCTGTCACGTTTTAGTCAGTATTTAATATTCAGGCGCAGGGCCGCATCGAGAACAGGACAGGCAGCTGAAGGGCATTCTGGCGCCATGCCGCCCGCGGCTCACGTCGCTACCACTTGGCGCGTACGGCGATACCCCGCATGCGGGCATAGGGATCCTGGAAGATCTTCCCCGCATGCACGGTTCACTCTGTCCCAGTACCGCCAGGCGTGCTTGTCCAAAGGTGAAGGGGTGGCAGGAAAGGAATGGGAATCATGCAGTGAACGGTGCCAAAAACGGCAAACTGGGTTGTCTGCTGTATATCACGATAGCTTGCACAGGCCGGTTATAGAAGAAGCCCCACCTTCCGGACTATGTCGCCGGGCCCGTCCCCAAATACCATGATCATGGGCTCCTTTCCAGGGCCGCCCTCGTGGAATATGGCGTCGGGAGCCGACGCGGCACCGTCAAGGGCAGTCCGGATCCCCCAGGATACCGAGCCGCCTTCCTTGCGCCTGACATCGTCCGGCTCCCCCCGCCTGTCGTATGACAGCACGGTCATGCCGTTCTCCTGCATCCTTTTTAGCACGTCCTGCCCGAGCCGGATGTTGAGGGCCGAGCGCACATGGGGAAACTTTTTGTTCATCTGCAGTATGGCAGACGCCACATGTCTCGAGCCGCCAAAGACGAGCGGACCCGCGACTATCGCGCCCCTGCCGGATCTCACAATGCGCCCCTGCACCGCAAGCACGTCCTGCCTGGATCTCGGCCGGGTTCGGGAGTAGCCAAAGTTCATCTGCACCTCCGGAATCAGTCTGTGGATGTTTTCCATCCCGACCAAGCGCCGCACCGCGTCTTGCATCTCTGACTCCATTCCGGACGTGGACGCCCCTGCAACGGCAATGCCGCCTCCGATTCTACGGGACTGCCTTATCGAGTCTGCAGCGTACCGCTTTGCAAGCCTTGCCGCCTCGTCGATCCCCAAGCCTGTTGATATGGATGCGGCCAAGGCGGCCGAGTAGGCGCACCCGCTCCCGTGCACTTGCCTGCCTATCCGCCTTGCGGATATGGAGTAGACCCCCGACTCGGTGCAGACGCAGTCACTGACGCTGCCTCCCGACTCCAGCCCGGTAATGATCACGTTTCTTGCACCCATGTCACGCAGCCTTTGTGCAGCCTTCGGCGCGTCGCCTGCGGCTCTGACGCGCACGCCTGTCAGCGCCTCGGCCTCTGCCGCATTTGGCGTTACCGCAAACGCCAGGGGGAGCAGGCCTAGGTAGTCCGGCACCGCCTCCTTCTGCAGCAGGGTGCCGCCGGTGGTGGACTCGATCACGGGATCCAGAACCATGGGCGCCGTGACGCCTGCCAGTCCCGAGCGCACGGCCCCGATGACTTTGGAGCTGTATACCATGCCGATCTTTATCGCGTCGACTCTGAAATCCCCCAGCACGGAGTCCATCTGGCTCCTGACGAGCCCCGGCGAGACCGGCTCTGCGCCTGCAAACCCCGAAGAGTTCTGGCTGGTAACCGCCGTAACCACAGAGAACCCGTTGTGCCCCAGCGCCGCAAACGTGCGCAGGTCTCCCTGAATGCCTGCGCCAGACGAGGGATCGGAGCCCGCTATGCTCAACACATTCATGCCATACACCAGGACCCTGACACTCTTGAATCTTGTGCAGTGCATGCTGCGCCTGCCTGCGGCTCTCAAAAAGTCAGGAGTACGCGCTGCAGAAGGGAGCTCACTGTTTAAATCATCGGGAGTCGTAAACACGTCATAATGGGTACCCAGATGAGCTCTGCTCGGCGCGGCGTCGCCACCGATGAGATGAAACAGGTGGCCCGTGACGAGGATGTCACGATGGAGTGGCTCCTGCAGAAGATCGCCAGCGGCTCGATCATAATTCCCAGCAACAACGTCCGGAAGCAGAAGATCCACAACGTGGGCATAGGCCGCGGACTCAAGACCAAGGTCAACGTAAACATCGGCACGTCCACGCTCAACGTAGATCCGGAGGCAGAGGTAAAAAAGGCCAGGACCGCCGTCAAGTACCACGCCGACACCATAATGGATCTCAGCGACGGCGGGGATGTAGGAGCCATCAGGAGGACCTTGCTGGAGGCTGCCCCCATCACGTTTGGCACTGTCCCCATCTACGAGGCGTACAACTATGGCGTCTCAGTCCACAAGAACCCCATGAACCTCACCGAGGACGACTTCCTGAAGGCCTTTGAGAACAACGCAAAGGACGGCGTTGACTATACCACGATTCACGCCGGGATCACAAAGGAGATCGCAAAGAGGATTCTCCAGGTGCAGCGGCACGGCGGCATCGTGAGCAAGGGCGGAACCATCACTGCCGCCTGGATGCTCAAGTACGACAAGGAGAACCCGTACTTTGAGCACTATGACTACTTGATCGAGCTTGCCAGAAGGTATGACGTGACGTTCAGCCTGGGGGACGCCCTCAGGCCCGGCTCCATTCTGGACTCTCACGACGAGCTGCAGGTGCAGGAGATGATCAATGTGGCCAGGCTGACCCGGCGCGCCCACCAGCAGGATGTGCAGGTGATGGTGGAGGGCCCGGGGCATGTCCCGCTAAACGAGGTGGCCGCCAACGTGCGGCTGGCCAAGTCCCTCATCGGGGACGTGCCGTATTACGTCTTGGGCCCGCTGGTCACAGATGTCGCCTCGGGCCACGACCACATTGCCAGCGCCATCGGAGCGGCGGTGTCTGCCAGCGAGGGTGTTGACCTGCTCTGCTATCTTACCCCCTCAGAACACTTGGCGCTGCCCGATGCCGACGAGGTCAAGGCAGGCCTCATAGCCTACAGGATCGCGGCCCATGCGGCGGACCTGGTCAAGATCAGGGACAAGGCGATAAAGTGGGACATGGCGATGACAGAGGCCCGGCGCACCCTGGACTGGGAGAGGCAGATCGCCCTGTCCATTGACCCCGAGGAGGCTGCCAGAATTCACAGCAGGACGGGCCAGCATCCGGGAAACAATGTTCCCTGTACAATGTGCGGGGGAGCCTGCGTCTACATCATGCTGCCCCAGCAGAGAAGATACGAGAAGGACAAGGAGCTACAGCAGGCAGGATAGAACGGCCTCAAGGCCCGGCACGGTGTCGTATCCGGATACGTCCTCCCTGCGCACCCACCGAAACTCCGAGTTTTCGCGGTTCAGTATCACACGGGAGCTGTGCGCCTCAAACAGAAACGGGTACACCATCCACCGGAGCCCCTGCGACGCTACCGTAACCGGCGGGCCTGCCCTTATCAGGGTGACCCCGTCTGGCAGGACTTCCAGCTCCTCAGATATCTCGGTGACGGCTCGCGCCAGTGGCTGCTCGTCGCCCTCGATGCTCCCGCTGACGCCGGCCCACAGGCCGGGCATGCTCCTCACGGCATCGCTGCGCCTTAGAAGCAGGATCTTCCTGTTGCGTACAAGGATGGCCGTTACCACGTCTGGCATGCGCTACTCTATCGAGGATATCATCTTTATGTGCTTCTTGTACGAATCGTCTATGTCTGCGCTGACAGCCAGCCTCTCCTGGCACGCCACGATATACTTTGAGATCTCCTCGGTCTTGTTCTCCTGCACCGCCGTCAGTAGCCTGCCCACGTCCTTCCAGAGCTCGTCGGCAAACCTGCGTATCTCCGGATTTGACACTATGGTCTCGATGAGATCCGGCGACTGCGTCATAATACTCTCTGCCAGGATCTTCTGGGCCCGGAACGTGCCCCCGGACATCTTCTCTGTCAGTGTTGTCTTGTCGTCCTTTGACACTATGCTGCAGAAGATCACGTTCACAAGATGTGTCAGGCCCAGCACCATTGCCATCTTTTTGTCGTGCTCGTTGGCGTTGATGGTTACAAAGCTGGCCCCTGCAAAGAGCATCTTTGCTACCTCCAGCTCCTTCTTTCCGTCCTTGACTGGAATCGATATTATATTCTGGTTCTTGATGGATCTGATGCCGGGGCCAAACATGGGATGAACACAGATGGGGCTGATCTTGGCAGGAATCTTGGAGAGCGCAGATATCGTCTTTGATTTTTGGGAGGATATCTCGATAAGGTATGCCCCCCGCTTCATCTCCTTTGCTATCAGCCGTATGATCTCAGGAGTCCTCCGCGTGGGAGTGCACAACAGCACATAGTCTGCCTTGAGGATGGCACCCACTAAGGACTGGGCTTGGGTTACCGCTTTTTCTGGAATGTCGCTCTCCGAGTCGTACCCGATCACCTCAAACTTTCGTCCCAGAAAGTACTTTGCGAACCACCGTCCCATCCGCCCCCCGGCGCCTATAATTGCAATCTTCTCAGCCATGTCTATTTCCCAAGTTACCGTATATGATATTCATGCCTTTAATTAGTGTCTCTTCGTTCTGGCATGCGGATATCCGGATGTAGTCCCTGTAGTCCCCAAAGGCCTCGCCGGGCGCCACCGCAACTCCGCGCTCGAGCAGATCCCGGGCCAGCCGGGTACCGTCGCGCCCGATCCTGACAAACAGGTACATTGCGCCGTCGGGCCTGACAAACTCAAGGCCCATCTTCTTGGCCATGTCTGATATGACATCCAGGCGGGACATGATCGTCTGGGATCTTGCATCCGTGTCGGCTCCCAGCGCCTGCATCGCTGCATACTGCACAGGCTCGGCCACGCAGGCCATGAGCATCGCCTGCCGGGCCACCATCGAGCCTATGACATCTGGACGTGCCATCGCATAGCCCACCCGGAAGCCCGTCATGGCGTGAGACTTGGAGAACGACTGCACCACTATGCTCTTGTCATAGCCGCTTCCCAGAACACTCTTCCAGCCAGGTTTGGCATACTGCCAATAGATCTCATCGCTGAGTATGTAGAGTCCTCGGTCGCTGGCCGCACCCACTATCTCGTCCTGCGCATGCGCGGACAGAACCTTTCCCGTGGGGTTGTTGGGATAGTTGAGAACCAGCATCCGGGTGCCGGGGCCTGCTGCCTCCTTGACCTGCTCCGCCGAGGGCTCCCAGCCGCCTGCCATATCGGTGTGTATAGTCGTCACCTTCACGCCCGAGCTCTGCGCGCACTGGGCGTATGCAGGCCAGGCCGGATCGATCACTATGATCTCATCCCCGGGATCCAGCAGCGATATCGCAAGGTACACCGCAAACCTTCCCCCCGGGGTCACCATGACACCGCTTGGTGATACGTCTGCGCCAAAGTTTTTTGATGCGTACCGCGCCAGCGCGTCCCGGAACTGTGGCATCCCGCCAGCCGGCCCGTATCTCGTAAACCCGCGATCAAAGGCGTCGGTCATGGATCCCCTCACCACATCCGGGGGGGCAAAGTCCGGTTCGCCCACCTCCATGTGGACGATATGCCTTCCCTGCGCCTCCAGTGACTTTGCCCTCATGAATATGTCCATGTGTGTAGATATCCCAGTTGACTGCACGCTTACGGACTCGTTGAGCAGAAAGTTGAGAAACCTTGCGCCTAGGGACTCGCTCATTCCCAGCTCGCGGCACAGGGACCGGACATCTTCTCGCAGCTCGTCCTCCCGCCGCCTGTCTGTAACGCCCTTGCCCATGTCCTGCTTGAGCCGGCCTATCTGCAGGGCAAGATCGGTTCTGGACTTGAGGAGCCTGATCATCTCCAGCGTGATCTCGTCCACCCTGCCCCGCAGCTGATCTATCTCCGACATGCTACAAAACCGGTCCGATGAATCCCCCGAGAAGGGCGTGGTCTGCCAGAACCAGCGCGACTACCGAGTCCACAACGGGCGGGGCCCGCGGAACCACGCACGGGTCGTGCCGTCCCTTGACGCTGAGCACCGCATCCTTGCCTGACTTGATGTCCACGGTGGGCTGCTCCCTGGGAATGGAGGAGGCCGGCTTGAAGGCTACCCTCAGGGTCAGCGGCATCCCTATGGAGATGCCGCCCAAGATGCCCCCGGCGTTGTTGGTTCTGGTCTGCACGGCGCCGTCCCTTAAGACAAAGGTGTCGTTATTCTGGGAACCAGTGGACTCGGATCCCGCAAAGCCGGATCCAAACTCAACGCCCTTGACTGACGGGATGGAGAAGACTCCGCTGCTGATGTCTGACTCCAGTGAGCCAAAGACCGGCTCTCCCAGGCCCACGGGCAGTCCGGTGGTGACCGACTCGATCATTCCCCCCAGCGAGTCCATGTCTCTTCTGGCACCAAGTATTGCTGCGCGCATGAGCGCTGCGGCCTCGGGGTCAGGGCACCGGACATCGTTTCCGTATATGTCCGGTATCATCTTCTCTGTGAACCGCTTGCCCATTGCCACCTTGCCTATCTGGGACACGTACGAGTGCGTCTGCACATCTAGCGCCGCGCCCAGAAGCTTCCTTGCGATGGCGCCTCCCATGACAAGCGTGGCAGTAAGCCTGCCTGAGAATCTCCCGCCGCCGCGGTAGTCGTTGTGCCCTTTGTACTTGATCATGGCAGGATAGTCCGAGTGGCCCGGACGCAGCTTTGTCTTCAGCTCCTCGTAGTCGGTAGATCTCTGATCCCGGTTCCAGATTATCATGGCGATGGGTGCGCCAGTGGTGCTTCCGCGAAACACCCCTGAGAGGATCTCCACCTTGTCACCCTCGGCCCTCTGGGTGCTGATGGCAGACTGTCCTGGCCTCCGCTGGTCGAGCATGCCCTGTATGTCCCCTTCCTCCAGCTTCAACCCGGCTGGGCACCCGTCCAGCACGGCGCCCACACACTTGCCGTGGCTCTCGCCAAAGGTTGTAAGAACCAGCCGTCTTCCCATCGAGCTACCGGGCACAGATCTCATATGGTTGGCTGATAAATATAACCTTACGTAAGGCTGAGCTTGGCGCCCAGCCCCCTCATATCCTCGATAAAGCTAGGATAGGATATCCTGACGGATTCCGGATCCTCCACGGTGCAGTCGTCGATGGCCATGGCCAGAATGCAGAACGCCATGAAGAGGCGGTGGTCGCTGTGCGGATCCAGGTGCGCGCCGCCAAGAGCGCCCGGCGTCAGGGTCAGGCTGTCTTGCCCTTGGACAGCTCCGATCCCCGCCTTTGCCAGCTGGGATGCCAAGACCGCGATCCTGTCGGTCTCCTTGAACCTGGCGTGGCCCACGTTGACGATCTCCAGGGGAGCAGAGCACCTTGCCGAGAGAATTGCCAGCGGCGGCAGGAGATCCGGCGTGTTTCCCAGATCAAACCGCCCGCCTGCAAGCACGCCGGGTGCATCAACCGATATGACATCTTCTCCCACGTCGACTCGGACGCCCAGAACCTCCAGTATGTCTATGAACGACTCGTCTCCCTGTGGCAGATCGCCAAATGCGACGCGGATCTTCATCTTCTCTCCTGCCAGCACTGCGGCCGCCAGCAGCAGAGCCAAGCTGGAGGAGTCAGAGGGAACCGTAAAGGATGCTGGCCTGTAGGCCTGGGGCGCCACTGCATACCTGCGAAAGGGGATCACCGTGTGCACCACGACCCCGAACCTCCTCATGGCAGATATGGTGGCCTCCAGATACGGCTTTGAGACCAGATCTCCCTGTATGCTTATCGTGACCCCGCTTCGCGTCATGGGGGCAGATATCATCAGCGCCGAGATGAACTGGCTGGAGATGTTGCCCGGTATGTCTATGTGGCCGCCGGCGATCCTGCCGGTAACCGTGACAGGGGGTCGGCCTTCCCGGGAGCTGCACCGGGCGCCCATGGTGCCCAGCGCGTCTAGGAGTGGCTGCATGGGCCTCCGCCGGAGACTCTCATCGCCGGTAAGGGTGGACGTGCCTTCCGCAAGCGCCGACACCGCAGATGCAATCCTGATGGTGGTGCCGGAGTTTGCCGCATCTATGTCGGCCGGCCGCAGCCCCCGTGGCGTGACCCGTAGCACGTCCCCGTCCTGCTCGATCTCTGCGCCAAGGCTCCGGCAGGCTGCCACCGTGGCATCGGTGTCTGCGGACGCAAGCACGTTTGCGATCGTGCTGGGCCCATCTGCCAAGGACGCCAGAAATATGGCGCGGTGCGTGTAGCTCTTGCTTGCAGGGCAGCAGATCTCCCCCGAGAGGCGGGATCTCTCAATCACGCACTTCATGGACCTCTGCCTTTTTGTTGTTTGCCGGCGATGTGATTATCCGCCCGTCCAGAGATGAGAAGACCTTCCTCACGCCGGAGACCGCATTTTGGCGCACTGCTGCGGCAACCGCCGTGCCGTTGCCAGAGACCGAGGCCCCCAGGGCTCCCGCCTCCAGCAGTCGTGGGATCAGCGCGGGATCCGAGTTGAGAAACGGCCCTGCCGTTATGCCGTTGAGCAGCATGGCCCCCCAATAGTTGGATCTTCTGGCCATCTGCCACGCAGCTTCAAAGGCGCTCTTCTGCTCCCTGAGCTTTCGGGGGTTGCGGCGCCTGGAAGAGGCCGGAATGAAGATCACCGCAGCTATGCCACTGGGAATCGCCTGGTGGCGCACCAGCCTTCTTTTGAGGTTGTCAGTTACGTTAAAGCCGCCGTAATAGCATGCGCAGGCATCGTCATAGGCACCGGTTATGCTGATTCCGGTCTCGATGGATGCATCAATGCCTGCCAGAAGCACCCGGGAGTCGTTCACCTCCGGCCCGAAGAGCTTGGCGCAGGCAAGCGCCACCGCAGAGGAGATGGAGCTGGAGCTCTTGAGGCCGTACCCGGCGGGAATCTCCGACTGGAGATTTACGTGAATGTGCGTCTTTGCCAGGTCCCTTGCGGGAACGATCTTCCGCACCGTGCTGGTGACCAGCCGCTGGCTGAGGCTCTTGCTACCGGCATCCAGTGTAATACCCTCCCCCGGGGTGGCCTCGATCCGGGCACGGACCTCCAGCGAGACTCCCATGGTGGCCCCCATGCCGGTGGCTATGGCGCTCACTATCGATATGGCTCCGCGGACCTTGGCCTGTACGGCGCGCAATCAGACGCCCCCCAGCAGGGCGCGTTTCATGGCGCCGTATGGCGCCTCTGTGCCGTGCCATATCTCAAACGCCCGCGCCGCCTGGCCCAGCAGCATCTCGTACCCGTAGATTATCGTTGCTCCCATCTTCCCAGCCTTTGCTATCAGATCTGTCTTCATGGGCCTATAAACAATATCGTACACCACCGAGTCCGGGCCCAGCGTCCCAAGGTCCAGTGGGGAGAGCTCGCCCTTCAGCCCGACCGCCGTGGCGTTTACGACAAACTTGTACTCTGAGAGCGGGCCGATCCTGTCAGGCCCGACGTATCTGGCCTGCAGGCCTGCCGCCTCTGCAAACCCCGCAAGGGACGCCCCGCGGGCCAGGGTCCTGTTTGCCACGGTGATGGACTCGGCGCGCTCGCGGGCAAACCCGGCTGCGATGGCCCGAGCGGCCGCCTGCTCCCAGCAGCAGCACCCGTGAGCCCCTGATGGGAATCCCCCTCCTCCTGATGGGATCCAGGAATCCCTCCATGTCGGTGTTGTGCCCTTTCAGGGTACCGCCGGCATTTGAGACCGTGTTGCACGCCCCGACGACGCTGCAGTTCTCATCCACCACGTCTAGGTGGTGCATGACGGCGATCTTGTGCGGGATTGTGATGTTGAATCCGGCCACTCCGATACTCTTCAGTGCGGCAATGCCGCTCTCCAGCTCGTCTGCCAGAACCCTGTAGGCTATGTAGGTGCAGTCAAGGTTCAGGCTGCGAAACGCGGCATTGTGGATGTTGGGCGACAGCGAGTGGTCGATGGGATCCCCGATCACGGCAAAGGTCTTTGTCACGATACAACCTGCATGGATGATGAATCATTTAACTCTAAAGATCGCATGTAGCATGCAAGGTCACAGCCTTCCCTCACCTAGGCACAAAGGTATGCACTCCGGGAGGGTCTGCGATTCAGCGCAGGGCATATCTCATGTACGTACAGGCGCCGTCAGCCTCTTGATCTCTGCCAAGCTGTACTGTCCCGGGGCCACTGCCCTGCCTAGGGAGACATACGTGTAGGGGGCCCCCAGGTACAGACAGACCAGCCGCGATATCTTTCCCATGTCTCCCATGCAGAATGCAATCAGCTCCGTGTCTCCTGCGGCGCCGTACAGCGAGAGGATCCTGGATGCGTCCATGGCGGTCCTGGCAGTGGCAACCATCTTCACATGTGCCGAGTATCCGGACATGCGCCTCATCTTTTGCAGCAGTGCGCCTGCATCGGGCGTCTTCTCAAAGTCGTGCCAAGAGACCAGGATGCCTGCCCCCAGATCTGCCGCAAGCTTGCCCCTTCTTATGGAGTCATACTCTACGTCCAGGCGGTACGGTTCGTACCCCGAAGCCAGTCTGAGCAGATCCCTCCTGCTGGCCTCGGATTCTGCGAACATGCCGCCCTGTGACTCGGGCCTGATGGTGCAGACGCACCTCTTCAGGTGTCTCCTGCACATCTTCAGGGCGTCTGGAACATGCTCTGGCTTTAGAAAGTCAAGGCGCAGTTCCGCATATCTTGAAACACCCAGTGCTCCCTGCAACGCAGTTAGCATGCCTTTAGGCGTTCTGCGGGCAATGGTTACGCATGTGGCGTACTCCGGGCTACTTTTCCAGGATGTACTCATCGGCTACCTCCATCCCGAAGTGCCTTCCGGCAGCTGCCTTTGAGTGGACCAGCACGGTATCCCCCTTCTTCAAGTGGGTCACCGAGACCAGCTCCCCGTCGGGCCTGACAAACCGGATGGTCTCCGCATCTTGGGATATTATCCCGCCGACCTCGCCATCCACTGTGGCCTTGATCATCAGCATCGGGCGCCTCTCGATCTTGGAGCGCCCCACGGCGGCCCTCCGGGCTCGCCCGCTGGAGTCAAGAACCAGAACCTCGGATCCCATCTCTATCTCCGAGAGGTAGCTGGTGGTTCCGTCCGGCGACAGGGTATAACAGTGAACCGCTCCGGCGTTTACGCGAAACGGCCTGGGAGAGGTAAAGGATGAGCCCACAGACTCGTTGTGCACCAGAAAGAGAAAGTTGGAGCGGTTTCCCACCAGCATGCCCTCGCCCAGGCGCAGTATGGATGCCGTGTCCACGCATACGCGCTCCCCGTCACCAACCTCCTGTATCTTGACTATCTTTGCCGGCCGGAGCTGGAAAGATCTGGCTCCGAGATCCACTTGGGCCTCCCTTACCTCGTTGATGGACGAGGTTATGAAGATCACGCCGTCCACGCCAACCTCGAGTATGGAGAACATCTTTCTTGCCTCCCGGGCGCTGTGGGCAAGGGCAAATATCCTGGTGTCGATCTTGTGAAGCTTGGCTATGATGTTCTCCAGTGGGATTATCTTCCAGTCCTTCACTGCCACTATGACAAAGTCCAGTCCCTTCTCTGCAGATACAAGTACGTCGTCTATGTCCTGGTTTGAGAGCACTTCGAACATCATGCCGCGCTTCTTGTCCTCTGCCGCGTTCTCAGTGCCCACGGTATAGTCTGCGGCAGGAGACGGGTACACAGTCTCAAACTTCAGCCCCCCCAGCTTTGCCGGATCAAGGTACACGGTTCCTATTCCCTCTGCTGTCAGCTGCGCCAGAAACTCCGGCAGCCGATCGTCAGGTACGTCCGGCTCGATGATGAGCTCCTTTGGTTCAGTCAACTCTCTTTGCAGCTTCCCTTGCAGACTCGTTTCCATATATGATGGCCGCCAGCGCCTCTACCATTCCAGGCGGATTCTTGTGGGCGAAGATGTTTCTGCCGTAGGTGACCCCCTTTGCCCCCGCACTCATGGCATCCTCTGTCATCTGTAGTATCTCCATGTCGGTCTCGGCCGTCGGCCCTCCGGCAATCACCACCGGAACCGGTGTGCTCTTTACTATTTTAGAGAACGAGTCCACATCCCCGGTGTACACCGTCTTTACAATGTCTGCGCCGCACTCGGCGCCAATCCTTGCCGCATGCGCCACGATCTCTGGATCGTGGGGATCCTTTACGTTCTCGCCTCTGGGATACATCATTGCCAGAAGTGGCATGTTCCACAGGTGGCACTGACCTGCCGTACGGCCCAGCTGCTCTAGCATCTCAGGCTCCTCCTTTCCGCCTATGTTGATGTGCAGTGACACCCCATCTGCCCCCAGTCTCAGCGCCTCCTCCACGGTGCCTGTGAGCATCTTCCTGTTGGGCGATGTGGATAGGGATGTGCTGCTGGAAAAATGCACCAGGACTCCGATCCTGGCAGGCTCGGGCATGGTTCTGATGATTCCCTTGTTGACTATAACGCTGGAGAGGCCGTGATCCTGGCACCGGTAGATTATCGAGTGCGGATCCTCCAGTCCCGGAATGGGCCCGTTTGAGATCCCATGGTCCATGGGGATGCAGAGCATCTTGCCGTCCTTCATAATGCGATCAAGTCTGATCTGGTGTCCGGTTACCACAAGGAAGTGTTTTTTTTGCGCCCTATTAAAAATAACTAGTAGATGCCGTATGGTCCAGACACCGCCGCATAGCCCGTCCCCACATGTCCGGAGATCAAAAAACGCCTCCGCATGCCATGGTTCCCGTCTGCCGCCCGGATCTCAGTGCAGGGTCGTTCTTGAAGGCCGGCGCGAGGATGCGCCTCGCGCACCTCGTTGCAGGCGCGTCCATGCGAGCCGTAAGCTGGGTTTTTGGTCAAAATACCGCCCACCGCATGCCGGCAGATACGCGGGGTTGGTGCGTAATTCTGCTCCGTCCTGCTCATGTGTGTCTCCCGTTGCGTCTTCACCGGCGGTGCTTTGGTGCGTGTCGGGCTTTGTTGCCAGCACGCCGTGATCAGCTACTGACGGGTCGGATCATCAGGCGCACCCCACGTGCGCCATGCCACCGTAGGAGGGTATTGGTATGTTCAGCCGGTTGGCGCACTCGAACCGGTTGAGGGTCCGGATGTTCCAGGCGATCGCCCTTCCCTTGGCGAACCGGCGCCGGTTGTCCTCCCGGACGAACCGGCAGTGCAGCTGGTGCCGCCGGGTCTCCTCGGCCCCGAAGATGCCCTCTATCAGGGCCCTCTTTCTGTACTCGCTATCGCTGAACATGCCGGCTGCCTTCCTCCTGTGCGACTTGCCACGGTTGACAGCATCCTTCCGTTGCTTGATGTTGGGGATCATGCCCATCCAGAACAGCAGCTCGCAGTTGTAGTCAGAGTCGTACCCCTTGTCCCCGTCAAAGAAATTCCCCGCAAAGTCAAACCCGCGACGCCTGATCTCAGCCAGCATGACTGGAAGCATGGTCGTGTCGTTGATGTTGCTGGGCGTGGTGAACGCCGCCAGCACGATCTGCAGGCCCAAGATGGCCGTTATGTGGTATTTCCAGTAGGTCTTTTGGCGTGTCTCGACGAAGTCGCGCTCCTTCCTGCTTGGCCTCTCGACGTATTCGTACCTAGTGGTCTCCGCCGCGCTGCTGTCGGCTCCCAGCGGGCCCGTCGCCTCGTCCGCCTCCTTGATGCAACGGCGGGCCGTCTCGGCCACGATCAGATCGAGCCAGTCTGCTGGTATCGTCTGGAGGTGCCTGACCAGTGTGGTATGGTCCGGGACGGGCTCGTTGTCCCATGGTGTCCGCATGCCTCGCAGGTCCGATTCGACTCCGCGATAGGTGTTGTTGCCTGCCATCATCAGCAGACAGGCAAAGTCCAGTTTCTCCTTGGAGTGAACCGGGGGACGGCCCCTGTTGCCGTTTTCTCGGCGCGGGCAAGGGGTTCTCCCGGATTATCTCGATCAGCGTCCTCTTCAGACTAGGTGCCTCGACTTCCTTTGCCAGTTCATAGTACTGGCCAGTATCCTTCCCGTCTGTTGTGTTCGCTCATTGCCGCGTGCGGGAGATCGCGGATCATTGAACGTATCGGACGGGGTCTAGGCGGTTCGGAGATTACGCACCAACCCCCAGATACGCTCAAAGATTAAATAATCTGCGGAGGTGGATCATAACCAGTCAGTTGAACCAAATTGCAAAGCAGATTCACTCCAGCGACATAAGGGACATACTTGAAAACTCCCTTGGCGGCAACAGGCCGGATCGGGCCGACTGCCTGCGCCTGCTGGAGTCCGACGATGTGCAGCTCATGGGGATGGCCTCAGGTCACATAACCAAGAAGAGGTTTGGCATAACAGCCTCCTTTGTGAATAACATAATTCTCAACTATACCAACGTCTGCATCACCGACTGCAAGTTCTGCGCATTCTACAGGTCCCCCGGCGCCGATGGATCGTACACCCTGACGCTTGATGAGATCGAGACGCGGGTAAAAACCGCCCGGGACATGTTTGGGATCCGGCAGGTGCTCATCCAAGGCGGGCATAATCCAAACCTGGGGATAGAGTACTACGAGAGCGCCTTTGGGATGATCAGGGCAAAGTTTCCCGAGGTAGGCGTTCACGGCCTGTCGCCGTCAGAGATCGACATGATAGCCAAGGTTGAAAAATGCTCGACCGCCGAGGTGATCTCGCGCCTGGCAGAGGCTGGGCTCCAGTCCGTTCCGGGAGCCGGGGCGGAGATCCTGGTCGACTCGGTAAAGGATGTGATCAGCCCCAAGAAGATAGACAGCGCCGCATGGTTAAGGATAATGGAGGAGGCCCACATGGCGGGCCTGCCCTCGTCTGCCACCATGATGTACGGACACGTAGAGTCAAACCGGGACATTGCGGAGCACTTTGGCAGGATTGCAGAGCTGCAGGAGAAGACCCATGGGTTCATGGCATTTATCCCCTGGAGCTTTGAGCCAAACAACACACTCATGCAGAAGGAGGATCCCACAACCCACGGCTCCGGCGGCACCAGGCTGCTCAGGATGATTGCGATATCACGGCTGGTCTTTGACGGCCTTATTGAGCACCTGCAGTCTTCCTGGCTTACCAACGGAATCGGAATGGCCCAGCTGGCCCTGCAGTACGGCGCCGACGATTTTGGCGGCACGCTGATAGGCGAAGAGGTGGTGTCGTGCACCGGCGCCCGATCCACAGAGCTCACCGACGCAAAGATAGTCGAGGCCATCTCCCAGATAGGCTACAGGGCAGTGGAGCGAGACAACTTTTACAATACCGTCTCTGTGCGCCAGTAAGCCGTTCGGGTTCGGCACGCAACTGTTACCAGGTCAGAGCCCGTACGTGCTCCACCGCGAGTCCACCAAGCCCCTAGTTCGGTCATCCACTGTAACCTTCTCCTGCACCTCTCTTGTGAATCCCTCCTGTATCGTCTTCTGCGTTGCGTCTATTCCCAGCTTGGAGCCTAGGTTCACCAGCGGGGATGCGGGATCCAGCGTGTCGGTGGGGGTGTTGTTGATTATGGTTGTGTCCCTGGCGGGATCTGCCCTAGTGGTGATGGCCCAGATCACGTCGTTGATGTCCTGCACATCCACATCGTCGTCCACCACGATGAACATCTTTGTCAGCGCCAGCTGTCCCGTGCCCCACAGACCCATCATCACCTTCTTTGCCTGTCCGGGATAGCTCTTCTTGATGGAGATGATTGCCATTCCCTGAAACCATCCCGCCGCGGGCATTGCAAAGTCCACAACCTCCGGGTGGAACATTTGGATGAGGGGCAGGAACGAGCGCTCGATGACCTTGCCCACGTACGCATCCTCCAGTATCGGCTTGCCCACCACGGTGGTCAGGTACACCGGATTCTCCCTGTGCATTGCCCCGGTGAGCGTAAAGGTCGGATACTGCTCCACCGGGGTGTAGTAACCCGTGTGATCGCCAAAGGGCCCCTCGTCGCGCAGGTCTGCGGGATCCACGTACCCCTCCAGCACGATCTCCGCGTTTGCCGGAACCTCCAGATCTATGGTTTTGCACCTCACAGTGCTGATTCCCTTCTTGCGCACTATTCCCGAGAAGAGGTACTTGTCAAGCCCCTCTGGAACCGGTGCAATCCCAGAGAATACGGTAGACGGCTCTCCTCCGATAATTATTGCCGCAGGGATTCTCTCCCCTTTTGCTTTTGATATCTCGCTGTGCTGCGCCCCGCGCTTGTGCTTCTGCCAGTGCATTATGACGTGTTGGCCGTCCACTATCTGCATCCGGTACACGCCCAGGTTCCTCACGCCCGTCTCCGGATGCCTTGTTGCCACAAGGCCCAGCGTGATGAACCGTCCTGCGTCCCCGACCCATGTCTTTAGGATCGGCAGACCGTCAAAGGTCGGATTCTTCTGCACCACCTTGGTTACCGGACCGCTGCTCACCGGTTTGGGAAATGACTCGCTCATCTTTGATAGCTGGGGGAGTTTTTTGAGCTTTCCCAGGAGTCCGGGCGGCATGTCCATCCGGGTCATCTCCACAATTCTGCTACCGATCTCTGTAAAGTCCCGGGTCTCCAGCGCAATCTCAAGCCTCCTCATGGTGCCAAAGGCGTTTCCCAGCACCGGCATGTCATAGCCCTTCACATCCTCAAAGAGTACCGCCGGTCCCTGTGCGTACATGGTTCTCCGGAGAATCTCTGCAATCTCCAGGTCTGCGTCAACCTGCGTTTTGACACGCTTCAGCTCGCCCGCCTCCTCTAGTATTCCTACAAGCTCCTGCACATCCCCGATTGGCACAAACACCGATCTGTTGCATTGCAGTATAAGCTTAACGTACAGGCCCAGAGATGTGATTCGTAATTAGCACGCAGGCATATTAGAGCACGATCTTTGGCATAATCATACGAAAGTTGCATGCTTTGGAGCACACATCTGTAAGATTATGGGCATCGAAGGCCCGATTCTTAATTGCGGATCATGTCTCAGCAGAGGTCGTGGCTGCCCGCACGGCTCTGTGGCGTCATTGGGCCTGTCTGCATGATCCCCGTGCCGCGCCGACAGGGCATATGATCCTGCGGCGCAATGGGATTCCAGACATGCATCGACGGGGCAAAAGGTGCCATGGACGAGATCAATTGCCGCATCATGGCGGACGTGAAGACTCACCAGGATGTGCAAGCCCGTGCCTGAATGGGAGGCAAGGCGGCATCACACAGGTTTCATTTACAAAACGTTTTACAGATCTGCTACGATACGCAAGTAGATAATATTGGCTGGAAAAAAGTGCGCCGTGTGTAGCGGTATGGGCACGATTGAGCTTCTTGGCAGCGAGTGTCCCTTCTGCAACGGCACGGGCGAGCATTCGAAGATTGCCGAATCGTACTTCAAGTCACACATATGCCAGTGCGTCTTTCTGGACAGAAAGCGATGCCCGCTGTGCAAAAAGAAGTGCCATCACGACACGCCCAACAAGCCAAAGATCCTCATAGAGCCGATGTAGCTACGACATGGGTGGCAGCTCGTTCTTCCTGTCATGGCCTCCGGAGCCAAACTTGCAGTAAAAGCACAGATCCGACTGCATGTGGTTCAGTATGTGCACCTTGATTGCTCCCAGCTTTAACGCGATTTTGGTAAGCATCTTGTACTTGAACGGCATGGATGGGATCACCTCGTCCATGTAGACGCGGTAGTGATCCGGACAGAACCTGAGGGTAATCCTTGCCGGTTCCTTTCCCTTCTCGTTTACCTGCTTTGTAAACTTGATCTGCTCACGGATGTACTCGTGCTTGGGACAGGGGCAGTCCTTTCCATATGGATGCTTGTACGCAGGCGTGTTCTTCCAGTCAAAATCCGGGAACTCTTTTTCAAAATCGTCCATTATTACTCAAGCGTACTTGATGTTTATAAGATTTGGTTGTTTGGCGATCCGCCTGCCACTTGGTAGCGCCACTCTGTGCCCGTGTGACAAGTCGACCACCCAAACTTGGGATCCAAAGCAAGTCCCCGCGCTGAGACGGGCGTGAGGACCACAGCCGTACACGCACGTGTCCTAATGTGGAGATGGTGTGAAGCCACGCGCGGCACCACATAAAATCCCTGCAGCCCATCCCCCGTCCGGCACCGCCCCGTCTGCCTCCCGATAGTGACTTCCCTTCTTGCAGGGTGTCCCGTAGGTATCTGCGTCCCCATGCCCGATCCGCGATCCCTCAGCGCGTGGAGACACTTGCATGGCTAGTGGCGGCCCCCACTCCCTCTCATCCACAGAATATGACGCATGCTGGGTGACCGGGTTTTTCACTGACGGGTTTCTTTCCTGCGTCGCCTGTATTTTTCGTGGCAGCCGTCCCGGCACTCCCACCCGTTCTTGCTCTTCCACCACATTCCAACACAATTTTGCCTGTTCTCCTGTCAGATCGGGGCGGATGCAGTGATCTTGGACCCGATCGGGGCGGCATTCTGGCGAATATGACACCACATAACAAAATGTAAATAAACTATACATTCAGAGTAGTTACCATATGGCAACAAAAAGCAAGTCAAGTTCCAGAGCAACAAAGTCCAGAGCAACCTCCAGAGCAACAAAGCCCAGAGCAACAAAGCCCAGAGCAACCTCCCGGACAGTAAAGCCCAGAGCTACCGCCAGAGCAACAAAGCCCAGAGCTACCGCCAGAGCAACAAAGCCCAGAGCAGCCCCCAAAGTAACAAAGAGAGATCTAGAGGACAAGATTTCCCGGCTTGAGACGATACTAATGGAATTGTCTGCCAGCGTGAACGCAAAACAGGCAGCGGAGGCAAAACCGAAGCCAGCAGAAGTACAAAGCCGAAGCCAGCAGAGGTGGCACCGAAGCCCAAGTCGCTTCCCAAGGTGTCCAAGCCGGCAGAGGTGGCACCGAAGCCCAAGTCGCTTCCCAAGGTGTCCAAGCCGGCAGAGGCAAAGCCGAAGCCAGCACCAAAGCCCGCAACAAAGAAGGCAGATCTTCCAGCAACCATCAGCGACGCACTAGAGCATGCCTACTCGAACGCAGCAATGACCGATACGCACGCCTACAAGCAGAAGGTGCCAGGATACTCACCGTCAGGAAACAGGTACTATGTCAGACTGCACGCGCCGGAAGGCTCGGCCGCAATAGAAAGCTGGCATGCCCAAAAGGCAAAAGTGCCCGGCTACACGCAACCCTCAAACCAGTACTTTGCAACAAGACAGAGACTGGCATGGCACCAGCCGACAAAGAGGTTTACCGCATACGGCATGAAGATTCAGGGCGTATCCGAGACTGCAAAAGCACAGACACAGCAGGCTCCACCTCCACCGCCAGAAGCAAGCGCTCCACCACCACAGCCCACACAGAAGGGCTCCAAGCAGAGCGAACTGGAGGCATACGAAGCAGAATACCTGAAGAAACTCGAGCTAGCAAAGCAGCAACGGGCCAAGGCAAGACAGCAACAGGCAGAACCAAAGCCCGCAGCAAAGCCAAAGGCCGGAGCACTCCCCAAGAGAACCAAGCCCGCCGAACCGCCAAAACCTGCTGCACCAAAACAGTCTAGTGGCAAACTACCAAAGGGTTTCTAACCCACCACAATTTTATTTTTAATTTGCGAACATTCCCAGCACCTGCTCTGAATGACCTGCAGGTTTTACCTTTGCAAATATCTTGAAGATTTTGCCGCTCTCGTCAACAAGAAACGTGCTGCGGACGACGCCCATGTACTCCCGGCCCATGAACTTCTTCTTCGCCCAGACCCCAAATTTTTGGGACACCTGCTTTTCCGTGTCCGACAGCAGCGGAAAGCGGATTCCCATCTTGTCGCAGAACTTTCTATGGGATCTGGTATCATCGGGGCTGATTCCGATTACCTCGATGCCGGCTTCTCTGAATCTTTCATAGTTTTTTGCAAACTCGTCTGCCTCCGTGGTGCACCCAGGCGTAAAGTCCCTTGGATAAAAGTAGATCACGTATTTTTGGCCTGCAAGATCAGATGAACTGACCAGCTTTCCGTCTGCATCCTGCAGTTCAAAAGATGGAACAGGCTCGCCCTCGCTTATCATGGATGCCGTGCACTACAGCCCTCATAAATTATTTCGTACCGCGGTATCTGAAGGGTGCCGCGCTACCTTATCGGGCTTCCCGGAGGGGCGCTCTCGCCTGCCTCCAGCCAGAAGGGCACGCCATCCACATCCGCTGCAAGAAGCATGGCCTCTGACTCGATTCCGGCCACCTTCTTTGGCTCCAGATTTACAATCGCGATGACCCTCCTCCCCATCATCTCTTCCGGGGTGCAGTGTTGGGCACCGCCGATGATCACGTTGCGCTCTTCGTTTCCTATGTCTACGGTGCCGCGCATGATACGGGTCTTGCCTGGGATGGGCTCCGCTGCGATCACCCTTGCAACCCGGATATCCAGGCTGCCAAACGTGCTGTAGGGTACGCGCTCCACAGGTGCCATACCACGTCTGGATATAAAACTGATTTCAGGCTGGATCCATACCGGGTCGCCTGCTGCATCGAGTAATGAACAAGGATTATCTCGGATGCGCGTCTTTGTGCCTGAATGAGGAGGAAGCATGGCAGCATGCCGGAACTGCAGGTGGCCCATGCCCACATGTTCAGACACGCCTGTAGGCTGGACACGGATCATACAAAACATGGGGAGAGCTGGTCAGCCAGGATGGCAAAAAACAGACAACTAAATATAATTATACAGTTAGAGCGAAATCATAGCATGGTGGTCATCAAGGCGTCAGTACAGATTGGTGCACTACAGGACAGGGTGTGGGATATCGTGTCAGATCTCGACCGCGAGCCGGAGTTCTGGAAGGGTACAAAATCCGTCCGGAACATCTCAAGGAATGGCAACAGGGTTGTGCGGGAGGTTACAATTGCGTTCAAGGACAAAAAATGCATGCAGGAGATCACGCTCGAGCCAAGGAACAGGATCGCCGTCGAGTTTACCGAAGGCATAATCCTAGGCTCCAAGTCCATAGCACTGCGCGGAGGCGGTGACGGCACGACACTTGAGGCGCGGTGGGACATCACGATGTCTGGAATGATGGGCATTTTTACCGGCATGATAAAAAAGCACATCCGAAGCGGAACCGAGCAGGCGCTTTACGCAATAAAGGAGAAGGCAGAGGGGTGACAGATATAGAGATCGCAGTAGTGGTAATTCACTATATCCTGGCAGCAGTTATGATAGCCGTTGCCGTAACTTGGGTGTGGCTGATAAGAACCATGCAGAGAACACTTGCAAAGACGCCTCTCCTTGACGAGTTCCAGGCAGCCGACCACACGAGTCCCAAAGTGTCGGTAATCCTGCCTGCAAGAAACGAAGAGAAGTACCTCGAAGGGTGCCTCGACTCGCTGCTGAGCCAAGACTATGCAAACTATGAGATAGTTGTAGTTGGACGACTCGTCCCAGGACAGAACGGGACAGATAATCCAGAACTATGCCAAAAAGGATCCCCGCGTGATCCACGTCGCTGCCAGGCCCAAGCCAGATGACTGGATGGGAAAGAGCTGGGCATGCAGCGAGGGATATCGCAAGGCATCAGGCACCCTGCTGCTCTTTACCGATGCCGACACAAAGCACTCCAGCAACGCAATCTCGCTTGCAGTCGCGCACCTTCTGTCTGCCGGACTAGATGCGCTGACGGCCGGTCCGCGGATACTGTGCTTTGACTTCTGGACTAGGATTGTCCTGCCAGTGATCTCCACGTTTCTTCACACCCAATTCTCCGCACTACGGGCAAACGATCCATCCAATAAGTTTGGGTACTTTTTTGGCAGCTTCTTCATCATAAAGAGAGAGACATACGATGCGGTGGGAACGCACGAGGCGGTAAGGCATGAGATCATTGAGGATGGCGCGCTGGGAGCGATGGTGAAGCAATCCGGGCACAAGATGAAAGTGGTGCGGGGAGATCACCTCATCGACGCGGTGTGGGCCCGCGACGCATCTACCTTGTGGAATGCCATAAAGCGCACGATGGTTCCAGTGTACCGGCAGAGCAGATCTGCCGCGATGGGCATCACCGCAGCCACGACGTTTCTGTTCTTTATGCCGCTTCTGCTTCTGGCATACTCTGCACTGCATACAGCATCAGGATATGCCGGCGTGGACTCTAGCATCCTGCTGTGGGCCTCGCTGGCTGCATTGCTTCTCGTATATACAGTCGGCATTATCGAGTGCCGAGCCATGCAGGTCGGGATCCGGTACGCAGTCCTGATACCCCTTGGAGGCCTCGTAATGACGCTGGGTTTTCTGAGCGGCCTGATTCACGCAAAGAGCGACACCGCAGTATCATGGAGAAACAGGGACTACGCGATGAAGGATCGCTTCAGAAGCCCGGCGGCCACGTAGCGTCCGGTGACACATCAGGCACCCCGGTGCTGCCATGATCTTGCAGGAGGCGCAGGCGACGGATCTGGGAAAGGCCGGCAAGATCGGAGATCCCTGCGGTGCGGGGCCGTACGCACCATTAACTCGCCAGGGCATGCGGCATGGATTGCAGGGGATGGCATGCGGCACTAGCACGAAGTCGCCTGCTGCATCGAGTCAGACGCGAGTATACGCCTGAAACGCGTGTGCCCAGATGGAGACGCGGCTTCGTGTCAAACCCAAGCTTTTTAGAAAGTTGATGCAAACACATGTAGATTTGAAATCTGCCCTAGTTATGACGGTTGTAGCTGTGATAGCCATAGCCATGGTAGCAGCGGCGCTGCTTTCGTGGCCGGTTCCGGATGTAGAACCACTTCAGACTCCTGCCCAAGGTACTCTAGGTGTGCCGAAGGCCATCACAGATGAGACTTCCCTGCCGGTTCCGGCAGCGGCAGACGAAGGCAGGGCAGTACCGGTCAGCACCGACATCCTTACGCTGGTAGACATATTTGAGCAGAACGAGGCGGGGGTTGTAAGGGTGAGCGTGCAGAGGCCGGACACCCTCGACATCGGAAGAATCGGCTCCGGCTTTGTATTTGACAAGCAGGGCCACATAGTCACCAACGCGCATGTGGTCAGCGACGCGACAAAGATTGTGGTTACACTCACCGACGGCATGGAGTACAATGCAGAATTGACAGGGATGGATCCCTTTACGGACATAGCCGTGATAAGGATAGATGCGGATCCCTCCACACTGCACCCCATGGTGCTGGGGGACTCGTCCAACCTCAGGGTGGGTGAGCAGGTTGCCGCAATCGGAAACCCCTTTGGGCTGTCAGGCTCGATGACCGCCGGAATAGTCAGCCAGATAGGGAGGCTGATTCCGGCCCATGAGAGTGGCTTTTCCATACCCGAGGCCATACAGACGGATGCGGCCATAAACCCTGGAAACTCCGGGGGCCCGCTACTGAATATGTGGGGCGGTGTGGTGGGAATCAACACGGCAATCCAGTCCGGTACCGGCCAGTTTGCCGGTGTGGGGTTTGCGGTGCCGTCCCAGACGGTAGCAAAGATAGTTCCAAGCCTGATCAGGGACGGGGAGTACAGGCACCCATGGCTGGGAGTTACGGGCCAGAACATAGATCCTGACCTGGCCCGGCTGCTGAACCTGACAGACACCCTGGGCTTTCTGATAGTGGATGTGGTCCCGGACAGCCCTGCATCAGAGGCCGGACTCCATGGAACTACGCAGGTGATATCGTCTGACGGCGTGGACTATCTCGTCGGGGGAGACATTGTCCGCTCGATAGACGGAGTCGAGGTAAGGAAGATAGACGACATACTGATCCACCTGCAGAGAAACAAGGCGGTTGGCGATCAGGCCGTTCTGGAGATCCTGAGGGACGGCAGCATTCTTGAGATCACGGTATCCCTGGGAGAGAGGCCGTCCTCTAGATAGCCCCGATGCGCAGACGCCATCCGGGATCCATGGTATCGCCAGAGGGCCGGCGGCAATGCAGGATCGCTTGCATCTGGCCACATACGAGAACCCGACGGAGTCGCCCGTGTCCAAATGCGGGCGCGGCGTCACATCGGCGGGGGCGATGCAAAGATAAATACCGCATCTCAGAGAGAACCATCATTGAGCAAACTCGTTCTGAGCTCAGAGTCATTAAACGGAATTCTTGATGGGAAGAGGGCATCACGCGACGACCTGCTTCAGGCATATGCAGAATCCTTGGACGATCCCCGGGATCTTCTTGGTTTGGCGCAGACCCTCAGGGAGAAGAACAAGGGCCGCACCATCACATTCTCAAAGAAGGCGTTCTTCAATGCAATAAACATGTGCAGGGACACCTGCTCGTACTGCACGTACCGGGCCGAGCCCGGCGATGCAAAGGCATCCATGATGCCCGTATCTCGAGTCCGGGAGCTTTTGCAGATGGCAAAGAGGTATCGCTGCGTTGAGGCCCTCTTTGTTACCGGCGAGAGGCCCGAGGAGAGATATCCCCAGGTCAGGAGCTGGCTGCTCCGCGAGGGCTTTTCTGGCACCGCCGAGTACCTTGCCTGCTGCTCCCAGCTGGCCCTAGATGAGGGCCTGTTCCCGCACACCAACGCCGGCAATCTGCATGCAGACGAGCTTCACCTGTTAAAAGGCACAAACGTCAGCCTCGGCCTCATGCTTGAGAGCTCCAGCGCCAGACTTGCAGAGAGGGGCATGCCGCACCATCAGGCGCCCAGCAAGGTTCCTGCTGCCAGGCTAGAGGTGCTGGAGAATGCTGGCAGGCTGCGAATTCCCATGACCACCGGCATTCTGGTCGGAATAGGCGAGACGTCAGAAGAGATGATAGACTCGATTCTTGCCATGCGGAGCCTTCACGAGAGGTACGGCCACATACAGGAGATAATTCTGCAGAACTTTCAGCCAGAGCCCGGCACCGCAATGGGCAGGCGGCCCGGCGCGCAGGCAGCCTACTTTACGCGCGCCGTTGCGCTGGCAAGGATTGCCATGCCGGACATGAACATACAGGTTCCGCCTAACCTCTCGCCGGACTCGTACCAGGACTTTCTTCTGGCCGGGATAAACGACTGGGGAGGGATATCCCCTATCACTCCGGACTTTGTAAACCCCGAATTTCCGTGGCCACAGCTGGCTCGCGTGGACGGACTGTCTAGGGCAGCCGGCTTTGAGCTCAAGTGCAGGTTTCCGGTGTATCCCGAGTTTGCTCAGATGGTGCCACAGGATCTGAGGGAGCGTATGCTACCGATGCAGGACGACTGTGGACTTGTAAGGGAGGACTACTGGAGATGAATGCAGAGGCGCTGCTCCACGAGGCAGACCCGCTGGTATCACAGGCGCTGGAGCGCGCGCTATCAGATAGGGAGGTATCAGAGAGTGACGCGCTGATCCTGCTACAGGCCCGCGGCGCCGACTTTCATCTGGTTGGAATGGTAGCCGACGAGCTTCGCAGGCGCAGCGCCGGCGACCTAGTGACATACGTTGTAAATCGCAACATCAACTTTACAAACGTCTGCATCAAGCAGTGTGGCTTTTGCGCGTTCAGCCGGGACTTTAGGGAGGAGGAGGGATACTACCTTCCGCCATCAGAGATAGTGAGGCGCGCAGCCGAGGCGCACCGGATGGGGGCCACCGAGGTATGCGTCCAAGCCGGCCTGCCCCCGGACATGCCCGGCGACACCTACGAGAAGATATGCCGTGCCATCAAGTCCGAGATACCAGACATCCACATACACGGGTTCTCGCCCGAGGAGGTACTGTATGGCGCCGCAAGATCCGGCGTCACGGTGGTGGAGTTTCTGCGCAGGCTCAAAGAAGCCGGCGTAGACACCCTGCCAGGAACGTCTGCAGAGATACTGGACCAGGGGCTCCGCGACAGGATCTCGCCGGGAAGGATCACGGTAAAGGAGTGGGTGGGCGTGATAACTGCCGCCCACAGGATGGGAATCCGCACAACATCCACCATGATGTTTGGACACCTAGAGTCACTCCAGGACAGGGTGCGGCACATTGCCAAGATACGCGACATCCAGAAGGAGACCGGGGGGTTTACCGAGTTTGTTCCGCTGAACTTCATCCACACAGAGGCGCCGATGTATGCAAGGAACCTGCACGACGGCATCAAGTCTGGAGCGTCAGCTCCGGATGTCATGCTGACCCACGCGGTATCAAGGATCATGCTGAACGGCCTCATAGACAACATCCAGATGTCTTGGGTCAAGGAGGGGCCGAGGTTTGCGCAGGTGCTTCTGGGCTGGGGCGCCAACGACTTTGGCGGGACGCTGATAAACGAGAGCATCTCCACATCTGCAGGGGCATCACACGGGCAGCTGCTAAGACCCAAGCAGATCCGGCAGCTGGCAAGGGACATCGGAAGGACTCCCGCCGAGCGCGACACGAGATACGGGATCATCAGGACGTTTGACGACGAGCCTAAGGAGGGCGCACTGGATGTGGCAGCAGACTCGCAGTTTGGATCCTACTTTGAGCTCGTCAAGATCAAAAAGTTCCGATACGACAATCCGCGGACAAGGTAAGCTTCTGCGCGCATCACTGCCGCCGCCTCAGCGCCCGGGATATCAGCCATCCCGCAACCAGCATACTCCCGATCTTCAGCCCCGTGCCGAGATCTGTCTTGGTTTTTGGTTCCGGGAGCTGCAGGATCGACTCCTCGATGATCTTTTTTACGTATTTTTGCGATTTGTTGTGGTATATCCACAGCGTGCCAAAATAGTGCAAGATTATGCTCATGCCCTCCTTGAGGGCCGGAATCCACCTGTAGGTCAGGTGCTCGATATACTCGCTTGATACCTCCACCTCACCGTCGAGCTGTATGCGGTCGCCGTGCCGGTAGAACCGGAAGTGGATCTGCCAGTCGCCGATTCTCTTTACCACTCCGCGGCCGAGCTGGCCCTTCTTGGTGAACTCCATGCCGGCTTTTCGGAAGCCCTCCCTTGCAAATATGTCCCGCACGTCACTTTCGGACTTGTCAGTCTCAACCACCAGCTGCCTACTCCTCCAAGAATCCTCGGCCATCTGAACCATGGTTCCGTCCTCCAGCTCCACCGTCTGTGGGTACGAGATCGAGACCGTCATCTGTAAGGAGTTGTCGCTCAGTCTTTATTAGTTCTGTTGTTCTCGGTCTCTTTTAGGGAATTATATACATGGGTACGCAGTACCCCTGCCTTTTTCTGGCGCTCTTGCAATCCCTCCCACGCTTGGCTCTCGCATGCTGTTTGCGGAACGCGCGGGAGCAATCCCGCGCCGGAGTCTCGCGCCTTTGGACGACGATCCCTGCCGCCCTGCCGCCCTGGCTGTCGCCCTGGAGGCAATGTTATGCGCGGCATTGATGTCCGCGTTGATGTCATTGTCACACTTGTCATTGGTGCATCGGAACTCCCCCTGGGATGTGCGGGAGCCGCCGTCATTGCGGCCGCATACATGGCATGTTATGCTCGTTCCTTTGGGGTCCACCTTTATGACGATCACTCCAGCGTTGGCGCACGCGCCCTCGATCTGCCGCTGGAACGTCCCGGGCCTGGAGTAGGACATCTCGCGGTTGAGCCCCGTCTTGGCCGAGCTTCCCTTGCCCTTGGCGCCTGCCGTCATGTTCACGAGGTTGAGGTCCTCCATAACCACGGTGCCCGCGCCGTCGGCTATCTTCTTTGACGCGTGGCGCTCCCAGTTGGTCTGCTTGTTGGCGATATTGTCCCTCTTTTTCCGGATCCTCCTTTGGAGATCCTTGTAGCTTCTTGACTTGGGCTTCCTCGGCTTGTCCCTGTTGTTGCCGTTTGTGTTGTTGCTGTTGCCGTTATCGTTATCGCTGACGCCATTCCCGCCGCCCGCGCCCTTGCTCCCGCCGTCGGCGACTTCCTTGGTGTCCTGCTTGATGCGTCTGTTGCCGCGTCCCCCCCGCTTCCTAGAGAGCTCGGAGTACATCCTGGATATGTCGTCGCCCTTCGTTCTCCTGCAATCGTCCGGGATGTCGTGGAACACGTGGCTACCGGTGTCCAGGTTCACGGTTGTGGCCTCGTGGACTATGCCCATGTCCACGCCCCTGACGACCGCGGATTCAGACGGCTCTGGAGCCTTGATTTCAACCTGGATGTGGAGCCGGTACGTCCTGTTGTGGCTCTCGGTGCGCCTCGTTGTTTTCTTGGTCGTCTCCACCAGCTGAAAGGATCGCATGTCGAGCCCCTCCACGTCGCCGTGCACTTTTACGGTGCCTATGCCGGGGAGCATCACCATGTTGTTGCCCTTGTACACGGGACGCTTGAACACCGACAGGGACTTCGTTTCCCCCTTTTTGCTGAACAGGGAGTCCCTGTGGCGCCACCTGTTCCTCTTATTGCTCCACTTGTTTGACGGCAGGTTGGGCGCGGTGTCGATGTCCTTGACGCCATCCTTTTCCCGGTTCCGCCTGGCCAGGTACTTCCACAATGACTTGTTGCGGCGCTTCCTGCCGTTGGAGTCCATGAACTTCTCCACTGCGTCCAGTCCCTGCTTGAGGCCGACCCGCTGGACAAAGACACCGCCATTCATCCACTCTTCCCCATGTCTCCATCCGGTGAGCATCTTGTTGAGGTCAAACTTTGTGACCCTCGGGTCGTCCAGCTTCTCCCTGACGGCCATGTTGAACGCCCACCTCTGCTGATCTATGTGATGGGATACCAGCTTTGATAATTCGGCCGACTGGTCAAAGTCAACCTTTATGGTGCGCATCATGGTGCCCTCCCTTGAGCGTTTTGACCACTTTTTTGGAGCCGACTCGGTTGCCGTTGCTGTTGCCGCCGGCGCAATTGCGGTCGCCATGAGTTTCATTACCGCATGCAAATGCCAAATGCGTATAAAAACACCGCGACAACACTATCATTAGTGTGCAGACCATGATGACCGTCCGCGCCGCCGCGGCCACCAGTGGGCGGCAGGCCGCAGGCGCCCGGACGTGGGTGTACACTGGAGATACCCGGACAAAAGCCCGAACAGCAGGGTGACGTGCGGTTATGCCTACCGAAGTATATAATTCCCTTCTTTTACATGAATTCATGATCAGTGCAAGGCCGTGATCAAAAAATGCACCATCGAATGTCAGATGAACCCAGACCTTACTAACTCGCATAAAGCGACAAAGAGGCGTTATGCTTTCCTGCAGCTTCTGCACCACGACTGAGGCCTAGCCATCCCATTCGCGTTGCGAAAACCGAACTTTTTTCAGCTTCCAACCCCGCTAGAGCGGGCAGCACTCATAGCCGATTCCTGCACCAATGCCGGTCAGAAACTGGTAGATCAGGTACCCCGCAAGCAGTCCGATTCCCACCGTCTTGCCAATCCTGCCCATCCGCAGTCCCACAAGCATCACCATGCTAAACGCAATCATCACCACATAGTCAGCAAAGACCTGCTGCGCCACAACGATTCCAGACAGCGTAGCCGATATCCCGACTATCATCAGTATGTTGTAGATGTTGCTTCCGATGATGTTTCCGATGCCGATGTCTGTATACCCTCTCCTGATGGCAATTACCGAGGTGATCAGCTCAGGCAGGGACGTGCCGATGGCTATGACCGTCAGGCCGATGTACCGATCCGAAACACCAAAGCTCTGCGCCAGCGCCTCTGCGTTGTCTATCGTAAGTATGGCCCCGATCCCGAGAAGGGCAACGCCCGCGCCGATGAGTAGCACGGACTTTGGCACTGTCTTGTCTGCTGGTGTGCCCTCTATCTTGGCTGCCTTCTTTCTTGAGCTCCGGTACATGTAAGCGGTAAAGGCGATCAGCAGTACGACCAGAACCGCGCCTTCCAGATGGGAGATCTCGCCGCCAACCGACAGCGCCACCAGCAGAACCGAGAACCCGATCATGACGGGGATCTCTATCCTCAAGGATCCCTTCTTTATTATCAGTGGAGCCATAATTGCGGCCACGCCTATCACCATCCCGATGTTCGCTATGTTGCTGCCGACCACGTTGCCGAGGATTATTTCCCCGTTGTCCCCGGCAGCTAGGCTGGCGGCAAGCTCCGGTGTTGACGTTCCCATGGCAACTATGGTTATGCCGATCACCATGGGACTTATTCCGAACCTCCTGGCCACGCTTATGCCGCCGCCGACAAGCCAGTGTCCCCCAAAGCACAACATGACTATCCCTGCAGCGGTCAGGACCACGTTCAGCACAACATCCATACCGGGCAGTGGATCGTGTGCTCTTTAAATTATGTAGTACATGGCGGCACCGTGGGAGACGCCACCACTCGGTATGTCCACATGCCTGCTTTGCTGCCATCAGGCAAGCACGGCGAAACAAAAGATACCTGCCTGCCATGATCCCGGACAGCGTGTCGCAGAGTGCGCTAGCCGCCTTTCTCCATGAATAGGTTCAGAATGGTGCGGCCCCGGTCGGTCAGCGAGTAGTAGGCGCACCGCTTTGACTGCTCCCGCCGGATAAAGTTGTAGCTCCTGCAGAGATGCAGGTAGGCGATAAATGACTTTTTCATGCGTATCTTGGAGTCGCGGTACAGTTCGGTGAAGGTGGCCGCACCTCCCGTCAACGGGTACAACACCTTTATGATCGACAGGGCGCTGTAGTCACGGGCCCTTGCAGTTATGGCATCAAGAACCTGTCCCTGCCGCTCCACTATGAAATCACTGCAGCAGTCTGCCAGGTCTGTCTGGATGTATGTTAGGTGTAGTCGCATGATACTGTACTGTACTATACAGTATAATACCTTATTAAGCTTGTTCTGCTACCAAGTGTCACAGGCCTTCCCGGCGATCTGTCGCAAGACAGGGGTCAAATCCAAGCATTCCGGAGATCACAAAAGAGGCATCGGATTCCAGCATGCGCCAAGGCATGGAAGATCCAAGAGTGGGAAGATTAACTAGTAGGTGACCCCGCACATCAACACGATGACGCTCTCATACAAGGAGGTAGGCGTTGACGTACCCGGCATTGAACGCAGTCTGTCCGGCATGGCCAAGCTTGTCTCCTCCACGCACGGGCTGCAGAGGAAGGCAGGCGTCACGCGGGGGTTCGGACACTATGCAGGAATCGTGGAGATTCCTGGCGGGGATCTTATCGCAACACACACCGACGGCGTGGGAACAAAGACCATGATCGCCAGCCAGATGAAAAGATACGACACCGTCGGAATCGACTGCATGGCAATGAACGTAAACGACATAGTCTGCGTGGGCGCCACGCCCATCTCATTTGTGGATTATATCGCGGCAAACACGAACAACGCGGAGATACTCCAGGACATCGTCCGGGGTCTGGTGGTGGGGGCAAAGATGGCCCATGTTCCCATAGTCGGGGGCGAGACTGCCATCATGCCGGATCTCTTTGCGGGAGAGGAGTTTATCTTTGATCTGGCAGGCGCCGTGGTCGGCCTGATCCCCGGGGGACGCATGATGCTGGGCGACGCAATAGAGCCTGGCGACGTGATAATCGGTGCAGAGAGCACCGGCATACACTCAAACGGGTACACCCTGGCGCGCAAGGCGCTGGCAGGGTACTCCCTGACAGAATCCATCGAAGGCGTGGGTATCCTGGGCAACGCACTCCTTGAACCCACTGCAATCTACTCCGGGCCCGTCCTTGAGGCCGTCGAGGGATGCGAGGTACACGGCCTTGCCCACATAACAGGCGGCTCCTTTACCAAGCTGCTAAGACTCAAGGACGCGGGATACCAGATAGACTCCCTGCCAGAGACGCCTCCGATAATGCGGCTGATTCAGGACCAGGGGATCAGCAGGACAGAGATGTACAAGACATTCAACATGGGTGTGGGCTTTTGCATAATCGCGCCGGAGGATCAGGCATCCTCGATAGCCGGCATCTTCGGGCGGCACGAGATCAGAACCCATGAGATAGGCAGGATCGTCCACGGGAATGGCGTGTTTGTAAACGCGGAGAGAGTCGCGTGACAGAGAGTTACGTCAAGATAGGCTGCACGGCAGACTCGGCCTCTCCAGCACCACCCGGCCCGTCCTCTCCAGGCAGACCTTGATGGCCCGAACCTCCAAGCCGTCCCCTGCCGCCGGAGCCAGATCCCTGGCAAAGACAGGATCCCCCGACGGGCTGGGCGCAAAGGACTCCGCCTCCGGGTGGGTCACAATAAAGAGGAGCACGCTGCGGCATCCCGCGGCCAGCCTTCTCATGGTGGCCAGGTGCTTCTGCCCCCGGACCGTGGGGCAGTCAGGAAAGGATCCCGCGCCGCCGGGACCCAGCATGGCCGCCGACTTGACCTCAAGGAATCCCGTATCGCCGGATGCAGACTCGATCTCAAAGTCGATTCTTGACTCCCCCACCGTGACCTCGCGCCTTCTTATCCTCCAGCCATCAAGCCACGGAATCAGTCCCCGCGCCGCTGCCTCCTCAAACGCCCGGGACTGTTCTGCCGGGTCGATCAGCACCACGCCTCCCCGCTCAGACACTGCGGCAATCAGCCTCAGAGTGGTCCTGGCGGACACCCTTGGAACGCAGATGCACGTATTTCCCGGGTATATCAGATCCAGCAACCTTCCGGAGTTGGTCAGGTGCGCCAGTGCTCCCCTCCCTGCAGGTCCCTCACGGAGACCGCAAAGCGGTTCCTTCTTTTTATCACCTCGCACTCCAGTAGGCCGTCGTGCCTGTAGAGCGTACTCATGAGAGGCATCATGGCACACACACGATTTAAACCCCCAGGGCATCGCCTTCCGCACTCCAGGGAGACGCCTATCTGCGCCTGTTGGCCCTTCTAGATATGCTTGCCGCAACGGCTCCCGCACCTATGCCGTTGTCTATATTTACAACTGCCATGCCAAGTGCGCAGCTCTGCAGCATGGATGCCAGGGCGGCAGATCCCTCCCCGCCGTAGCCGTACCCCGCCGACGCCGGCACCCCCACCACCGGCACGTCCACCAGGGACGATATCACGGTGGCAAGGGCGCCCTCCATTCCGGCAACCACCACGATGGCGTCCACGTCCTTCTCAATCATGTCGTGCACGCTGGCAAAGACCCGTTGAATTCCCGCAATTCCCACATCATAGCTTGTGTGGCACTCGCACCCCATGGCCTCGCACACCAGCCTGGCCTCCTCGGCTATCCAGATGTCTGACGTTCCCGCAGTGATTATTCCGACGCTGCCGGCGGCCTTTTTTATGGCGGTCTTGTAGATCAGGATCGAGGTGGAGTTCTGCCCGCAGGAGACGCTCCACCCGGAGTCCCTGGCAAAAGAGACCACCCCGGAGTAGTCGGCCTCCCTGATGCGGGATACGACAACGGAGCCGGACTCGGACATCATGGCCTCGATTATCCCTTTTGTCTCGGAGGCCGTCTTGCCCTGTGCAAAGACCACCTCGGGGATTCCCCTCCTCTTCTGCCGGTCGATGTCCACCTTTGCAAAGTTGCCCACCTCCTTGATCGAGTAGAGTGAGAGCATCTTCTCTGCCTGCTGTACGGTAATCTCTCCGGACTGAAGAGATTCCAGAATCTTGCCCAGCTCCAACATGCCGTGATACCCCTCTGAGGATAAATATCTAATCTAGATATCCAGCGATGCGACGGCAGTCCTAACACTCTCTGCCGCTGCATCCATTGTGCGCCTTTCAGAGTCGTTGAGATCCAGATCCATGATACTCTCAACGCCACGCCTGCCGATCACCGCAGGAACTCCCAAGACCAGATCGTGATAGCCGTACTCGCCATCAAGATACGTGGAGACCGGTATGAGCTGCTTTTGATCCTTTACCACGGCCTCGATCATGCTTGCGATGGCGTTTCCCGGAGCGTGGACCGTGGCGCCCTTCGTCTGAATCACCTTGAGGGCGACCTCCCTTGTGTTCTTGACCATCGCATCCAGTTTTGGCTGCGGGACGAAGGAGCACAGTGGAATTCCGGATACCGACGAGTATCTTGTCAGTGGAAGCATGTGCTCGCCGTGCTCGCCTATTACCATGGCGCGTATCGAGTTCCGGGAATGGCCCGTGGCCTCGTGAATAAACTGCCTGAACCTGGAGGCATCTAGCATGCCGCCCATGCCAAAGACCCGATTGCGCTCAAAGCCAGATACCTTGTGCGTGATGTACACCATTGGATCCAGCGGATTTGTTACGGGAATGATTATCGAGTCGGGAGCAAACTTTGCTATGTTACTCACCACACTCTTTACTATTCCTGCGTTGATCTTCAGCAGATCCATTCTCGTCATGCCGGGTTTTCTCCCCGAGCCTGCAACAACCACCACGACGTCGGATCCCTCCATGTCCGAGTAGTCGTTGGAGCCCCGGATGGTTACATCAACACCGCGCTCTGAGAGCATGTGGTTGATGTCCATGGCCTCGCCCTGCGGGAGACCGTCCACAACATCCAGAAGGAGAATCTCGCGATCCAGCATCTTGAGAGCGGAGAAGACTGCCGCGTCCCCACCCACTTTGCCAGAGCCGATTATTGTGATCACGAAATTAGGTCTTTTGGCTTAATAATTAAACCTAATTGAAGCACCCTCCAAGGGCCCTCGCGTCCGACGCAATGCGGCAGATGGCTTCGCACGGATCACTCGCACCGCCGATGAGGGGCGGAGAATGCACATGCAGGCGGCTCCCGGCTTGCTGTGCCATGGTGTTTTCCAGCTGGAGGTACGATCAAAGGACGCAGGCACCTGCGTTACTTGTTCTGAAAGTTGCCGTTCCGATCCAGCAGCATGGATCGCGATCGTATCGTCTTTCTGAACAGGACGAATCCCAGGGCCGTGGTTACCGCGCCAAACATGATGTTGGCCACGTTTGCGTTCTCGCCGGTGGAGGTCATCGTGAATATCATGCCCATCACCATCATAAGCACTCCAAGGCCCGCAAAGATCATCATGACCTGCGGGAGCTTTCTTGGCTGCGGCCTGGGGCCAAACCCCGGGGCGCTCTCGGGTATCGACCCGCTGACCACGGACTCGTGGCACACGTGGCAGTAGTGCTGGCGCTTGTGCTCCTTTGTGACGGCCTTGAGAAAGTAAAACTCCACGTTGCAGAGGTCGCACGGCCTTGCCGGGGTGACGATCCTCCCGTACTTGTCAAAGTCCTTGCCCAGGTCAAGCATGCACTTTTTGCAAAAGTATCCGGGAATCTTCCACATGCGCTGGAACCGGTACTTTTTCCAGCTCAGCGGAACCCCGCATCCGCTACAGTGTGCCATTGTTACTCTTCCTTGACTATCAGTAGATCTGTAAGCGACGCCGTCACCACTAGAACACCGAAGTGCACCATTACTACTCTTCTTCGATTACTGGTTTATTACCTTTCAGCACCGAACCGATTCCCTTCCTTGCCTCGATTATCGGCAGGCCGACTATGAAGAAGGTCGCGGCAGATATCCAGCAGACGGCGATCCCGGTCCACAGGGAGAAGAAGCTGAGGTCAAAGACGTAGTTGGCAAAGAAGAGCGGCAGGGGCCAGATTATTATCAGCACGATGGTCATCAGCCCGCCTCCCTTGAGGCTGAACCTGAACGCCTTCTTGAGCACCTCCTCGTCCTGGTCCAGCTTGCTTATCTCCTTCTGGGACATCTCCACCAGCTTTATCCTCTCCTTCATCAGCTTCCAGTCGAAGCTTGAGCGCTTTATCAGGCTCCCGAAGACTGCGATCGCGCCGCCGGTCAGTATCCCGGCTATGTTGCCAAAGAGCATCGAGAAGTTGTGGCCAAGGCTCGCAAGGGACACGACGCCGCCAAACTCGGGCAGCGAGGCGGCAACGCCGGCCCAGGTGGTCAGCGCCACTGCCAGGCCCGCAATGGCCCCTATGGTGGCGGCGTACTTGTTGGTGCCCTTCCAGATTATGGTCAGCGCAATCGGTATCACGGCGGAGCCGATGAGGACGCCCATCGCCAGGTAGACGAATCCCAGGCTCAGTCCCAGCCCCAGCAGCACGACGGCAAGGCCCCCCATCCCGAGCCCGAATCCCACGATCGTTACCCGGGAGACGCGCAGCAGCTGCTTGCCGGTGGCGTTGGGGTTCTTGTACGTCCGGTACACGTCGTACGTGATTAGCGACGACACCGCGATGAGCTCGGCGGATCCCGCCGACGTCACGGCCATGAACAGCATAGTGAGCACCAAAACGGCGCCGACCTCGCCCATCAGCACGGTCGCGGCTGCCGGAACGGTCAGGCCCAGCTGGACCTGCTCCGGGGTGAGATCCACCCCAAGCGCCACCGCGGTAAGCCCCATGGTGGTTGCAAGCGTGAACGGGATCGCAAACCAGCAGGCGCCCCCCAGGAGGAAGCCCTTGACGGTGGACGTCGGCTGGGCCGCGATCGCCCTCTGCCAGTACGCCTGGTCCACAAACACGGTTCCAAAGTTTCCAACTATGTTTATGATCCCAAATATCAGGCCTCCCACGGATGCCATGGTCAGGTAGGCTCCGGCCGCGTTGCCCTCCACGGGATTGATTCGCGCAGCCTCGACCAGCTTGTCGTACATCCCCTCGATGCCCCCGGTCACCGGGCTGATAAAGTACACCGTGGCGACAAAGATCAGTATCACGGAGAATATGATTATGGTGTGCATGTAGTCGGCAACAAAGGTGGCCTTGAGCCCCCCCACCAGCGTGTAGATCATCACCCCCAGGGGGATCAGAAACGCCGCAAGGGAGATGTCCATGCCCGTCAGGCCGTTGACCACTGCCGCGCCGCCGAGAAGCAGCATTGCGGTCACTATCATGTTGGTCATCAGCGCGAATATCAAAAAGACACGGTGGGCACCGTCACCGTATCGTGCTCTAATGATCTCTAGAAACGTGTGCGCATGTGGTGCCTTGCGCTTCAGCTCTATTGCCAGTATGCCAAACAGGAGGACCTGTATGGACGCACCGGCTGCGTACCAGAATGGCCCACTGACTCCGTACTGGTAGGCTACCGTCGATGACTGCAGCAGCGTGGCGGCCCATGTCCAGGCTGACACGATCGCCGCCGCGGTGAGTCCGGTCTTGATCACCCTTCCTGCGGTGTTGAACCACTCAGAAGTCTTGGTGACGCCGAGGTACTTTTCCTCGATCTTGATCTCCATTGAGATCACGACCGCGAACACGGCGCCGAGGCCCACTACAATAAACCAGCCCCAGCTCTCGTCGAGCACCTCGCCGATGACGAACCCCTCGCTTATGGCGCCCGCGCCAAAAGCGGCCTGCGGAACGACCAGCGCGGCAAGCGCGACGAGCGCAAGGATGGGCAAAAATTTCCCGCTCCCTGCCAAAGTCATGACATTACACACCCGGCAATTTTATTTATCAATTCCAAACGCAACTTTCTTTATATAGCTCAGGACTTGACTGGCCTCCACGATGCGCCACGGGGCCATCTACTGCACCAAGCCAGGCACAAGGATTATCCCGGATGCGAGTTTTTGTGCACAAATGAAGAGCGCGCGGCCCAGCGCCACGGGATTCCAGAACAATTTATATGCATTTTTACCAAATTTCTGCGCCATGACACTGATAATAGATCCCCAGGTTGCGGGCATCGCCGGGGACATGCTACTGTGCTCCCTGGTGGACATGGGCGCGGACGGATCAAGGATAGCGCGAGGGGTCACAAAGGCAGTCTCCATCATGGACGGATCTGCCATCGGCAGCATCGAGTTTGCCGGGGTGACCAGATGCGGTGTGCGGGCAACGGGCTTGCTGCTAGACATCCAAGAGGAGGCAGAGCCGCGAACCGGCGCCCAGCTTCGATCGTGGATAGCGCAGGCATCCGGGGAGCTTGGACTGTCTCCTGCGGCAAGCAGCTTTGCGCTTGCCAGTGTTGGCGCCCTGATATCTGCCGAGGCCAGGATCCATGGCCAGGATCCCGACTCGGTTCATCTCCACGAGACTGCAGGTGCCGACACCGTGGTGGACATCCTGGGCACGGCCATGGCCCTAGAAGATCTGCACCTGTACGGCGGGGATGTCTTCTGCTGCCCGGTGGCCGTGGGTGGAGGGACGGTATCGTTCTCACACGGTACAACGTCAAACCCCACAGCAGCCGTGCTGGAGATCCTAAAGGGAACCGGCATCGCCATCGCCGGGGGGACAGGCAAGGGCCGAGATGACAACCCCCACGGGAGCCAGCATGCTGGCAAGCCTCAGGCCCGCATACCTGGAGCACTATCCCACCGTGCAGGTAGACCGAGTGGGATACGGAGCCGGCACCATGGAGTTTGATGGCTTTGCAAACGTGCTCAAGGTGGTTGCAGGAAGGCGCGCTACGGAAACAATCCAGGACACGGTGCACATACTTGAGACCAATGTGGACGATGTCTCCGGCGAGCTGCTCGGCGTGACAGTGGAGAGGCTGATGGAGGCCGGTGCCCGAGACGTAACCGTGGTACCGGGACTGACCAAGAAGGGTCGGCCCACAAATGTGATTACCGTGATATGCGATCATGCGTCAGCGGACCTGCTGCTGGGACTCCTGATGGAGGAGACCGGCACGTTGGGTGTCCGGGTGCGCACATCCCGGCGGGTGCTATCTGCCCGGCAGGCCGGAACTGCAGACATATCCATAGACGGTCAGGGCTTTACGGCTCGCTACCAGGTGCACGGCAGCTCGGGCCGCTTCAAGGCAGAGTCTGATGACATACGCCGCGTCTCGTCGGCAACGGGGCGCTCCTTTGGAACCACAGAAGAGTTAATCAGAGCGCAGATACGAAAGATCTTAGATGAACGTGCAGGTTGAGCAGCTGAAGGGCTGGTTCGCTGGAAAGGGCCGCGTGCTGGTTGCAGTGTCAGGCGGCGTGGACAGCGCGCTGGTGGCATATGCGGCTCACGCAGCACTGGGATCAGACAGCGCCGCGCTGACCGCCGACTACAAGACGCTGTCCCAGGACGAGCTGGACTCTGCAAGGCAGGTGTGTTCCCAGATAGGAATACAGCACACCGTCATATCATACAGCGAGCTGGATGACGAGGGGTTTGTTGCCAACGACCGGGACAGGTGCTTTCATTGCAGGACCCAGCTGGGGCGGCGCCTGCAGCAGTTTGCCACGGAGGGCTTGTTTCAGATAGTTGTGGATGGAACAAACCTGGATGATCTTGGGGACTTTCGTCCAGGCATAGAGGCGTTACGGGGGTACCATGTGCGAAGTCCGCTGCTGGAGACAGGGTTTGCAAAGTCCGACGTCAGGGCAGCCGCCATGGAGGCCGGGCTTGCGGTGCATGACCGTCCCTCAAACTCGTGCCTGGCATCCAGAATTCCGTGGGGTCAGCGCGTCACAGCCGGAAGCCTTGAGCGCATCGAGCTTGGCGAGGATGCGGTGAAGCGGATCACCGGGGCGCGGACAGTCAGAGTCCGTGACATAGGCGGCACGGCCAGGATAGAGCTGGGAGCCGACGAGCTCGCCCTTCTCTCGCAGGATGCCAAGCTGGAGATATCCCGGAGGCTAAAATCCACGGGATTCAGCTCCGTGGAGTTTGATCCTGAAGGCTACAGACAGGGAAAGGCAAACGTGATGTCCGGTTGATCTATCTTGACAATGCGGCATCCACCGTGACATCAGACGAGGTCATATCGGAGATGCTTCCGTACCTTGGCTCCCACTACGGCAACCCCTCGTCGCTGCACCGGTACGGTCGGCGGTCAGAGAGGGCGCTGCGGCAGGGACGGCTCCAGATAGCGGGGATTGTCAACGCATCCCCCGCCGAGATCCTCATCACGTCCGGGGCGACCGAGTCCAACAATACAGCGATAAGCGGAGCTGCCGCGCTGCATCCAGGGGGCCACATAATCACATCTGCCATCGAGCATGACGCGGTACTTGAGCCGTGTGCGCGCCTCGAGTCTGCAGGGTTCTCCGTGTCGTACGTTCCCGTAGGAGGTGACGGGATTATAGACCCCGACGATGTGCAGCGGGCAGTTACCGACAGGACGTTTCTGGCATCTGTCATGCTTGCAAACAACGAGGTGGGAACCGTTCAGCCCATATCCGAGATATCCCGCATCTGCAGGGAGCACGGCATCCTGCTGCACACCGACGCGGTGCAGGCGGTGGGAAAAATTTCAGTCGACGTCAACAGACTGGGCGTCGACATGCTCTCCATGTCCTCCCACAAGATCAACGGTCCCAAGGGAGTCGGAGCCCTGTACATAAGGAGTGGGGTTCGCATCATGCCGATGATCCTTGGAGGCGGCCAGGAGGGCGGAATGCGCTCAGGCACGGAGAACGTGGCTGGCGTGGTGGGGTTTGGAAAGGCGTGCCAGATGGCGCGCGACGACGCCCGCCGCCTGCACATGATGCAGCTTCGCGACCTTCTTGTGGAGATGGTGCTAAAGGAGATACCCTACACGACATACAACGGGAACCGGAACCAAAGGATACCGGACAATGCCCACTTTACGTTTCTTGGCGTAAGCGGGGAGGATCTGATCATAAAGCTGGACGAGGAGGGGATCGCAGCATCCACCGGCTCTGCCTGCTCGATCAGAACGCAGAAGGAGTCGCATGTGCTCCGGGCCATGGGACTTGATCACGAACACATAACAGGCTCGCTGAGGCTTACGGTGGGGGTGCACAATACCCGCCAGGAGATGGTGCAGGCGGCAGGGGCGCTCAAAAAAGTCGTGGCTCAGCTGCGCGCCGTATCCCCATTCAAGGAAAAGTACAGGTTTGGTTAAGTACTGCCGGCGCTCTGGCTAGCGGAACCCCGAGGTGCCAAACAGGCCGGGCCTCTTCATTGCAGCCACGGCGGCAAAGCCCAGCGCAAATACTATCAGCGCCACGGTGCCGAACTCAGGAACCGCCCTAGTACCTATTATCTCGATGATGGTCTCGCCCCGGATAAAGTCAAAGTCCACAGTTCTGGAGATTGTGCTGGTTCCGGTCTCCTCGTGCGGCACTTGGACATCATCTATCCTGACGATAAAGTTCTCATTGCTGCCGTTCATGTCCTTTGCGTCAATCAGGGCCACCGGAAGGTTCAGGGAGATGTTGCCGTCCGTCTCCGAGCTGATGCGCAGCACGATGCTGAGATCCTCGACTGCCATTCTCATGCTGTTCACCGTCCCGCCGGATATGCTGCACCTTACCTCCACCTCTCCAAGGGCACCCCCGTCAACTGTCTGCGTGCAGTCTGCGCGAATCGGATCACCTCCATTGGTCGGCAGCCTGGCTTCCGTTATGGAAAACTCCACCTCCGCCGTCGAATCGGAATAATGGGCCACTACAGAGTACCGGCCAGGCGTGCTCCACCGATCCCCCCCGGTGTTAAATATGTAGGCAAATGTTCCATCCTGCGCCACCGTGGACTGGCCCGCATCCAGCCAGTTGTCGTTCGCGCTGAACACCTGTAGTATTATCGGGTGCTCGATTAGCGCCGCAGAGACGGTACCCGAGACCACTATGCTCTCCCCCTGGGCAAAAGACTGCTGATTTACCGTTACAGTCACCGTCTGACTCTGCGCGTATGCAGGTATTGTGACAACCAGTAACATCAGGCCGGCAACGACCAAGTAGCTCCTCATAACCCTATTCAACAACGGATTGTATATTTCCTTTACTGATGGACAAACTAATTACAGCATACGGTTAGGAATCCATGATACACTAACGTTAAATAGCACGCCTAAATCTAAGATACATGGATATCCGTATTGCAACATTTGCTTTAAGCGCACTCTTAATTGCAGGCATTGCATCCGCGCCAGTATTCGGACAGACTACCTCGGCAATAGCTATTATTACCGATCAGGAATCCTACACGAACGGCGACACGATCACAGTCACAGGCAACATCAATGCGAACACAGGAGACGGACTGACCATACAGGTCATAAGCCCGACAGGTAACATAGTAGCAGTAGGCCAAGCAGACGTAGCTTCTGATGGAGCGTTTGAGACCACGATTGCCACAGGCTCCCTGTGGTCGGTACATGGAGCATACACCATAAAGGTGCAGTATGGCGATACCAGATCAGGCGAGACAACCATCGAGTTTACTGCCGCTAGTCCACCCGACACAGGCGGCACAGGAGATATGGAAGCAGAGCTGACAAGCGAGTACCTCTTCACTGTAGGTGAAGACGAGGTCGGCATACGATACGATTCAGGAACCAACACCATTGTTGCAATGGCAGCTAACTTGGATTCCAAGAGCCTAGTAATCGAGGTGGACGTAGCCAATGACGGCGAGATCGTCATTGCCCTGCCCAGGCATCTAATCGATGCCAAGGATCAGGTAAGCGATAGCTGCAACGCAGACGGCGCAGATGTCGCCTACATCGTTCTGGTGGACGGTGAGGAGACATGGGTCACAGAGGTTGCACGCGAGGCAGCAAGAACGCTGACCATACCGGTCAATGCAGGAGCGCAGGAGATTGAGATCTTTGGCACATGCATAGTACCAGAGTTCGGCACCATTGCCATACTGATTCTGGCGGCTGCAATAGTCTCGATAATAGTGGTCTCTGGCAGGACAAGACTGTCCATCATGCCCAGATACTAGATGTATCGGCATTTTTCATTTTTTTAATTAAACGCAGCTGCACAACCTGAGGCCAGGCAGCGGCGTACAAGGCCGGATCTGTCACTCGGGACACGCCCAGAAGAGTTTTAGCCACTAATCCGATGCAGCAGTGCCCGAGCACCCAGGATTATGCTGTGGAGCTTGACCCAGCCCCTCTTGGTTTTCACGCTGTCGGTCCGCACGTCATACCACCAGACGAAGCTGCTGTCAGAGTATCCTGTGCTGTCCCCCCGCCACCGATCCTGCAGATATTCCGCAGATGGCCCTGCGGTGCACCTCCGTCAGGTACCAGTCAGGGATGAGGTCGTAGGCGCGGGCAATGGTGCTCTTGGAGGGAATCTTGCGCAGTCCGATCTTCACGACGGTGCCGCGGTTGTTTCGGAGATGGCCGACCATCTTGCGATAGGTCTTGCGCTCGGCCTCCATGACTATGCATACTGTGGCCATGGCCCTGGGCGGATATGCAGTCATGCCGCCCAGGCCGGGCCTGGCAGTATACGGGTCGCCCAGGTCATTGACTATTTTCAGAATCGTGTTGAGGATTAGACCGGGCAGGTATTGCTGAATCAGGTCGTACTGTCGTTGATCGCGTTTCCTTTCAGACACTTGGCGGGCCCGCGATCCTCAGATCAATATGCCTTGCTATTGGACAAGTATATCCCTGTAGGATACAGCCTTGTGTAAGACTACGCATAAATATAACGACATCTGTGATACTGTATGAGCAGACATGCCACGCGTACGGTGGTCTTTGCCATTGTTGCAACCCTAGCACTTGTCGGCGTGATTGGATCGGCATACGCAACTGGAATGAGCATCGAGGCAGATACCGAAAATGCCGATAGGATAGTTCTGGCAGGAGAGACGACGCGAACCGAGGACATCGCGATAAAGATAGAGACGCTGAACAACACACTTGTTGATATCAAGCAGGTAGTGCCCAACGAAGACGGCACATTTGAGACCACGTTTGTCATCGGGGACAGCTGGAAGAACGGCATCTACTTCATTACCGCCCAGCAGGGCGACGTGCGGCAGTCCATCTACCGGTTGAACCTGATCTTTGAGATCGCGGACGGCCAGGTAATAAATGAGATACGCCGAGAGCAATCATCCATGACAGGGCCCAGCACCATCACCATAGAGCAGCCCATACGTGAAAATAGCATGATGATCACGGCTAGCGCTACAAGCGGCGACGCCGAGTTTACGTTTGAGGATGACAGATACATGTCTATCGTTCCCGCAGACGGCGCATGGGAAGAGATTACCACAATCATAGTCACTGGGGAGACAACCATGTCGAATGACGTAGTGCTGACTGTAAGGCAGGAGGACGGAAACATAGTATCAGTTGCCCAAGTGTCACCGGATGAGGAAGGCATGTTCGAGACTGCATTTCATACAAACAGCGAATTGTGGAAGCAGGACGGAGCCTATACGATAACGGCAACCCAGGACGATCTTGTAGACTTTGTGGTAGTGTATATCGCCGACGGTGCAGTGGTGCCCGAGTTCGGAGCGACCGCAGCACTGATTCTAGCAGCTGCCATCACATCCATACTGGTCGTATCGACCAGATTCAGACCCATGCTGTGGCGCTGATCAGGAATCCTAAATGAAGGCATGTGTCAAATGTGTGGTACAGTTGACGGTGCGGTGAGTTTAGTGGTGCCGAGTTCCTTTCGTCTCTCGCTCCGAGTGCCTCGTTGACCATATGCCTGAACGCACCAGGTGCCAGTTGCAACTCTAGGACGGGTTCATATGGCTGTCAGATGCATCCTGCAGGCTTTTGTAGTGGGCATCCACGCCAACACGGCGGCACTACAGTACCACTGTACAGTGTCACCCATATGAGAGTCCATGCACAATAAGCCAACCCGAAGGAGACCGAACAAGCTACCCAAACCCGCATGGCGTCTATCATCAATGGGATGAATCGCAAGATCGAGTGCAAAACAGGCCCGATGTGCGATCCCGGGACGGATTGCCCCCCGTTTTTTATATATACATAAATATAGATATCGACAAACCGCAATAAGATGAACACTCATACAACATACATGCTGATCGCAGCTTTGGCAGTTGTTGGAACCATGTCCGTCTCTAACTCTTTTGCACAGAGCACAGACGACGCAATGATCGGTATGGAAGAGTCCGTTGAAACGCAGATTCCGCTCACTATGAAGACAGACACGGATCTCTACACGTACGGCTCGGACATACTGGTCACAGGCCACATAGCAAATGTAAGATCGGCTCAGACTCCGGTCACGATGTTTGTGACTAGCCCGTTGGGCAATATCGTGGAGGCAAGGCAGCTTGTTCCAAACAGTGACGGCAGCTTCGAATTTGTCATCAAGACATCTAGCAGCGCATGGAAGTACGACGGCACATATGTCATCAGGGCACAGTACGGCGCGCCTTCAACGATAAGCAAGGTACTAGTGGCACTGACCGGCGGATCTGCGTTCCCAGGAGACGGGATGACCGAAGATGAGAAGCCGGAGATATGCGGCACGGAAGGTCTGGGTGAAGGCGAAGAGCTGTGCGTTCCCTACGAGATCACAGGAGGAAGCATGACCAGCGTAAAGGCAAACACAGACGACGTCTCGCTGCAATTCGGCATTGATGCCACCGAGGACGGCCAGGTAACACTGTATACGTCTGAGGACGACATAAGCGGAATCTTCCTTGTCTTCGTAGACGACCAAGAATGGGACGATGCAGTGGTTGACGGAAACACCGTAACGGTAACGTTCCCAGCAGGTACAGAAGAGATCGAGCTGTTTGCAGCATATGTAATTCCAGAGTTCGGCACCATCGCCGCACTGATTCTGGCGGTTGCAATAGTCTCCATAATCGCAGTCTCTGCAAGATCACGGCTTGGACTCGTTCCAAGATACTAACATCTTTCCCCCTTTTTTCATTTTTGAGCACCAAGCATGTCAGGGACGGCTGCCCGGCACATGATACCTGTACGACACCATGCCTGCGACAGTCGCGTCGCCGTAAGACGCCGGGTAGCCATCAGGCATCCAGCAGGGGCGCAGGCAGCATGTGCAAGCCCGATCCACACCAGGCACCACACCAAAAGAAACTATACTGCCCGTATGGCACATGTACCGTATGGAGTTGGAGACAAACCCCCACGTGTCAGAGCACCGGAGGGTGGTCCACGGCGGCCTCTTCTCGGCACCGCGTCCGGGCTTTGAGGTGTTGGACTTTAGCTCCAACATAAACCCCCTTGGCCCGCCTCCGGCCTCCCTGGTTCTTGGCTCGGACGCGCTTGAGGCTTATCCGGATCCGGACTCGACGGAGCTGAGAATGAACCTGCAGCAGCATACCGGGGTATCGTACCAGAACATAGTGGCAGGCAACGGCGCCACAGAGATAATCTACAACTTTTGCCGGGCATTTGTGACAGATGGGATGCCGGTTCTGATACCGGCCCCAACCTTCGGCGAGTACGAGGCCGCATGCCGGCTGTCGGGGGCCAGCATCATACGCCACAGAACCATGGATGTGTCACGGGATATCGATGATCTCATATCCCACATACCAGTCAGGGGTTGCGTCTTTGTGTGCAACCCAAACAACCCCACAGGCGGCATAACCACACAGGATACCATGCAGACGCTGGTAAGGCAGGCCCGCAGAAGGCAGACCATGGTCTTTGTAGACGAGTGCTTTATCGAGCTTGCTCCGGACTCTGACGAATCACTGCTCCCAGCCAAAAGGTACGACAACCTGTTTGTCCTGCGTTCCATGACCAAGTCTTTTGCCCTGGCAGGTGCCAGGATCGGGTACGGTGTGGGAAGCCGGCAGATGATCGCAGTTCTCAGCGAGATCAAGATCCCCTGGAATGTGTCAGGACCCGCCCAGCGTGCAGCAAGCGCCGCACTGGCAGATCTGTCGTACCTGACAAGATCTAGGGACATGATAAGGAGCGAGTCCAAATTTCTGGTGGATCGCATATCAAAGATACGCGGGTTTAAGTGCCGCAGCCCGTCGGCAAACTTTATTCTGGTCAAGACAGACGGCAGATCTGATGCCGTGAGACAGAAGCTGCTGCGCAAGGGAGTGCTGGTCCGGGACTGCAGTTCCTTTTACGGGCTGAACGGAGACTACATACGGGTAGCCGTAAGAACCAGGGACGAGAATATCAGGCTTGTGGAGGCGATGTCTTCACTATGAGCACGCTGATGGTCCAAGGAACGTCCTCCGGCGCCGGCAAGACGACCATGGTGGCTGCACTGTGCAGGATCTTCGCAGACAGGGGCTACTCGGTGGCACCGTTCAAGTCACAGAACATGTCAAGGTACGCCTACACCACAGACAAGTTTGAGATTGCCGTAGCCCAGGCGGTCCAGGCAGTGGCCGCCCGGTGTGAGATCATGCCGGATCTGAACCCGATCCTCCTCAAACCGCTGGACGACTACCACAGCCAGGTGTACCTCCTGGGACGGAGCTACAAAAGGATGCATGCGGCAGACTACTACACCAAGTTTGCCCTGACAGGCGGCCTAGAGACGGCGCTCGGGTCGCTTGGGCGCCTGCAAAAAAAGCACGATCTGGTCATCATTGAGGGCGCCGGCTCCCCCGCGGAGATCAACGTGGCCGAGTGGGATATAGCAAACATGAGGATCGCTGGGCATGCCGGATCGCCTGTGCTGCTTGTAGCCGACATAGAGAGGGGAGGCTCCTTTGCAAGCATTGCAGGCACCATGCTGTTGCTGGAGGACAGGTACCGGGAGCTTGTAAAGGGGTTTATCTTCAACAAGTTCCGGGGGGACATGGAGATTCTGAAGCCGGGCTTTGAGAGGCTTGAGAGGGAGACCGGCAGGCCGGTTCTGGGTACGGTGCCCATGCTGGACGTTGCCATACCAGAAGAGGACTCAATGGGCAGCCGGCCCGGCAGGAGCATGAAGGATCTCTCCCACATAGATGCGGATCTTGACAGGCTGTCAGGTGCGGTGGAGAAGAGCTTGGACATCGGGGCGATCGAGGGGATGATATCCTGGTAATCGTGTCGGCCCTGATCATAATCTCTGCACTGGGCCTGGACTTTATCGCAGGCGATCCGGCAAACCGGTACCACCCGACTGCCTGGATGGGAAGGTTGATCGCCAGAACTGCCACATATGTAAAGACCGGCAGGGCCAGATCCGAGAGAGCCGGCGGCGTGGTCATAGTTGTGGTGTCGTGCGGCGCAGTCCTGGGTGCCCTGTCCGCAGTCTATCTGGCACTCAACCTGCTGCTTGACGGCCTTGTGGCGCTGGTGGCATCCGCAGCTGTCACAGCCGTCCTGCTCAAGACGACCATTTCGGTGCGCGGACTGGAGGCGCATGCCCGCAACATAGTTGTAGCCATCCAGGACGACGACATTGCCACTGCTAGGAGCCGGCTGTCCATGATTGTAAAGCGGGACACGGGGTCACTGGACAGGGAGCATGTCATATCCGGCGCGATCGAATCCGTCTCGGAGAACACGGTGGATGGCGTGACCGGACCGCTCTTTTACTTTGGCGTACTGGGGCTGCCTGGGGCCTTTGTGTACCGGGTGGTGAACACCGCAGACTCGATGGTGGGCTACAGAACCAGCATGTTTGCGAATCTTGGATGGTTTGCCGCCAACTGTGACAGGGTACTCAACTATGCGCCCGCCCGCATTACGGGCCTAGTGATGGTGCTTGCCTCTGCGATGCTGGGTATGAACTGGAGAGGCGCGTACCGCATAATGATGCGGGATGCCGGCAAGCCTGACAGCCCCAATGCAGGCTACCCCATGGCAGCAGCGGCAGGAGCGCTGGGAGTGAGGCTGGAGAAGATCGGCCACTACAGCATAGGGGACGACACAGTGGGCCTGTCCACAGACGGCATACTGCAAGCAGTCAGGCTCATGAAGATCACGTCGATCATCTTCTGCGGCGCCGTAACGGTGCCGTTGATGGCATTGCTTGCGTATCTTGTGGCGGGAGTCCATGTTTAGCGGGATCAGGTCTGTCATCTCATTTCTGACCCTGATCCCCACCGGAGGCACAAGCCTGGAGACTGCGGCCAAGCACATGTACGCGTTTCCCCTGGTGGGGATCGTGCTGGGCGCCGTGCTGGGCGCGTTTGGGCTTGGTCTCTCCGAGGCGGGCCTGGAGCCGGCGATAGCGGCGCTGCTGGTTGTGGCAGCCATCGCGATAGTCACCGGCATACACCACACCGACGGGCTGGGCGACTTTGCCGACGGTCTCATGGTCAAGGGCACCCGCGAGAGAAAGCTGTCTGCCATGAAGGATGCATCTGTCGGCTCTGCCGGCGTGTTCGCAATAGTGCTGTATGCGGCAGGAATGATACTGGCGCTGTCGCTGACAGGCGGGTGGCACCTCTTTTTGACCATTCTGGTAGCCGAGGTGGCAGCCAAGTTCTCCATGGTGCTGATGGCGTCGCTGGGCCGCCCGGCGGCTCCCGGCACCAGCTCGCCATTCCTACAGGTAATGAAGGATTGGAGAAGGCTGGCACTTGCCGGCGCCATCACCGCAGTTCCGGTAATCCTCCTTGGAGGAGTCCCGGGCATGATTGCGCTGGGAGCAGTCATAGCAGTCACACTATTTCTGACACGGATGGCCTCACGTAGCCTTGGGGGCGTTACAGGCGACGTGCTGGGCGCCGCAAACGAGATCTCCCGGCTGACGGCAGTTCTGGTGCTTGTGTCGGCATGATTGGAATTGTTATGGCCGGCGGCCTTGGAAGCCGCATGAAGCTGAACCAAGAGAAGCTGCTGCTGCGCTACAAAAAACCTGTGGTGCTCCACGTGACAGACGCTCTCCGCAGCTCCGGATGCCTCAAGAGAGTTGTGGCGGCAGTGTCGCCCAACTCACCGGAGACCGCAGGGCTCCTCAAGGCCCGAGGCGTGGAGACCGTGCAGTCCCCGGGACGCGGGTATGTGCAGGATCTTGGCCTCATCCTGAAGCAGACCGACGATCACGTCCTTGTGGTGCCAGGCGATCTGCCACTCCTAGACGGTGGGATCGTGCAGAGGATTGCGTCGCTGTACGATCCCGACAGGGTGTGGACCGGCATCCTAGTAACGCGCAGGTTTGCAGATCCGCTGGGGCTTCCAGGCGAGTTTGCGACACGACACGGCGGCTCCCAGTGCTATTACACCGGCGTGTCGCTGATAAACGCCCACAGGATAGACTCGGCAGAGCCGGTCAGGGAGAGCTATGAGATCTGCGACGACGAGAGGATTGCATTCAACCTGAACACCGCCAGAGAGTACGAGATGCTACAGTCGCGCAAGCCGTGACTCTGGAGCCTACTCGGCGGTTCCCACTATCTTGCCGCGCATGTTGGCCTTTGAGCCGGTGGGTTCGGTAATTGTGTTTCCGCAAAAGTTGCACGTTACAAGCGAGGACGCGTGGGAGTATACCACCAGGGTCTCCTCGCATGCGGCGCAGACGACCTTTTGAAACTTGCTTGAGGGCACCGGTATGGAAATATGACTCTTCTTCATGCCGCCACCAACTCGAACTTCTTCACTCTGATGCCATAGGTATTGAACTTTTTCTTGCACTGGGGGCATGTCAGTATCCGCGTCACCTTCTTTGTGACCTTTGCAGGCTTGGCCAGCTTTGGGAACTTTTGCCCGCCATATCCTTTTTTGTCCTCGGCGTGGCGCCTCTCACCTATGGCAGAGGCCCTTCTCTTTCCCGCCTTGTATATGGAGACCTTTTGCGTCGTGTGCTCTTTGCATTTGGGGCAGTATCTCCTGATCGCCTTGGGATAGTTCACAGGGATCAGCCTGTTCCTCGGTAATTTAAGGTTTGAAGCAGGAGTCGCGTTTCCCCTTTACTCGCTCGGGCCGATTCCCATGCCAGGCCCGATGCACCGGGCCACATGGCAGTGCCGCTTGAATCTATAATTATGTGTAAAAAGCAATGCATGCCATGAGGACCCTGGCGCAGTCCGTCCGCACCCTTGGCGCAGTGGCTACGGGACGCCGGCATGCCGACCTTGTGCTCACGGACTGCTCACTGGTAAACGTCTACACACGTGAGATCCAGAAGAATATCCAGGTGTCAGTAGCAGGCCAGAGGATCGCATACGTGGGAACGGATGCGTCGCACACCATAGCGCCCGGAACCCGCGTCATTGACTTGGGGGGCAGGCACCTGACCCCGGGCCTTGCAGAGCCACACATGCACATAGACCAGCTGGTCACGCCATCGGAGTTTGCAAACCGGTTGCTGCTCCGGGGAACCACGTCCCTGTTCTCTGATCCCATCGACATAGTGAGCGTGGCAGGATACCGGGGCTTTCGGGAGTTTGTCAGGCTTGCCACCGGACTGCCCATGAGGATCTTCAACATGGTGCCCGGCGGCCTGCCCGTGGATGACAAGTTCGGAGACGTAAAGACGCTGACGCTAAAGGAGGAGGCAGAGGCGATAAAGCTTGATGGCGTCTTGGGGCTTGGAGAGGTGTTTGCGTGGACCAAGGTAACCCTGCAGGATCCCAGAACAATCCAGTCCCTGGTGCAGATGCTGGAGGCCGGCTGCGTGATCAACGGCCACACCGCGGGAGCCTCGGACAGAAAGCTGCAGGCATACGTCTCATCTGGAATCCTGTCGTGCCACGAGCCAATAGACTTTGAACAGACGCTGGAGAGGCTCCGGCTGGGAATGTGGATCATGATCCGCGAGGGTTCCATCCGGCGGGATCTGGCAGAGATAGTTCCCCGGGTGCTCTCCTCGGGCACCTACATAGACAGGCTGATGTTCTGCGCAGACGAGCTGAACCCCGTTGACCTTGAAATGTACGGCCACATCGATCACTGCATCCGCAAGGCAGTGGAGCTGGGAATGAATCCGGTTGACGCCATCACCATAGCGTCAAGGAACTGCTTTGACTACTATGGCATGGGCAGGGAACTGGGCGGAATCGCACCTGGAAAGCTGGCAGACATGGTGATCCTTGATGACCCCGGGTCGTTCCGGCCCAGAATGGTAATCGTAGGAGGCAAGATAGTGGTACGCGATGGCGCCCTGGTGGCTCAGGCCCCCCGCAGGCGCGTTCCCGGCTGGCTCAGAAGAACGGTAGATCTTGCCGAGCTCTCAGCAGCGGACTTTGCCATAAGCTCAAAAAAACCCAGCGTCCGCGCCAACACGATCTACATGGCCACGGAGATCATCACCAGGCCCGGATCGCAGGATCTTCCGACTAGGGACGGTAACGTGCCGGCGTCCAGGGACAGAGACATCTGGAAGGTCGCAGCCTTTGACCGGATCAGCGGCACAAAGAGAAGCACCGTAGGATTCCTAGAGAACTTTGGCGCAGAGATCGGCGCCTTTGCGGCCACCAAGAACTTTCATGAGAACAACCTGATCGTAATCGGCATGGACGAAGAGGAGATGGCCATGGCGGCCAATCACCTGATCCGGTCCCAGGGTGGCATGGCCGTGGTAAGGGATGGAAGGGTTGTGGCAGACATGCCATTTGAGATAGGCGGCATCATCTCCACCAGGCCGTTTGAGCGGGTTCGCTCAGACTTTGAAGGCATAGACGGAACGATCGCCGATGCGGGATGCAAGTTTTCACGCCCCTCCCTGATACCGGTATTTCTGCCATTTCTCGCGCTTCCGTCCGTTCGCATACTGCACAGTGGCATGGTCGACGTAAAGAGAAGGACGCTCATACCGCCCATCGTCTAGGCTGCCAGTTCCATGGCCGGCTGCCGCGGCCCAAGTGCGCCCCCGGCAAACACAGAGGATCTCCATAGGCCACAGCCCTGCCACCCAAATCGCATCAGTGCAGACACGTCATCCGCCAAAAAGGAACCCGCAGTCCTCTGGCGTGACTCGTGTCGCCATATGCAGCCGGGAGCCCCTGACCGAAAGACCGGACACCGCATGGGCATGCATGCGCTCGATCAAGTGCGAGGCACGCCTCGGGGCTGATCTTCAAAGGCAAGTGCATCCTCAGCCTCCAGCTGCGTGAGGGCAAGCCGCGCAACTGGTTTGCCTAGTATTATATAGGGGAATTGAAGGCTTTTTACTATAATGGCTTCAATCGAGCAAACTCCGCAAGGGCCGGTACTGGTTCTAAAGGAGAGTGCCCTTCAGCAGAAGGGACGTGACGCACAAAGGAACAACATCGCCGCGGCAAAGCTTGTAGCTGACATGGTAAGAACAAGCCTCGGACCGCGTGGGCTGGACAAGATGCTGGTAGACTCGCTGGGGGATGTTACAATAACAAATGACGGGGCCACGATTCTAAAAGAGATCGATGTTCAGCACCCCGCTGCAAAGATGATGGTCGAGATTGCAAAGACGATGGACAACGAGGTGGGCGACGGAACAACATCCTCTGTGGTCTTTGGGGGAGCCCTGCTTGCAAAGGCCGAGGAGCTGCTAAAAAAGGAGGTTCACTCGTCCGTAGTTGTTGAAGGCTACCAGGAGGCAGCCGCCAAGACACTGGAGATACTTGCCAGCGTTGGAAAGAAGGTAGAGTTTGAGGATGAGGAGACGCTCACAAAGGTGGCAGTTACCAGCATGCAGTCAAAGATGGTGTCTGAGGACAGCGACACATTGGCAAAGACAGTAGTGGATGCGGTTCTCAAGGTCGTCTCCAAGGACGGCGATAGTTATTCTGTAGATCTTGACAACATAAAGGTAGAGAAGAAGGCAGGTGCAACAATTCGTGACACCGCCATGATTGAGGGAATCGTGCTGGACAAGGAGACGGTTCACCCAAACATGCGCTTTACGGTTAACAACGCCAGGATTGCACTGCTAAACACGGCACTAGAGGTGGAGAAGACCGAGATGAGTGCCGAGATCAGAATTACCGATCCGACCCAGATGCAGATGTTCCTTGAGGAGGAGAACAAGATGCTCAAGGAGATGGTTCAGAAGATTCGCAACCTGAAAGCAAACGTGTTGCTGTGCCAGAAGGGCATCGATGACATTGCCCAGCACTATCTTGCCAAGAACAGGATTATGGCAGTAAGGCGCATAAAAGAGAGCGACATGGCCAAGCTGGAAAAGGCAACCGGAGGCCGGGTAACCACAAACATTGATGATCTAACAGAGAAGGATCTGGGAACGGCTGCCACGGTTCAGCAAAAGACCATAGACTCGGACAAGTGGGTCTTCATCGAGGGATGCAAGAACCCGCAGTCGGTCACAATTCTCGTCAGAGGCGGCTCCCAGAGAATAGTCGACGAGGTTGACCGCTCACTTCACGACGCGCTAATGGTAGTAAAGGACGTGATTGAAAACCCATTCATTGTAGCCGGCGGTGGGTCGATAGAGGCACATGTGGCGTCCCAGCTAAAGGTGTGGGCCGACAGCTTTGACGGAAGGGAGCAGCTGGCCATCAAAAAATACGCCGAGGCACTGGAAACGATTCCACTCACCATAGCCGAGAATGCAGGAATGGATCCTATAGACAGCATGGCCAATCTCCGGACAGCGCAGAACCAGAACAAGATGTGGACCGGAATTGATGCCAGAAACGCGCACGTTACAGACATGATGGAGATCGGAGTGATCGAGCCCGTTGCGGTAAAGGAGCAGATCGTCAACTCCGCCACGGAGGCGGCCTGCATGATTTTGAGAATAGACGACGTGATCGCCGTATCAGGCGGCCAACCGGGCCCGGGCGGCCCACCAATGGGATAAACCCATAAGCACAAGCCACACAGAATATCCGTGAAACGGCTGGGCGTTGATCTTGGCGGAACAAAGATCGAGGCAATTCTTCTTGATGAGGGAAACCGCGCGCTGGGGCGCAAGCGGATACCCACTCCAGACAGCTATGACGGCATCCTGTCCGCGATTGCCTGCCTTGTGAATGAACTGGGAACGGGGGAGTTCAGCGTTGGCGTATGCACACCAGGGGCCATCTCGAAGAACACCGGAATGGTAAAAAACAGCAATACCGGGTGTCTCACGGGCAGGCCGCTGCATGGAGACTTGGAGCGCGCGCTGGGGCACGGTATCCGAATGGAGAACGATGCGAACTGTTTTGCTGTGGCCGAAGCCACCATGGGCGCTGCCAAGGGATACGACACGGTATTTGGCGTGATAATGGGAACCGGAGTGGGCGGCGGCATAGTCATGAACAAAAAAATCTACCGCGGCCGCACAAACACTGCAGGCGAGTGGGGCCACCACGTACTGCACAGTGGCGGCAACAAGTGCTACTGCGGAAATCGCGGATGCGTCGAGACGTACATATCAGGTCCCGCGCTGGAAAGACGCTGGCAGGAGATCACAGGCCAAGCCCTGCCGCTAAAAAAGATCATACCACGCACAGGATCCCGTGCAGGAACCGAGTGGAAATCCGAGTTCCTGAACAACTTTGGGGCCGCGCTGGCCAACGTGATCGACATCCTGGATCCTGATGCCATCGTACTGGGCGGCGGGGTGTCAAACGTGCCGTTCCTTTACGACGAGGGAAGAAAACATGTCTGGGATGACGTGTTCGGTGGTGTGGCAGATACACCGATCCTGCAGAACAAGCTCGGGGATTCGGGCGGCGTCTACGGGGCTGCACTGCTGTAGCCGTAACCGCGGGCAGGATGGCGCACATGTATCAGGCACATCTAAAATAGGCAAAGGGGGACTAGAGAACGGCCTTATGTGGCAAGGGCGCGGTCGATCATCTTCTTGTAGGACTCTTTTGATGCGGCGCCTACCTGCTGGCTGATCATTTTGCCGTCTTTGAACAGTGCCAGAGTGGGTATGCTAAATACGTTGTACTGTGAGGCCAGCTCGCCTGCATCGTCGACGTTTACCTTGACAAAGTCCACGGTGCCGTCGTACTCCTGTGCAAGCTCCTCAACCACAGGGCTCACCATCCTGCACGGTCCGCACCACTCAGCCCAAAAGTCTACAAAGACCGGACGCGGCGATCGTATTACGCCGCTCTCCCAGCTTTTGGGATCTGATATCTTTGAAATTCCCATGGTACGATTGGTCATTGGTACACACCTAAATATGTTCCACCGATGGACCGCACGGCGCCATCCGCCGTCCGGGCCAGACAAGGAATCCTGCCAAACCCATGCCCGAATGAAGAGGCGGCCGGCGCCATACCGCCCCGCTATCAAATATACTTAAATTATATCGGATGGGTGTACCTGTATTGAGCACTGATCTTAGGCTGAAGAAGTTGAGAGGATCAGGGGGCTATGTTATAGCAACCGTAGATGATCTCCAACAGGGAAAAGGAAACCTGGGCGGTCCGGATCTGTTCCTTGCTCCCATCGGCAGAATTGACACTTCCAGAATATCAAAATTCTTCTGCAACACATGCGAGAGCGAATACGACGGGGCCCCGGACATCAAGTATGAGAGTCCAAACGAGGAGGTAGCCGAGAATCTGATTCTGGCAGAGAAGGGGCAATATATCTGCCAGACATGCAGTTCGACCCTGGCAGAGTACAGGGAGTTTAAGAAGAGCGACGAGGCGGCAGATGTCGGGGCTGCAAAACCGATAGAGGTGGCAGATACTGTTGCCAGCGAGGCTACAGAGGTGGCAGATATATCCATCATTGAGGATGCAGGACCCGATACGATATCGACAGAACTACCGGTTCCGGAAACGGACCCAGAGTCGCAGCCTGAGACTGGGGAGATCAGATCAATCATCGGCATGGCGATCTTTGACATGGGTGCCGCAGGGATGGGAACCGTAAAACAGATAGGCATCGATGCCACACAGACCCTGACCCTGGTGGTAGAAGGGGCCGACGGGACCAGACAAATGATCGCATGGGATCGGGTCAGGAGCGTAGGCGACATTATCCTTCTAGGAGAGAAAGGCCCCGCCGCGGCGCCATCACAAGATCACGGTTGCCCGCAGTGCAAGTTCGAGAACAAGCCGGATTCAAAATTCTGCGAGCAGTGCGGACACGCATTCTGATTCCATAGGATCACGGCACTTTAGCGAACAGAGCATGTCACCAAACACATATCAAACAAGGAAAGCGACGGAAAAACACATTTGGCAAAACAATCGATAGCAAGGAAAGCCATTAAAGATGTGGCCATAGTGGCCGTGGGCGTTTTGATCTTCTGGTTTGGACTCCAGTTGGTCTTTGGAACCGCAAACCCGTTTTATGTGGTATCCAGCGGAAGCATGGTCCCCGAACTGAATGTGTATGACATTCTTGTCGTGCAGGCAAACGATCCGTTCGAATCGGTGCGGCTGGGCGACATAATAGTATTTGACCGGCCATCGGGCTCCGAAAGGGTGATTGTTCACAGGGTAGTCTCGATAATAGACGAGGATCCGTATACTCTTAGAACCAAGGGCGATGCCAACCCCGCATCCATACCAGGGACGGACTTTCCGATAACCGCAGACGAGTACCTCGGCACGGTGTCATACGTTATCCCGCAGGCAGGGTTTGTTACCCAGATATTTGCACCGCCGATAAACTACGTCCTGATTGCAGTGGTTCTGGGCTTGCTGATACTCAAGACTTTTAGAAGCCACAGGTCGGAGAGGGCGGATGTCGACCCGCCGGCAGTGGAGGACATGCCAGACGACGGCTCGTACACAGACGGGCCCTTCGACACAGACGAAGCCACTGCCACAGATGTGGGCAGTCCCGACTCCGAGCAGGCAGCCGCATCTGCCACGGACACGGACGAGGCGCCACTGCCACAAGAGAGCGAACCAGAAGAAGGCTCCGATGCGAAGCAGGAGAAGGACTAGAACCCTAAACGCCTGTAATCTTGAAGACGCGCTTGAAATAATCCGAAGGCTCGGCGGTATCCTCAAAATCGTTCTTTATTCCCGCCAGGTGCTTTGCCAGGTTCTTTTTGTACAGCATCTGCATCTGCCTCTGAATCTGAACTCTCTGCGCCTGCGGGGAGCCGGCGCCGTGCATGGACTCGGTAAGGTATCCGACGGCGTTTCGTCCCATCGTCATATTCTCAATCAGTCTCAGTATCCTCCGCCGGTTCTCTACATCCACGCCTTTTCGGCCGGCAAGGTATTTTTCAAGGAGTGGCCCTATCTCCGGATGTTTAAAGTCGTCATCCGACGGCAGTGTCACCATGAGCCCTCCGGCAATATCCTGAGCCAGCCGCCCGATCTCGTACGGGAATCTTGTCACGTTGTGCTTGCATACCTGTGCCAGCATATCGTCGTTCATATAGACGCCAGATTTCATCTTCTGGGCCTGATACGACGATGCGATTCCCGCAGCAAAGATGGATTCGTTGAGGTGCGTCATCTCTATGAGCTTGTCCTTGATGTGCGAGACCCTAGGCACGCCGTTATAGTCTGCAATGGTTCCTGCCGCGCCGATGAGGACATCGCCGAGTCCGGTCTTGCAGACATAGCTGCGCCGGTGATAGCAGGTAAACCGCTCAATCAGCATCGAGGCAAATTCCCACTCGCCGAACATAAAGACATACTCCCATGGAATAAAGACCCTATCTAGTATGACCAAGGCCTCCTGGCCACTGTACTGTGCATTTCCCGCGTCAATGTCCCCGTTCTCCATGCTCCTAGTATCGCAGGACTGCCTGCCGTAGACATAGGTAATTCCCGGTGCATCCACCGGAAACGCTCCCACTATGGCGTAATCCCGGTCGTTAGCGGTAAGGCGGACTGTTGGCATTATGATAATCCAGTGAGAGTTAACGCATCCTGTCTGGTGCGCCTTGGCGCCCGAGACGTAGACGCCTCGCTCATCCTTGTCCACCACGCGTGTGTACAGGTCGGGATCCACCTGTTCCGAAGGACCCCTGCTACGATCCCCCTTTGGATCGGTCATCGCGCCGCCGATGACCAGGTTCTCCCTCTGAACCATTTTGATAAACTCCAGCAGCCTCGAATGGTAGTCTGTTCTGTGCTTTTCATCGATCTCAAATGTGGTCGAGTGTAACGAGTTCAGCGCGTCCATTCCCACACATCGCTGAAAGCACGTTCCGGTGTTCTGTCCCAGCTTCCGCTGCATCTTGTTCTGCATGACCAGATCGTTGGCGCTCTCGGCAATATGCAGAAACCTGTTTACCCTTGCCCCGCTGATCGAGGACTCGGCCGAGGCCAGCCCCTCCTCCCTTACGGCAAGATCAAACGTCTCTGCCACCGCATTGATGGATGGCTTGATCATTGGGTGCTCGACGGGATCCTCTACAAGGTCTCCAAATAGGTACACCTTGAGTTTTCTGCCCCTCAGGCTGTTGATATAATCCTCCCCCGTGCGGATAACCACAGACTCTACTCCAAAGAACTTATATAAATACCATAAATTTTGCCTAGGCGGATGGGCCGGATTTTTCCCCGCTTGGACGTGGATTTACACACTCCATCCAGTTTTCACATCGGCGCCATCCGAATGCCCTGATCCCGCATGCGGTCATGCCCTCCCTTCATTTTGGCATGGGCGCATACACACAAGCCGCAAGAGTCCTCACATCTGGCTCAATGTAGACGGCCTCGGTGCTTCGGGCCGATTCACTGAAGCCCGATCCGGACATCCAGAATCCGGCACCCCCGGCCCTCTTCCATTACCAGAACCGGGTTCATGTCCAGCTCCCTGATCTCCTCAAAGTCAGTCACAAGCTGCGAGAGCCTCTGGATGCACTCGGAGAGTTTGGGCAGATCCGACGGCTTTTCACCGCGCGCGCCCTCCAGCAGCTTCCTGGTCTTGATGGAGGCGATCATGTCGTCTGCCTCCCGGGCGGTAATCGGAGCCAGCTTGAATGTGACGTCCTTGAGTATCTCTACGTATATGCCGCCCATTCCCAGCATCAGAACGGGACCCATGCCGGGCTCGTGCTTGCAGCCGATGATGAGCTCCTTTCCGCCCTTTACCATCTCCACTACCAGACAGCCCATGATCTCGGCATCCTTGTTGTATTTTTTGCAGCTGGAGATTATCCTGGCAAAGGCCGCCCTTACCTCTTCCTCGTTCTTCAGGTTGACTGCCACCCCGCCCGCATCGGACTTGTGAATTATCTGTGGGGACGCAACCTTTAGCACCACGGGGAACTTGATCCTACCAGCCATGCGGGCAGCCTCGTCTGCATTCCTTGCCAACCTGCTCTTCGGAAGGGGAAACCCGTATGCATTGAGTATCTGCTGCCCCTCTTCCTCCAGCAGGTTCTGCCTCCCTTCACGCCTTGCAGAGTCGAGAATCTTTCTCACTTTTTTTGCGTTCACCTCAAACTTGGTGACCCTTCCCTGGGGCGTGTTTATCCACCGGGAGAATCTGAGCATGGCTCCAAGGGCCCGGACAGCCCCCTCTGCGTATGTGTAGTAGGGAACATCCCCGGCTGCAAGAATCTGCCGGTTCGTTATGCCCTCGTCCAAGCCCATCAGACTCGCAAGCATGGTCTTTTTGTGCTTCTTGGACATCTCCACTATGACCCTGGCCAGTCCGTCGTAGTCCAGGGTGCCTGACGGGGTGCACATTGTAATTACAGAGCCTACGTTCTCGTGTCGTAGCACATGCTCCAAAACCCCCCTGAACCGCTCAAAGTTGGCATCGCCCACTATGTCTACGGGGTTGCGGGAGCTTCCCCATGGCGGAATTACCCGGTCTATCTCGGGCCTGATGGAATCGATCTTGGCCATCGCAATTCCCGTCTTGGAGCACGCGTCAGTAGATATGATTGCAGGCCCTCCTGCATTTGATACTATTGCCAGATCTCCGCCGGTAGGTAGCGGCTGCTTTGAGAAGGCGGTGGCATAGTCAAAGAGCTCCTCCATCGTATCCACCCGAATGGCTCCCGACTGCCGGAGAAGCGCGTCGTACAGCTCGTCTGAGCCCATCAAGGCTCCCGTATGCGACATGGCCGCCTTTGCCCCCTCGGTGCTACGGCCTGCCTTGAGCACCAGTACGGGTTTTTTGTGCTTCCGGGTGACACTCCTGCACACCTTGAGAAAGTCCTTGCCGTTGCCCACATCCTCTAGATACATGACTATCACCCGGGTCTGCTTGTGGGATGCCAGCATCTTAAGGACTGCGATCTCGTTTGTGGATGCCTTGTTTCCCAGGCTTATCACGGCGGAGAACCCTATGCCCTGGGCGCTGGCATCCTCGCACAGGGCAGCGCATATGGCTCCGCTCTGGGAGACCAGGGCGATGTGGCCCGTCTTGGGCGTGATCTTCAGAAAGGTGGAGTTCATCATGGTGTTCGGGTCAAGGTTCATGACTCCGAGGCAGTTGGGACCGATCATCTCCATCTTGTGCTTCCTTACGATGCCCTTGATCTGCTGCTCAAGCCTGGCTCCCTCTTCGTCCACCTCCTTGAAGCCCGCTGTAATTACCACAACGCCCTTGATCTTCTTCCTGCCACACTCCTCTAGAACCTGTGGCACGAGCGTATTCCTAATTACAATAACTGCTAGGCTGATGGGATCCGGGACATCCAGAACCGACTTGTACGCCTTTTTGTCAAATACCGTGGACCGAGAGGGACTTATGGGATACACAGGTCCCTGAAAGCCGTTCATTATGTTTGAGGTGATTGTCCTGCCTACCGTACCCTCCTTATCGGAGGCGCCGATAACCGCTATAGACTTTGGGGACAACAGGACGGACTCGGCCATCTTTGATGGTGTAAATGGCAGTTATCTAATAAAGCTATTCAATCTGCTAGTGTGTTGCATAATTCCCCCTGCTCGCTTAGAACATGCACGGGCCTTGCATATTTTGGACTACACCACACCTGCCCCCATGTCTACCAGCTTGTTGTACGTGGCCACCTTGATCCTGACTTCCTGTACCATGTTCTTCCACTTTAGCGAGTACAGGTGCTCGCCGAACATCCGCTTGAATGCAGAGAACACGATCTCCACCAGCCATCTCTTGCCGTACTCGACCTTCTTTTTCCATTCCTCCCCGAAGCGCCTTTTCTCGTCGTCTGACATCTTCCACACATGGCTGTCAGCAGATCCGCCAAGCTGCTTCCTGACTGCGATCCCCCATGCGTCGCCGGTTCCTTTCCCGCGCGCCGTCGAGTTTACCCTGAGCTTGATGCGTGAATCCACGCCACGATCCCCGCATGCAGTCACGTTGCTTCTGGAAGCGTAAGCGGCATCCCCGTACAGGCAGCATCCTGCGTCTGCCGGTCCGGCGGCGGAATCCTGCGCCTGACCTGTCCGTGCCACAACCTCCAAGGCCTCGTCAAGCAGCGGAATGAGCATCGGCGAGTCTCCGGTTCTGTCGTCGGTGACCTGGACTGCCAGTATCTTCTTCGTGTCCACGTCCACCATCACGTGGAGCTTGACGAATCCCCTTCGGACCTTCCATTTGTGCCTGATCCACTCTCCCCTGTTGTGCTGCTTTAGGCCGGTGGAGTCGACTGCGAGGCGGACCGGCACTGTCCCGCCGCCCGTGACGGTAAACACGTTGCCATTCCTTTTGACCTCCAATGCTTGGAACCTCCTGTATATTGTGGTGTAGCAGGGCGTGTCCCAGTCACCGAGCGTCTCAATCAGCATTCCCTGCAGGTGCCTGTACGGCAGTCCTGTCATCGATTTTACCGCCGCCAGGGCCGCAAACAGTGACTCGGCGTACTGGAACGGCGCGCCCACCTTGTTCCTGTTGGCGACCATCACCTCCTCGTGCCTTTGCGGATCGTCCCGGATGATCAGCGATTGGCCGCGCTTAACGTATTTCTCGTTGTCAGTCGTCACCAGTTTGCATCTGATCCACTGATCTTTAGCTTTTTCGGTCTCGGACGGAGTGGGGATATTCACGGTAATGTGCTAGGATGAATTATGCAACACACTACAATCTGCTAGTTTGTTGCACAACTCCGAATCGCAGGCACAGAGTGCCTGCTCCTCGGCACCCATCTAGGCACGTTTGAGAAGATTGTGCAACAAACTGCAATCTGCCCGTCATGGGCTGTCTGCCATATCGAACTGGACGCAAGGAACCGCCCGGACGCACGCCCTTGCACGAAATGTGGGGAGGGCATGGCCGCGTACCTGCCGGGGCCCTGCTCACGTCTACGGCTCACAGCAGGAGCAAGGCTGGTGCGTCCGCCTCGCATGCACAAATCCACAAGCTCAGTCTAGGGAGATCTTGAGAAATATCAGCAGCGCCACAAGCTCTGCCACTCCGACTCCCACCATATATGGAAATATATCGTGTGAGAAGAGCATCTCTACAGAAAAGTATGCCGTGGCGCTGATCGCGTTGTGCAGGAACAGCATTCCGGCAAACACGATCAGTCCTAATGGAAGCTGGGCCCTTGTTTTGGTGTACATCTTTCCAAATGTAGCCACTAGGATGCCAAGTATGATCATGTTGATGATTGACACGATGGAAAGGATGGCAGATGTAGGCTCCATTCACTAGACAACCCCTGCAAGATTTATTTACTTTTTTCCAGTTTTTCTACAATTTCCTCCAGGGATTTCATGTTGTTCTCCAGCAGCGGCGAGATAAAGTACAGGACGCCATATTTTTCTCCCTCCTTGGAGACCAGGTTGTTCTTTTCTAGTACACGTACGTGGTGCTGGATTGCCTTGTAGTCCAGATTCAGTTTCTCGGCCAGCTGGTTGATATTCATAGGAACGTCCGTGATCGCATTGATTATCCGCAGTCTGTTCAAACCGCCTCTAGAGCCAGCAAAGACAAACCAAAGGAGTCTTTTGACATAGGGGTCGTTGGCCATTATGTACAGATGACTACTCCGAAACGTTACTTAAACCATTTAGAAAAGGCGTGGGCCCGGTCAGGGACGCAGACGGCGCGCGCCCCAGACACAATACCTATCTATAGAAACGGCGCCAAGGCATTTCAGATGACGTACGACTCGGTGATCGTTGGCTCGCATGTGGTGCTCTCATCCGGGATGGTAGACAAAAACATCGTGATGGACGAGGGCAGGATAGTCTCAGTTACAAACGATGTGCCGTCATGCGATCACAAGATCAATGGCGTGGGCATGGTATCGATTCCCGGGCTCATCGATCCGCACGTTCACTACGGGGTCTACTCGCCTATAGAGGAGGCTGGCAGGACCGAATCCCGCGCCGCGGCAGTAGGCGGGGTAACCACCATGATGAGGATGCTCCGACACGGCTCGTCCTACAGGGAAACACTGCAGTCGCACCTTGACGCAAGCGCAAAGAACCACCATGTGGACTATGCAGTCCATGCATCCATATTTAATCAGGGGCAGGTGGACGAGATGGACTATATCCGGCAGAAGGGAGTCACGTCGTTTAAGATCTACATGAACCTGGGCTCGGATATCGGACACGTGTACATGGACATGGTTCCCGGATCGCAGGCGCTCCATGGGGAGCATGTGGAGGTGAGTGACCGGTTGGTAGAGGAGACTGTCAAAAAGGCGGCCCTGCTTGGGTGTCCTGTGTGCGTGCATGCCGAGGATTACGAGCAGTGCTCATGTGGAATCCGGGAGGCTCGGATGAGAAACCAGGACGGCCTTGCCGCATGGTCGTCAAGTCGCTCGCCGGGATCTGAGGCAAAGGCGATCAGGACGGTATCCGCGCTGGCAAGAAAGTACGGATGCGCGCTGTATCTTGTCCACATAGGATCCAGATCTGCGCTGGGGCAGATCGCGGCAGAGCGCCTAGCCGGCACCAAAATCTCTGTCGAGACATGCCCCCACTACCTTGCCCTCTCCTATGAGAAGCAGGATGGCTACCTGGCAAAGGTGATGCCGCCCATCCGGTCGCAGGACGATGTTGGCGCTGTATGGCAAGCGGTACGCCGGGGAGCCGTCGACACGATCGGAACGGATCACGTGGCCAACCGGCTGAGTTTGAAGTTGGGGGGTGATGACGTCTGGGGGGCGCTGGCAGGATTTCCCAGCATAGGGACAGCCCTGCCGCTCTTGCTCTCCGAAGGAGTCAACAGGGGAAGGATCAGCTTGGATCATCTGGTCAGGATCTGCAGTCTCAACGCAGCCAGGATCTTCGCCATGTACCCAAAAAAGGGAGTGCTGGAACCTGGATCTGATGCGGACATCACCATGATCGATCTAAAGAAGGAGGTCAGGGTTACAAGCGATCTCTTTGGCGGGTTCTCGGACTATTCCGTATACGAGGGGTGGAAACTGAAGGGATGGCCACAAAAAACGATCGTTCGCGGGAGTGTGGTGGTAGACGACTTCGAGGTTATCGGAAGGCCCGGCTGGGGCAGGATGGTTCCAAGGCAGGCATAAGCCGCAGGATGGCACCTGCCCCGGTGTGTATACCGTAGACTCTGACTACCGCACGATAGTCTCAAACCTTCCCCCAATATCTGCCATGTAGATCACATCCGGGATTCTTGTAAAGATGCCGCACTCCATCACGCCGGGAATTGCAATGATCTTCTGCCGCAGCGACTCTGGCTCTGTTATCGTACCAAAATCGCAGTCCAAAATTATATTTCCGTTCTCGGTGATAAACGGATAGCCCCTCTCAAGCTTCCGGAGACTCGGCCGGCCTCCCAGATCTGTGATCTTCTGGATCGCAGACGTCCTTGCCAGCTGGTGAACCTCCACCGGAACCGGCCGGGCAAGGTTTGTTACAAACTTTGACGAGTCGGCCATGATTACGACCTTCTCTGCCATGCCTATGAGGATGTTCTCCCGCAGCAGCGCGCCGCCGCCTCCCTTGATTACAAACCCCTGTGAGTCGATCTGGTCCGCCCCGTCAAACACCACATCGATGCACCCGACCTGATCCGCCTCAACCAACGGAATGCCGCCCAGCTGGGCGGCCATTTTGATCTGTAGTGATGTGGGAACGCCCCTGATGTCTACATCTCCTGCGCGAACCAGCCGCGACAGCGACTTGACAAAGGCGGTTGCCGCCCTGCCGCTTCCCAGTCCCAGTATCTGCCCGTCACTCACAAACTTTAGTGCATCTGTTGACAATGCCTCGATGGCATCATCAAAGGACAACTACTCCACCTCGGTCTCGCTGAGTTTGGAGAGTGTTTTTGTGATCTCCAGCTTGAGCGCCTCAAGGTCGTCTGCGTCGTCTGGCTCTGCGGGATCCGTACCCGGGACCTTGGCGGTTGGCTGTGCCGCCGCGGGTGGCTTTGACGGTACGGGGGCGATCGGGGCGTCAGGTGCGTCTGTTCCGGACTCGCTTTGTACTGCCAGGGGCTTTGAGGGCACGGGGGCGACGGCTATCTGGGCCGGCTCCTGCCTTGCCCGCTTGATCTTCTGCCGCGACCGCCTTGCGGCACTTCCCGGTGTGGCTGGCCTTGCCCTGCCCGTGGCAGGCTGCAGAACACCTGCAGATGTATCCAGCTCGTCGATCTCGATATCCGGCAGCAAGATGGCCGGCACGTCGGTCGGTGGCGCCCTTGCGGGCTTAGCCGGCTTTGCTGCACCAGCAGGCTCCCGAGCCTTCTGCATCCCCGCAGCAGAGATCTTTGACGACATCTCGCCTAGCCTCTCCTCGATATGCGACAGTTTTTGATCCAGATCTGCCAGCCCGCCGTGCAGGCCGGGCTCTGCGCCAGTCGACCTCAGCCACTCGATCCTTCCTGCTGTCTCCCCCAGCTGGTGCTGGTACTTTGCAAGCAACCTGTTGTACTGAACCCTTGTCAGCCCGTCCTCGTGTCTGTACAACCTTGCAATGGTCTTTGTGAGTACGTCTCGCTCTATCTCAAGCTCGGCAATCTTTGGTATGGTGTGCGGTTCTGCCTCGGTAGCGCGGGACGGGCCCCTGGGAAATTTTTTTATCGCCACTGCCGTTGCAAGACCTGCAAATGAGCTTAAGACGAGTTCTAACAATTACGTGTACCATTTGATCCAAGAGTATTTACGCATTTTGGAGTCTGGAGAACCGCAGCTCGCGCATCGTTGATGACGCTTGTGAAATGAGTTGTTTCCGCATCTCCTGCACCGTATATGGACCTTTTTTTTGGTAAAAGCCCCCATGGATGTTGTGCCTTTTACCATATTGGTCGCACCACCTACGCCGGAGGTGGAGAGATCATTACAACATTGTCTCCCCTTACAATTATGGTACCAAGACTGGTAGAATCGCCGTCAGTAGTAATCTCTTCTGACTGATCCAGCAACAGGTTCATGTGCTGGTCAAATCCAAGCAGGCTGCCACGGATGGTCTTACCGCCCTTGAGCTTGATAAGAACAACCTTGTTAATGCTCTCATCTAGTACTTTTACCGCCATATCTACCGACATTTACTTTACCTACAGCTTGTAGTTATGGAGGATTATATTAAAATATCACTTGTGTAACTTTCGAGCGCTGCCTGTAAGGCAAAGTTGACATTCTTTGTGCAGATTTGCAACAACCTGGGCCAGGATCCTGTGCCCCTGCTCTGCTGTGGCCCCCGTGGGATCCCCCCAGATGCCGTTTCCGGTGGCGGTGGGAAACGACTTTGACGCCAGTCGCGATATCCTTCGCAGCTCCCCCCTAGAGAGATCCCGCGTGTCTAGGCCCTTTACGGCCCGGGACATGTCCGTATTTTGGGAGATGGCAAGCATGAGCGAGGTCTCGACGTGGCCTGCGTGGTCAAAGGGAATGTCCATAAAATGCCAATAGGAGAGTACAAAGACCCTGACCCTTCCGCCAAGGCGCCTCTCGGTCTTCCCCGCAAGCCGAGCCAGGGCCTTTTGGTTTCCGTGATGTCCGTTTACCACAAATACGTTCTCCACCCTGTTTTTGGTCAGGGACTCGATCAAATCAGACATCACCCCTAGCAGGGTACGGCCGCTTATGCTCAGCTGGAAGAGCGGTTGGTGTTCGTACGACACGCCGTATGGCACTGTGGGCAGCTGAAGAAAGCCACCCATCTCACATAAGCGCCCTGCCACCTCTGTTACGATGTCAGTGTCGGTGGAGACCGGCAGGTGCGGCCCGTGCTGCTCGATTGATCCCACAGGCATCACCGCATTCAGGCATCCTGCCTCCCTCAGCACGGGATCGGACTGGCAGGCTAGCTTCATCATCCGTCTCCTGGATCTGGCGCTGAACTTGTTCCGCCAAACATCATATCCAGCATGGGATAGAGCTGTCCGGTGGGCTTTTTGGATCTGGTGTGGACCTTTCTCCAGCGAACCTCGAGCCTGTTGGAGAGGTGCATCTTTACTGCGCGCAGTAGAGTCTTTGACTCCAGCTCCTGTCCCCTCTTTTTTATCTGCTCCAACGGGTCATCAGGATCCACGCTAAAGGAGCCCTGAAAGATGATGGGGCCCTGATCCAGATTCTCTGTCACATAGTGGGACGTCACTCCCACTATCTTGGTGCCCCTCTCGTAGGCCTGCGAGTAGGCAAACGCTCCCGGAAACGCTGGAAGCAGGGAAGGGTGTATGTTTATGATCCTGTTGGGATACCTCCACACGAAGCTTGGCGTGAGGATTCTCATGTACCTTGCAAGCACGATAAGATCGACGTCATACTCCTTGCAGATGGCCAGCAGCCTGTTCTCTGCCTCTGCCTGCACCTTGTGGTTTACCAATACAAAGGGCACGCCGGCCTCCCTTGCGACTGGTTCCAGGGTCTCCTCGGTTCCCACTATGACGCAGATCTTACCCATCAGCGTGCGCCTCCCCTTGAGCAGGGTCTCAAGGCACAACGGCTCCCGCGTTACAAACACCGCAATGTTCTTCCGCGATGCCGTCTCGTGGTGGGTGCTTACATCCATGTCTTCCTTCTTTGCCAGCACCTGTATGCGCCGATCCAGCTCCTTGGCATCAATCTTTTTGCTAAACGACACTTCTAGGTACATTCCGAAGAGACCGTGGATGACATTCTGGTTCATCTTCTCGATGTTTCCCCCGTTTGCAAAAGCAAAGTGGGTAAACGCCGCCACCACTCCCTCGTGGTCGCGACCCACCACGGTAATGCCGATTACGGTCTTTCCCATATCGGCCTTGATTCGCAATTCCTTATTAATGCGCATCCCATGGAGGCTTGGTGCCGCTCCCGGTTCCGCGGTAAGGCGATGGGTTTAGGTGTGTGGTCGGATGGCCGCTCCCGCATGTATGGTTATGGTGCGGAAGGTGGGATTCGAACCCACGAACTCCTGAAAGACAGGGTCCTAAGCCCTGCGCCTTTGACCAGGCTTGGCAACTCCCGCATAGTGCGTCGCCCAAACACAAATTTATCTATTGTTAAGATGACCTGTATGGCTGGACTTTTTGGAACGAACGGCGTCAGGGGGGTCTTTGGGGCGGACCTCACCCTGGAGCTTGTGCACGATGTTACCCTGGCAGCCGCATCATACTTTGAGGACGGGCCCATACTGGTGGGGTACGACGGCCGGAAGACAAGCCCGCTGATCTCAAAGGCGGTGTGCTCGGCCCTGAACTATGCCGGCCTGGACTGCGGCGCGACGGGGCTGGTTCCGACACCGGCGCTGGAGTTTGCTGTAAAGAGTCTGGGGTACCGTGGAGGCGTCATGATTACCGCGTCGCACAACCCCCCGCAGTACAATGGCATCAAGCTAGTGGCACGTGACGGTGTCGAGATCTCACGGGAGGACGAGCGCGCCGTGGAGGACGCATACACTGCAAAGGGATACCGCCGGGGCACGGACTGGGGGAAGACATCGGCCGAACCCCGCGTCCTCGGCACGTACCTTGACGGGGTATGCCGGCAAATCAACACCGAGATGATCATGAAGCGCGGGTATACGGTGGTTTTGGATCTGGGAAACGGGGCGCAGGCAGTTGCGGCGCCGGAGTTGGCAGGCAGGCTTGGCTGCACCGTCCACACTATAAACGGGGCCGTAGACGGGGAATTTCCCGGAAGGGGATCCGAGCCCACGCCCGCAAACCTGGGCGCGCTCACCAAGGCGGTGCTGGAGAACGGAGCGGATCTCGGCATTGCATTTGACGGCGACGGGGATCGAAGCATGCTGTGCGACGAGCTGGGCGCCATACTTACCGGGGACCGGTCGGCCCTCTTGCTCTCCGGCTTCCTGCTGGAGAGGAGCCCGGGGGCAAAGATCGTCACATGCGTAAACTCTGGCCTTGCCATAGAGGATGTGGCTGGACGGTTCTCTTCGGACGTAATCAGGACAAAGGTTGGGAGTGTAGAGGTATCCAGGCGGATGGTCCTTGAGGACGCCCTCATAGGCTTTGAGGAGAACGGCGGATTCATGTTCGGGCCGCACAACCAGGTAAGGGACGGGTGCATGGCCCTGGCGCTGGCGCTGGACATGATGGCGCACACCGGCAGAAGCATCTCGTCGGGCGTGGCCGGCCTTCCGCCGTCGTACACCGCAAAGGACAGGATATCCTGCACGCCGCAGCAGGCGCGGGGGATCATTGCCATGCTGAAGGGTGAGCATCCCGGCGCCGATACGGCCGATGGTATCAGAATACCCCTGGGCAGAAGGGAGTGGGTAATGATCAGGCCCAGCGGAACGGAGCCCGTACTTCGTGTTTATGCCGAGTCGGACTCCCGGGAAAACCTCGGGAGGCTCATATCCGGGTACGTCTCAAGGATCAGATCGGCGCTTGATTCCACCTAGGCCAGAATGCAGGAGCCAGGTCCGTACAGAGACGCAGCGCACGCCGATGTTGTGGATCTGATCCACCTGCAGTGCGTCAATCCGGGGGCACATCTGCGGACTGAATCCTGCAGACAACACTTTTATGACCAAATGGAAAAATTTTTGAAATGGAAACAAGCCCGAAGGTAAAGAAAGCATACTATGTTAAATTTGAAACACCTCAGGATCTTGTCAGCCCGATACTGGAAGCCATCAGGGTTGCAGCAACCAGCGGCAAGGTAAAGAAGGGCACAAACGAGGCCACAAAGGCGATAGAGAGGAACCAGAGCAAGCTCCTAGTCATTGCCGAAGATGTGCAGCCGCCCGAGGTAGTGGCGCATCTCCCATTGCTCTGCGAGGAGCAGCACGCGGCATACGCCTTTGTTCCAAGCAAGCACGATCTCGGCAAGGCGCTGGGAATCGATATCACTGCGGCAGCAGCTGCCATTTTGGACTCCGGTGATGCCCAGCACATAGTTGACCAGGTAATTGCATCCATTGAGAAGATAAAAGGTGGCAAGACTGATCAATGAGCACCGAGACTGAAAAGATAACTCCTGCAGAAGTTATCCAAATTGTTGGCAGAACCGGCATTGCGGGTGAGGTAATCCAGGTAAGGGTAAAGATACTCGCCGGAAAGGATCGGGGACGTCTTCTCACAAGGAATGTAAAGGGCTCGGTTCGCATGGGCGACACAATAATGCTTCGCGAGACCGAGAGGGAAGCAAAGAAGATAAAGTAGGGGATCTTGCGCGCATGAGTCTCTTAGTTAAATCCTGCAGTTTCTGTAACAGGCCTGTAAGAAAGGGCTCTGGCACCATGCTGGTAAAAAACGACGGAACCCTTCTGTGGTTCTGCTCGGCAAAGTGCAAGAAGAACATGCGGGATCTCAAGCGCGATCCGAGAAAGCTCAAGTGGACCAACAAGTACGTCAAGGGCGGAATCAGGAGAAAGTAGGCCATGGCCGAACAAACGCTGTTTATAGTCAAGCCAGATGCGGTAAGACGCGGGCTGACAGGTCAGATAATTGCACGGTTTGAGCAGAAGAGATTTGTGCTGGCCAGGCTGAAGCTGTTTCGGTTCACAAGGGAGCAGGCAGAGGAGTTTTATGCGGTGCACCGGGACAGGCCGTTTTTTGGCGAACTGGTGGACTTTGTGGTATCGGGCAACGTGGTGGCGGCAGTAATCGAGGGCCACAACGCAATCGCAACGGTGCGAATCATGGTGGGCGCAACAAAGTCTTTCGAGGCGGCGCCGGGTAGCATCAGGGGCGACTTTGGACTGGGATTCACGGACAACATAATCCACGCATCGGATTCGATTGAGAGCTTTGCACATGAAGCGAGGGTAGCATTCCAGTGATTGGAGTTGAGAATTCGCCAACCGATTGTGGCAGTACTCGGCCACGTAGACTCGGGCAAGACATCACTGCTAGATAACATACGGGGAACCGGCGTCCAGGGGAGGGAGGCCGGAGGTATCACGCAGCATATAGGAGCCAGCTTTCTTCCCGACGACGTAATAAAGAAGAGGTGCGGCAACCTCTACGACAAGATGGGGCGAGCCGGAAGCAGGATCCCCGGAGTGCTGGTAATCGATACCCCGGGACACGAGGTCTTTAGAAACCTTCGCGTTCGTGGGGGTTCTGCTGCAGATATTGCAATCCTGGTGGTTGATGTCAACCGCGGCTTTCAACAGCAGACAAACGAGAGCTTTAACATACTGAAGGACAGAAAGGTGCCGTTTGTCGTGGCCCTGAACAAGGTGGACCAGATATCTGGCTGGCGCAAGACAGGCACCATGTCTGTGATCCGGTCCATAGCAGAGCAGGATGCCTCGATCCGGGCAGATCTGGATCAGAAGATATACGACGTGATTGGAACGCTGTCGGTCCTTGGGTACCAGTCAGAGGCATTCTACCGGGTAAAGGACTTTACAAAGGAGATAGCCATAGTGCCCATCAGCGCCAGAACCGGCACGGGGGTGTCGGAGATCCTGGCGATGCTGGTGGGGCTCACCCAGCAGTACCTGCTCAAAAAGCTGGCGCAAGAGGAGAAGCCCACCAGGGGACTTGTCCTTGAAGTAAACGACGAGGCAGGAATGGGTCCTACCGCCAACATAATTCTGATCGACGGTTCGATGGGAAAGAGCGACACAATACTCGTGGCAAAGCGGGACGACATAATCGTTACGAGGCCCAAGGCAATAATGCTGCCAAAGCCGCTGGACGAGATGCGCGATCCCCGTGACAAGTTCAAGAGCGTGAGCTCGGTTCAGGCTGCCGCCGGAATCAAGATTGCCTCGCCGGATCTGGATGGCGTGCTTCCCGGCTCCACCGTATACGTGGCAAAGAGCGCGTCTGAGATCGAGCCGCTAAGGAGAGCCATCGAGTCGGAGATGAGATCTGTGTTTGTGGAGACCGAGTCTGACGGCATCATAGTAAAGTGCGACACCATCGGATCCCTGGAGGCGATAACTGAGATGCTGCGGCGCCAGCAGATACCGATTGCCAGGGCAGACATAGGCCCGGTAAACAAGCGCGATGTAATCGAGGCCAAGGCCGTCAAAAAGAATGACAGGCATCTGGGAGTCGTGCTGGCATTCAACGTCAAGGTGCTTCCGGATGCGCAGACAGAGTCGGAGATGTACCACGTCCAAATATTTGGCGACAGGGTAATCTACCGCCTACTGGACAGCTATACCGACTGGGTGGAGAAGGACACCATGCACGAGGAGGATGCCACGTTTGGCGAGCTGACACCGATTGCAAAGTTCACGTTCCTGAGAGGGCTTGTGTTTCGCAACAAGGATCCCGCGGTATTTGGAATCAGGGTAGATGTTGGAACGCTGCGGCAGAAGGTGCACTTTATGAGTGAGCGCGGAAAAAGGATTGGCCAGATACACCAGCTGCAGGAAGACAAGAAGACTGTGGGATCGGCTCAGGAGGGCAGTGAAGTTGCCTGCTCCACCCACGGTGCGGTAGTCGGACGGAACATCAGGGAGGAGGACGTGTTTTACACACTGCCGTACTCACACGAGGCAAGGCAGCTGCTCAAGAGGTTTACCCACAGGCTGTCTCCGGAGGAGCTTGGGATACTAGACCACGTTGTGAAGGTACAGAGGGAGATAGATCCTGCATACGGGTACTAGACCTTGAGCATCCAGGCCTTTGCAATAATCAGCGGCGTGACAATCACGACAGGCCTGTCCGTAGCCATAGCAGTCATCTACTGGCCGCAGTGATCCCGCACGGTGCCACGCATCAGCAGGGTTTTGATACTGAGCTAGGCCTGTAAACTCTGCTGCCATCAGGGCGTGGCCATGACCCGGTTTGAGATCTTCCTGGAGCGGGTTATTCCCTGATCTGTTCAGACCCGGCCAAGGAATTTTTTTGCCACCATGTGGATTCCAGGCTCGCCGACAGCACCCACCATCCGTTGGGCCTCACGGCCGTTTTGGAACATCAGGAACGTCGGAATCGACTGCACGGCAAACCGCTGTGCAATGATCTGGCTCTGATCCACGTTTACCCGGGCAAACTTTATCGTGCGATACGCCCGTGCCATTCTCTCAAAGACGGGGTGCATCGTCTTGCAGGGACCGCACCACTCTGCCCAGAAATCTACCAACACCAGCTGGTGGGAAGAGATGAACCCATCAAAGCCTGCCACGCCAAGATCCGTGACGGATGCCCGGGACATCTCTTGGGCCTCCCGTTGGCGGGCAAACATCTCGTGCAGTTTTTTCTGCTTTATGCGCTCAAGCTCCTTATCTTCCATAACGTCCGGATGTATCGGAGGTATTTAATTCCTGAAACCCGCTTCCCGAGAGCCCGCAGCTACAGATCGAGTAGGAATCTCATGGTGACTGTCCTGCCCTCTCTGATCTCCATCTGATGAAATGTGGGTGCCTTGATCTCCACCCTGAAGCGGTGCCGTTTCAGGTCGATGGGCTCGCCGTATGCCACAGCGTCAATCCTGTATGCGCCGGACCGGAACAGCCTGACATCAAACCTTCGCACTGCAAAGCCCTCGGTTATCAGCAGGTAGATCACCTCCTCAAGCCAGTTGAGCAGGAGATAGTCCAGATCCTTGCCAGAGACGGCAACCTGCCGCTGCTCCCTCTCCCGTACCGTCTCCCTGTCCAGCGTGATATCGGCCACGGACTCGGCCGCGCTGAGAAAGGCCGCCTCAAGCGCAGGTGCCGTCACCTCGACTATTGCGTCGGTTGCGTGATCCAAAAGCCTGTAGCCCAACTAGCTTCGGGGCCACAGCCCGGTATTTAGATAGAGCGGCCGGCGTTCTGTTCGCAGGCCGGCCTGCCCCGCAGCTACGATCCCAGGCAGCGGCTCAGGTCGCTGTGAAACTGCGCCCGCTGAAAGTCGTTCAGTTCCTCGTCCCTGAATGCCATTGCGTACTCTCTCATCATATCGCATGTCCAGTCATCCCAGATGCGCGGATTCACCACATTCTCGTCTGCCCAGTCGATGAGGAAGATGACAGGAAAGAGGGTGCCAAACACAACCACTAGGAACAGCACCAGCACCCTGTGTCCGATCTCGACCATAACAACAAAAACTGGTTTTGGGAGTTTAATCTATTTTGGTATTGCTACTCTTTTGGGGCCACATGGCATCCCAGGTCTCGGCAAACTTTTTCATCATGTCGCCGTAGGCCTGCATCTGCTTCATTCCGCCGTCCCCCATGGACTGTTGCCACTGCTCGCCAAACTTTTTGAACGAGTCAGCAGTAGCCTCCGAGACTGTCTTCTGCCAGTTGTCAGAGAACTGTCGCATAAAGTCGTTCTGCGTCACGCCCATGGATCTTTGCCAGTTCTCGCCAAAGGACTTCATGGTGTCCAAGGAGGACTCGCCGCTGGCCTTCTCCCAGATCCGGTTAAAGTTCTCCTGCATGGTCGCAGCGGCCTTTTGCATCGAGTCAAACATCTCCTTCCAGTTGTCAAGCGACTTGATGTACTCGCCCCATAGCCTCTGCCAGTTCTCTTTATCGGAGCTAGACATATCCTACCTCACACCACACCTAAGATAAACCCACCTGATCTGCGCGTGTAGATCTTCGGGTTCCGGAGCGAGATCCGGCAGCCGGATCCCCGCATGCCCGACACCCGCTCCTGCAGAGGAACCCCTGCATCGGAAAGACTAAATCAAAACTCCGCGTGGTATGTTTGATTTGGAGCTTCCACGGGGAATGAAGGACTTTGGCGCAGGAGATCTGGCAGGGGTCGAGCTGGTCCGCTCCCGCTTCCTTGAGCTGGCCAGGGTGTTTGACCTTGAGATGATGGAGCCGTCCCCCATCGAGTCCGTTGCCACGCTGGAGGCAAAGAGCGGCCCTGCCATACGCGACGAGATCTACTTCTTCAAGGACAAAGGGGGCCGCGATGTGGCACTGCGCTTTGACTTTACCGTCGGACTGACCCGCCACGTGGCATCGCAAAAGTCGCTTAGGATGCCTGCAAAATTCGCGTCCTTTGGCGGCGTCTTCAGGTATGACGAGCCGCAGAAGGGGAGGTACCGCTACTTTCACCAGTGGAACATCGAGACATACGGCAGGCCCGGCATCGAGTCAGAGGCCGAGATGATCGAGTTTACAGCTAGGCTCTTTGAGGCGCTGGGACTCAAAAACATAACAATCGACATCAGCCACCGCAGGCTGGTCGAGTCCCACATATTCCAGGTCTTTGGATCCACAGAGCCTGTGCTGGTAGCAGACATCCTGCGTGCAGTGGACAAGATCGCGAAAAAGTCGCGCCGGGAGATCCTGCAGGAGTTCTCGGACAAGGGGTATGACGCGGAGAAGCTGGAGAAGATAATCAGGTTCTCGTCCGTCGCCGGATCCCCATCAGAGGTGGAGAGGCAAGTCGATGTCTCAAAGCTGGACGCGTGGGGGCATCTTGTCGAGCTGTTCGAGTCGCTGAAGAACCGAAAAGTCAGAAATGCCAGAATCAACCTTGCGGTAGTCCGCGGTCTTGACTACTACTCTGGAACGGTGCTGGAGGTGTTTGATACGGGTTCCGGCATGGGTGCCCTTGCAGGCGGTGGCAGGTACGACAGCCTAGCACGGGCCTTTGGGCGCGAGGATTTTGGCGCCACAGGTGTTGCCGGCGGGGTCGAGAGGACCATTCTTGCAATGGAGGAGCAGGGCATGGCCGTCGCTCCAGGGCATCCGGAGGTATCCGTGCTGTACATCGAGCCTGCCGGGAGGCAAGCCGTAGGAATCGCATCGACGCTAAGACAAAAGGGGATTGCAGTCAGGATTGACCTGGCCGGGAGGCCGCTGAAGAAGCAGATGTCTGCTGCCTCAGACTCGAGATTTGCAGTCATTGTGGGCCCAGAAGAGACCCGGGAGGGAAGAGTGGTGCTCAGGGACATGCAGAGCAGAGTCGAATCCAGGATTCCAATAGAAGACCTGCTGCGCGATCCCGGACTGGCGCTCAGACCCCAAAGGCCCGGGTGAGCATCATTATCTCCGGACCGCTTGTAAACGAGCCGGTGACTGCCGCCTTGTTGTTCAGCAGTATTCCTGATGACACGAATGGAACCCCGCCGTTGATGGTGGCCTGCTCCATGGAGACTCCCAGTACGCTGGAGAATCTGCTGATGTCGTCCTCGTCTGTCTCCGGATGAACTATTCCCCCATGCATGTTGGCAACGGCCATGGATCCCGCCTGATGGTAGCCGGCAACCTTGCCCCGGATTACCTCCACGTCCAGCACGTCCCCGATGACCCGGACGCATTCCTGGGGGAACCCCGGGGAGATTATGGCCCCGCGATCATTTGCACAGATCAGGTTTCCCAGCGCCGTGTACTTTGAGTCCAGAAACCCCACATTGAGCCCCGTGGCTTTCTTCATGTGTTCGTACTCGTCCTCTGAGGCAGTCACCGGCAGCAGCAGGCCGTGGTTGTTAAAGACCATCAGTGTGCCAAGCAGCCTGGTGTTTGCCACAGAGGCATACACTACGCTGACGCCCAGATGCTCGCCGAGCTTCTCTCCCCTGGCCCTGGTGTACCCCATGGGCAGAAACACCACATCGTCGTTTGTGGCAGCATAGACTCCTATGTTGGGCCCTCGGTACACATCATACTTGTGAATATCCACAGGAACCCCCGGGTATGAAAAGATATGAACCTTGGGCACGCGGCCGCCTGTCCCACCGAGCCAGGCATCGGAATCCACCCCGGCATGTGCCCAGACCGTGGCAGAACCGGCCCTGCAGGGCAGAATACGGCCGCCCCGCGGGCCTGGGCAAGGTTTAGTTCAAACTAAGTTTGTTTAGATTTAAATAGCATCTGGAAAAATTATAAAGCATGCCAATTGAAGAAAACTTCCCTGAAGGTTTGGAACCGATAGGAAAGATCCTGCACTCCGACGGCGAGAACTTCCACTTCATGTGGGGGCCCGGCAGATCCAATGCTGAAGCATTCAGCAACGAGGATGTCAAGGCAGCCTACGCAGCCAGAGGCGAGGAGCAGGTTCCCCTAGGCGTCAGCGGTACAATGGTCGCAATAGACTGGGACTCTTGTGTTGCAGATGGTGCCTGTATCGAAGCGTGCCCCGTTCAGGTATTCCAGTGGTACAGAACCGAGAAGGACATGCCAGCAGTCGACATAGTAGGAGAGACGTTTGATGGTAGCGGAAGCGACGTCAAAGAAGAACGCAAAGACTACACCGACAAAGCAGATCCGATCAGAGAGCATGATTGCATCTGGTGCATGGCATGCGTATCGGTCTGCCCTCCCGAAGCGGTCAAGGTTGATCAATCCAACCAAGAGGCACATGAAAAAGCTGCAGGAACCCACGTAGTTATGCCCAGCGGAGGCGGGAATCCGCACGCACACGACTAGAACACCTCCCTTTCTTCCCTTTTTCTAAAATCTGACCTACCGTAGGTACTCAACAAATTTTAACCGCCGCGCAGCACCGGTTACCGCAGGGGTCGCCTAGCCTGGTAGGGCGCGGGCCTTGAGAGCCTGTGTGGGTAACCATACGGGGGTTCGAATCCCTCTCCCTGCGCTATTCTCAACCGTCCCGGCGCGCCAGCAGGCCCTGCCTGTAGCGCAGACGGCCGTATCTTACCCGGCATCGGGTTATCTTGGCACCCGGGCAAGCTCTGCTAGGAGCGCAGAGAGCTGAATCTCCGGGTTGGATCCCGCCAGTATCCGGTAGTCGTACTTTGCGATAATCTCGAGTATGTCACCTGCGTGATCCGTTCTGCCCCCAAAGACCGCAGCGCAAAGATACTTGAGGAAGTCAGACTCGGACATCCCGTACACCTTGACGAGGTCTATCATCTTCTCCCGCGCCTGGGGGAATTTGCCGCCAAGCGCAAGCTTTAGCACCACCTTGACGTCCTCTGACTTTGTCAGGCCCGCCGCCGTCTTTACGCGATCCTCGGTGATTCCGCCCATGCTGGCGACGGTCTGCAGAAGGTTGATCGCATGCCTCAAGTCGCCCCCGGCGTAGTCATACACCGCCTGCAGCCCGTCCTCGTCTGACTCCGTACCCTCCTTTTCGGCAATCGCCTTTAACCTAGATACCACATCCTGCCGCGAGACCGCGGTAAACTTGAAGACCGCGCACCTGCTCTGGATCGGTTCGATAATCTTGGAGATGTTGTTTGCAGTGATGATGAACCGGCAGTGTCTAGCCGTGTCCTCGATGATCCGCCTCAGGGCGGTCTGGGCATCTGACGTCATCTCGTCGGCCTCGTCCAGTATTATGATCTTGAACGGAATATCACCAAAGCTGGCCCAACGGGAGAACTTTTTTACCTTCTCCCGAACCATGTTGATTCCGCGCTCATCAGACGCGTTGAGCTCAAGCATGTACTCGCGCCAGTTGTCTCCAAGTATCTGCCTTGCAACGCACAGAGCCGTGGTGGTCTTGCCGATTCCTGCAGAACCCGAGAAGAGCATGTGCGGCATCTCCGACTCCTTTTTGAGCAGTGCCTCGATACTGCCAATTATCTCCCTCTGGTTCACAACATCTGAGAGCCTCTGGGGCCGGTACCTCTCCACCCACATGGAGTCTGCGGCAACCATGCCGTACTTGGGACGCCATCCCTAAATAAATCCGTGGATGCCTGCAAAGGTGCGCGATCAGCCACCTCGCTTGGGCACAAATTCGGGATAGAACTCAGCATCCGGCAAGTGCGGCAGGCGGCTCCATTGAATCAATTATTATTCAACTATTTAGTGAAAAAATGTGATGCACCGCTGTAAAATCAATATTTGAGACTCATGTCCGGATTTGAAGACAAAAGATGTCAGGGATCTGCACGGTACCGCATTCTCCCTGGAAGATGTAAAGGTGACACTGCACAGGGATATCGGCCTCAACGTATCCGGAATTAGCGTGGAAGGCAAGGAGGGCGAGGTACTCAACATCCCCCGCTGGGTTGCCCGGGTGCTCGAAGATCGGGGGCATGCCACCATCGAGGAGGCAGACATGGTAGTGGAGCTGAAGCAGGCGTTGGTAAAAGAGAATGTGCAGGGTGACTTCGAGATGTCCACGCTCGAGCCATACTTTTACATCAGGCTGAGATCATACATAAAAAGACTGGATGGGCGGGATGCCGACCGGGTCGAGAGCATGCTTGGCACGCTTGCCAGAAAGAGGCAGGGCAAGATAGTCCGCCTGGCCGACTCGTCTGCCCTTACCGCAGAACATGCCAAAAAGCTTACCGTGGAGGAGAGGTTATTCTACAATAACCTCCACGATATTAGCGCCGGTTTCAGAGATAGCATACTTGGTGAAAAAGCATGAGCGTTATGAAGACACAGAGCACGGAATCTGCGCTGGCAGACATCGTAAAAACATTTCTGGTCGAGTTCAGGGACAAAAGCGGTGGCTTCAGGTACGTAGAGAAGATCGACCAGATGATGTCGCGCCGCGCAAAATACATGGTGGTAAATTACAACGACCTGGTTCTCTCACTGGAGATCGAGGCCAGGTTCAGTGATAGCGCAGATCACATTCTCAAGGCGTTCTCAAAGGCCATCTATCTGATCCTTCGGGAACGGTTCCCAGAGTACGCAGACAAGATCAAGGACGAGATCCGGGCCAGGATAATCAACTTCCCCGTACAGCGCAGCCTGAGACAGATCAACGCCGAGATCATAAGCAAGATGACCAGCGTCTCTGGAATGGTGGTACGCACCTCGGAGGTAAAGCCCCTGGCCAGGGAGCTGAGCTACGTGTGCCCCGAAGGCCACAAGACCCAGGTAATCCTGCTAAAGGGAATGAGCGTCAACGTGCCGACAAAGTGCTCGGATCCAAAGTGTACGCATCGGGATCTGGAGGTGGAACCGGAGACCAGCAGGTTTATCGACTTTCAGATCATCAGGCTGCAGGAGCTGCCGGAGGATCTTCCGCCAGGACAGCTCCCCCACTACGTGGACGTGGCAATAAAGCAGGATCTGGTGGACAACGCGCGCCCCGGAGACCGCATCATACTGACAGGCATTGTCAGAATAGAGCAGGAGCCGGTCTCGGGAATCAATCGCGCCAACAGCGGACTGTACCGGCTGAGAATAGACGGAAACAACATCGAGTTTTTGGGAGGCCGGGGGGCCAACATATCGCGCAAGTCAGAGAGGGAGGAGGTGTCCGTAGAGGAGGAGAAGATCATCCGCGCGCTGGCAAGCAGCATGGACATCAACGAGAGGCTGATCGAGTCATTTGCACCCCACATCCAGGGCCAGTCACTCATCAAAGAAGCGATCCTGCTTCTTATAATCGGCTCCACCCAGAGGCTGCTGGCAGACGGAAGCAAGATTCGCGGAGACATCAACATATTCCTGGTGGGCGATCCGGGAACCGCAAAGAGCGAGATGCTAAAGTTCTGCGCAAGGATAGCCCCCCGCGGCCTCTACACCTCGGGCAGGGGTTCTACTGCCGCAGGCCTGACTGCCGCAGTGGTTCGCGACAAGAGCGGGATCATGATGCTGGAGGCAGGAGCCGTTGTGCTGGGGGATCAGGGGCTTGTGTGCATAGACGAGTTTGACAAGATGAAGCCCGAGGACCGTAGTGCGCTGCACGAGGTGATGGAGCAACAGTCGGCCAGCATTGCCAAGGGAGGCATTGTGGCCACCCTGAACGCGCGGACATCAATCCTTGCAGCGGCAAACCCGATGTACGGCAAGTACGACCCCTTCAAGAACATCACAGAGAACGTAAACCTGCCCGTTCCACTGCTTACGCGGTTTGATCTCATATTTGTGATCCGCGACATCCCCGCAAAGGAGAAGGATGCGAGTATAGCAAGGCACATCATAGACCTGCACACGCCCAGGGGTGTTGAGAAGCGCTCGCTGATCGATGTTGACATCCTCACAAAGTACCTGTCATACGCAAAGAGATTCAACCCGGTTCTGACCCAAGAGGCCGAGCAGAAGATTCTCGACTACTACCTCAAGATGAGAAATGTCGAGTCCGACGAGATGATGATCACGGTAACGCCGCGCCAGCTGGAGGGGCTCATCAGGCTCACCATGGCCCGGGCCAGGCTGCTGATGAGGGATCAGGCCGATGCCGATGATGCCGATCGCGCCATATACCTGTATGAGTGCATGCTGCGCGATGCCGGCATGGACGTCAACACCGGAAGGATCGACATGGGAGTCATACATGGAAAGCCCAGGAGCGAGATAGCCAAGATGCAGATCTTCATGGAAGTCCTAAAGGGCCTTGAGGGGGAACCGCCGTCCGCCGTGGAAGAGAAGCGGTTCATAGACGAGCTCGTAAAATCCGGCAAGTTCGACGAGGAGGAGTCGCGCAGGTACATCAAAAAGATGTCAGAGGAAGGAACTATTTATGAAGCAAAGGTAGGCCACTATAAACGCGTATGAAGATAACAGATCTGAGGCTACCAGATGACTCGATTAGCTTCCTCAAATCTCAGGGATACGTAGATCTCTATCCCCCGCAAGCAGACAGCGTAAAGGCCGGCCTGCTGAGCGGAAAGAGCATGCTGGTGTCCGCACCCACTGCCAGCGGCAAGACCCTCATTGCCACAATGGCCATTCTTGCCTACCTGCAGGGTAGCCACCGCAAGGTAGTCTACCTGAGCCCGCTCAAGGCCCTGGCAACAGAGAAGTACGGCGAGCTCAAAAAGATCAAAACGATTCCCGGGCTGAAGGATGTCCGGATCCGGGTCTCCACCGGCGACTTTGATTCAAGGGATGGCGCTATCGCCAGAAGCGATGTCGCCATTATGACAAACGAGAAGATGGACTCGGCCATCCGCCATGATCCCAGCTGGGTCGACGAGGTCGGCCTGGTCATAGTGGACGAGATACACCTGCTGGGAGACCAGACCCGTGGCCCCACGCTGGAGATGATCCTAAGCAAGCTCAGGTACCTGGGAAGCAGGATGCAGGTCATCGGCCTGAGTGCAACCATCTCAAATGCAGACGAGATAGCCCGGTGGCTTGACACCACCCTGGTCGTCAGCGACTGGAGGCCCGTGTCACTGACTGAGGGCGTGTACGACTACGGCACGGTCACGATGCAAGACGGGCGCGCCTTTGAGGTACCCCTCACACTCCGGAGCCCCCCCGTTGACATCGGTGTGGACTCGGTGGTGCACGGGGGGCAGTCGCTTGTGTTTGCCTCCACCAGGTCCAGATCCGTATCCCTGGCCTCCAAGGCCGCTGCTGCCGTCTTCAAGCTAATGAAAAAGTCCGATGTCACACACCTGGCAAAGGTGTCACGGAGCATCCTTGAGAGGAACGAGAACACCAAGATGATCAAGGCGCTGGCAGATCTGGTAAAGAACGGGGTGGCATTTCACCACGCGGGGCTGAACCAGTACTGCCGCGAGATCGTGGAGAAGGAGTTCCGCTCGGGCAGAATCAAGCTGCTGACGTCCACTCCGACGCTGGCAGCCGGGGTGAACCTGCCTGCAAGGAGGGTGGTGGTCTCCAGCGTTACCCGGTACGACGCCCGCATGGGAGTCAGCATGCCGATCAGCGTCATGGAGTACAAGCAGTACTGCGGCAGGGCAGGAAGACCCCAGTACGACGACTACGGGGAGGCCATAATCGTCGGGAACGGCAACGCCTGGGAGATGACAGAGATGTACGTCAACGGGGAGCCTGAGCCCGTGGAGTCGCAGATCACAGGCCAGAGATCCCTGCGAATCCACACCTTGAGCCTGATTACGACCGTGCCGGGAATCAAGGGCGGCGAGATCGCCGAATTTTTCCTGAACACCCTTGGTGGCACCCAGTCATCCGGCCCGGGAGTCGAGCGTGACGTCTGGAGCACGCTGGAGTTCCTGCAGGAGGGCGGTCTTATCGTCTGCAAGGGCGGCAGATACGCGGCAACGGAGTTTGGCAAAAAGGCATCCCTTCTGTACATAGACCCGGAGACCGCCCTCATGTTTCGGGAGACGCTGAGGACGGCATCCAAAAGGCCCAGGCATACCCTGGGCTTTCTTCACCTGATCACCGAATGCGGGGAGTTCTATCCAAAATTTGGCATGAGAAAGGACGACTACGATCGTGCCGCCGACGTGATCGATACGCACGCAGAGGAGATCATTGATTTCTTCACGGAGCAGGAATGCAACCGGAGCCTTCTGGCGCTGCACTACTGGATTATGGAGCAGACGGATCTTGTCATCTCGGATCACCTGGGCATCGAGTCAGGTGACATGCACAGAATGGTGGAGACCGCCGCCTGGCTGGCCCACTCCCTGCAGGAGCTGGCAAGGCTTCAGGGGCGCGCCGATCTGCTAGAGGAGCTTGGCATCCTGCAGCGGAGGATCACCTACGGCATCATGGAGGACCTGACAGAGCTGACCAGGATACGCGGAGTGGGCCGGATCCGGGCCCGGAGCCTGTTCAAGCACAAGATCAGGACCCTTGACGACCTGGCAAGGTTACCCGTCAGAAACCTGGCCGCAATCGACAAGATCGGCAGAACCATCGCGGCCAGCATCAAGTCACAGACGGGGACTGTAACATAATTGGCAGACGAGATGATTGCGGCGATAGCCGCATCCGCTGTTGCGTTTTTTACGGTGTACCTGGCCATGCCGCCGCTGATCAGGATCCTGGAGACAAGAAACATGACGGTGCCAGACGTCAACAAGAAGGGGCATGTCATGGTTGCCCGTCCCGGCGGGCCTGCGCTCATCGCGGGGATACTGGCATCTGAGGCAGTCATGTACGCGTTCTTTCCGGACGGCGCCATACTTGCAATAATGGCCACTACCACCATCGCGTTCTTTGTGGGGCTGACAGACGACATAAGGGTCATGGGCGGCTGGTTCAAACCCGTGGCGCTGGCCTTTGCGGCAGCCCCCATCCTCCTGCTGGGTGCGTACGACTCGAACCTTGCATTTCCCCTGTTTGGCAACGTGCAGATTCCCGTGCTGTATCTGGGGGTGGCGGTGCTCATGATCTCGATTACAGGCAACACGATAAACTCCATTGACGTGGTAAACGGTTCGGCCAGCGGCTTTATGATAATTGCAAGCTTTGCCCTGTCCATCTCGCTGTTCATAGTGGAGTGGCTTGCCGGCGGGCAGGACTACGTGGTGGCAGCCGCCAGCCTGCCCCTGGGATTTGTCTCGCTGGCCCTGTACAGGTACCACCGCATCCAGAGCAGGATATTTCCCGGAGACTCGGGGGCGCTGACCCTGGGCTGCATGTACGGCGCCATCGCCGTTGTAGGCGGCGCGGAGATTATCGCCGCAGTGGCGCTGCTTCCTGCCATAGTCAACTCGTTTCTGTTTCTGTCAAGCATGAAGCGCGTAGTGGAACACCGCCAGATCAAATCAAGGCCGGTAACACACACAGAAGACATGAAGCTCAAGGCAACCGACAGCAAGACCGCGCCTGTCACACTGGTGAGGCTCATCGTTGCATTCCGGCCCCTGACCGAGAGGGAGGTGGCACATGCGATCTTCAGGTTGGCGCTGTTCTCTGGGGGATTGGCCGTAGTAACTGCCCTGCTGATGGGGGTGTCGCTGTGATAGGGCCCATCTACGTCTTCGTCGCAGTAATGTGGCTGCTGATTCTGTCAGGCGGCGGACTGGCCGTCCTCATACTGGGGCCGATCACCATCTCTGGGTATGGAGAGATTGACGGCGCTCTCTCGTCTGGAGTAAAGGCGGTAGCGGCCATACTGCTGTCGGTACTCTGGGTAGTAATCCTCACCAAGATCAAGAACTGGATGTTTCGCAGAAAGATCAGCTCCGTATGAGCCGCCGCCCCGGTGCCAGCAGGTCCGACCAGAGGCAGCGCACGGGCATTCTCAGAGGTGCCAGGGCATGCCGGATCTGGTTACCCTGTCAGGCAGGTTTGCCGCGTTGCTCTTTAGAAACTCCATGTCCTGCTTTTTGTCCCTGAGGTCATCAGGCAGCATTATCGGAATCCCATCCATTATGGGGTAAAAGCGGGAGCAGTCAGGGCAGAGCAGTGCGCCCTCCAGGACAGCGTCCCCCTTTGTTCTTATCTCGACCAGCTCCAAGGGGGAGTGCCTGTCAATCGGGCATATCAGTATGTCCAGCATCTTTTTGTTCATCTTGACTCCAGATAAATGGGCGTACCGCTTTCGTTGGATAAAAGTGCAGCTTCAAGCATTCTTGCTGCGTTTACTGCCTCCCGCGCATCTGCAGGCGGCCGGGTCTTCCCGGCAGCAGCGGCAAGAAGGCCCTCGATCTCACACTGCAGGGGATCCCTCCACGGATCCGTCGCATCCCTGGTTGCGGCAGGCGTCCTGACCCTGATCTCCTGCGAGACTGCGTCGCCGGAGACGACTGCGTTAGTGCATATCGCGCTAAACGTCTGCTCCTTGAGCGGGGAGATCCATCCAGATGAGACTGTCGCCATCTTGCCGTCCCCAAAGCCCAGCACAACCACGGCGTGGTCATCGCAGCCGCCATGCATGCTGCCTGACCTGGCAAAGACCATCTCCGGCGTCTGGCCAAAGAGCCACACGGCAGAGTCCATATCCTGTGCCGCGGCATCACGGATGACTCCCGCACCGCCGGCGTGCGGCGGAGCCTTGTGCCTGTGAAACTCCAGCGCCGCGAGGCTGCCAAGGGTTCCTGACATGACCAGATCTCTTGCCTTTGCCACGGCAGGGTTAAACCTCCCGGTGCAGCCGTACAGCAGCAGGGTCCGGTTTCTCTCTGCCAGCTCCATCAGGGGATCGATCTCCCGGGACTGGTACGTCACGGATCCGTCTACGAGGATGTCCTTTTTGGCCCTGACCAGCCGTGCTATCGCCTCTGGATGCATGTGCACGCACACAAGGGCGGCATCAAACTCGGACGACAGCAGCGCGTCAAGTGACGTGTGATGGCTCGCCGAGTACCTGTGGCCGCACTCCCTGGCAGCATCCTCCACGGCATCATATACGGCGCCAAGCGCCCCCAGCTCGGCCAGTATTCTGGCATGGTTCTCGCTCCGGCTCCCGGCGCCGACCAGCGCCACCTTCAGACTAGTACACCTCCGTCAGCCACCGGGAATATCTCATGTTCCTGCCGTTCGCTGCGTCATCATATGCGTCCATGATCCTCTGGGTAACGGGGCCGGGCCTGCCTGTGCCTATCTTCTCGCCGTCTATGCCGGTTACCGGAGTGATCTCTGCTGCCGTGCCGCACAGAAATACCTCGTCGGCCGCATACAGGTCCTGCTTGTCTATAGTCTGCACGGACGCGTCATAGCCGGTGTCCTTTGCCATCTCAAGTATGGTATCCCGGGTGATGCCCTTGAGGGCAGAAGAGCCGACCGGCGGCGTGAGCAGGCGGCTGTCCTTTATGATGAAGATGTTCTCTCCGGGTGATTCGCTTACGTGCCCCTCGAGGTCGAGGAATATGGCCTCATCAAACCCCCTGTTCTTTGCCTCGATTGTGGCAATTATGGAGTTGAGGTAGTTTCCCCCCATCTTTGCCTGCGTGGGCGTGGATGCCGACGAGAACTTTCTCCACGACGTGATACAGGCAGAGATTCCGTTCTTGTCAAATAGATCACTAAACGAGAACACGCACATCGCGGCATGCGTGGGGGCATCGGCGGTAACATGCAGGTTGATGCCATACTGCCCGATAAAGTAAAACGGCCTGATGTAGCAGTGCTCCCTCACCCCGTTCTTTCTGCACAGCTGAACCATTGCCTCCTTGAGCTCCTCGTTTGAAAAGTTCAGCGACATGGAATAGTATGCGCCCGAGTTCCTAAACCGCCGCAGGTGCTCGTCTATCCTGAATATGTAGAGGTTGTTGGGGTTCCAGTACGCCCGAACCCCCTCAAATACCGATGTGCCGTAGTGTATTGCATGGGTGGTAATTGGAACCTGTGCCTGATCTATGGTAACGAGCTTGCCGTCAAACCACACGTATTTTGCCAGCGGTATCTTCACATACGCACAACGGCGAACGCATAATTAATCTATTTTGACCATCCGTCTTTTGGAAACTTCATTCCGGCTATCCGGACGGTGCGATCCTCGGCATCTGCAAACCCCTCAACCACGTCCCAGTGCTCCCGGACTATTCCTACCACCTCGCCCGGCACCTGCCTCTCCCAGTCCGAATCTGCACCCTTTGCGGCATCATACATCTCGCTCTTGACTGATGATGCAGATATCGCCTTCCTGCTGCCCACGCGGGGACGGAGTCGGTACAGCTTGAGCATGTAGCCCTCGGCCCGGTCTCCCGTATACGTAAAGTAGTCGCCCCGGATGCCCGCAAGTATCTGCCTTCGAAGCCGCCAGGAGCCGGGCGAGATCAGCGGGGGCATATACCTCGAGAACGGGGCAAAGAACGCATAGTTTCGGGATACTGTAACCGTGTCGCCGAATATGGACTCGATCATCTTTTTTCTGACCTCGAATCCGAAGGGAAAGCTCCTGCTGTTGACCTCGGCATCCCCCTTCACAAAGAGGACGGGCATCACGCAAACCGAGTCTGCCTGGGCCTTCAGCTCGTTAATTATCTCCACATGGGCGCAGGTTACGGGATTCAGGTGCGCCAGATACAGTGCCGTGGTCAACTGTCTGCCCTAGGCGGCAGCCCGTATTTCAATAGTCCAGATGGGGACGATGGGATTTGAACCCATGATCTCCAGCGCCCGAGGCTGGCAGTATACCAAGCTAACCTACGTCCCCACAACATGGACCCTGCACCGGATAATAATTCTTTAAGTTTGAGCCCTCGATATGGGGCAGCCTGTCGCGGGGGGTCGGGCGCGAAGGTCTGGCATGGCGTAAAGGCCGATCCAAATGAGAGCGGTTCTGGTCTCCGCCAAGCGCAGGGAGACGTCTGAGATGCGCGTTTGAAGGGTGTGAGTTTGTACGGCTCTAGCCGTAGGACTCGTACTTTACCTCAAAGCTGCCATCGCTACGTTTTCTGCGCTCGGTGACAAGTCCCCGGGGCTTTAAAAAGTCCATTACGCCGTCTATTGTTCCCTGCCATCCGCAGATGTAGAACATCGTATTGTCCTTGGTAATCTTTTCGCCCACAATCTCCTCTACCGGTGACAGCTCGGCGCCATCCCTGGGGCGCAGAAACGTCTCCACCCTACCTACCTGTCCGGACCACGATCTGTTGAACTGCTCCTGCGGTCTGCTTACTGCCGCCCTGTAGGTAAAGTTCCACTTGTCCTTGCCCCGATCCTGGCTTTCATACTCTAGGTTGGTCAACAGCTCCTTGTAGCCAAGCTCGTCTACGTAGCTTGCACCGTGCAGAACGACGATCTCCCTCTTGTCCCCGGTGTCGCGCAGGTGTTGGGCATAGCTCACAAAGGGAGCAAGTCCCGTACCGCCGCCTATGCAGACTATTCTGCGGTCGTCCTTCCTGTCATCGGGAAGCTTCTCGTTAAGCGTAAAGGCGCCTGTGGGGCGAATCCAGTTTACCGTGTCACCTGCCTTGGCATTGAAGAGCTGTGTGGTAAGGCGTCCCGGTATGGGCTTGCGAACCCACCTCACGTAAAGTTCGATGTACTTGTGGTTCTCGGGGTGTGACGCTATCGAGTACGCCCTTCTTACAATTTTATTATTCTCCAACGGGTTGGGCATTCCTACGGTAAGGAACTGGCCCGCCTTGTAGTCCGGCACCGAACCGTCGTTTGGAACCAGCCTAAAGATCGCCAAATCTTCCTTGAACAGCTGTATGTAAGTGATAGTCGCCTTGTTCTCTACAACCACAGATTTTTCAGGTAGTCTGTGGTTAAATATCTTATGGATCGTTTAGTTTGTTGCACAACCATCTCAGCCGTGCCTGGATGGTTGCCGGGCAGCAGGCATTTCGTGCCTGCGATTCGGGGTTATGCAACAAACTAGGATCGTTGGTAGGCACAGGAATCCTCCCGCATGCGTGCCTGAATTGGGCATCTGACGCCTGTAGTACCGCTCTCCGGATTCTGGCGCCCTGCGGCAAAGGGACGGCAGGGCAAGCCGTCGCATGCACGGACGGACCGGACGCCATACTTTCAGCTACATGTTAAATATTCGATCTAAAAGGTGTATATGGCTATCTCAAATGAGACTGGCTAGTGGGCCGGTCGTCTAGACTGGTAGGATACGCCCTTGGCATGGGTGAGATCGAGGGTTCAAATCCCTCCCGGTCCATACTTTTCAAGTAACTTTTGTAGGCTCCACGCACACAATAGGCATGAAGTTGACAAAAGACGAAATCGCCAGGGCAAGGGACGCATCCCCCATGGAGCTCTTCGCGCAGGGCATGCGCTCAAAGGAGACGCTGGAGAAGTACTCCAGAACCCTCCGGCAGGTGACCTGCGAGTTCCTGGAGGAGATGCTTGAGGGCGAGTTCGGTGAGCGCGTGGCCCAGCTGGTCCGGTACGCGAGGGAGGAGCCGGAGTGGACGCGCGACCTCCTGCTGAACCTGTCGGAGAAGCTGCGGAAGAGGACGGAGCTGGCCAGGGACCACCCGGACTACCTCAACCCCGCCTCGTTTGGCAACTACTTCAAGCCGGTCAAGAAGCTCTTCGACATGAACTACATCGCGATGCCGTGGAAGAGGATCTGCGCCACGTACCCGGAGCTTGACAACGTCCCCGAGTCGAGGGGGTGGTCAAGAGAAGAGATAGGGAGAATGCTCAGGAACACGCACGACCCCATGGAGCGGGCCCTGGTGCTGGTGCTGGCAAGCTCGGGCGTGCGCTCGGGCGGCCTTGACCTGAACTGGGGGGACCTGGTCCCGGTGTACCGCGTGGACGGCAGCCTCGTGCTGGATCCCGGAGCGGAGAGCGGGAAGATCGCGTGCGCCATGCTGCAGGTGTACAGCGGCTCCGCGGAGGGCTACACGACGTTCATAACGCCGGAGGCGTACGGCGCGCTGCAGGAGTACGGCCGCATGTGGGCGCAGCACATGGGGCGCTAGCCGCGCCCCAAGGATCCCATATTCCTGGCCACAAGGGGCCTGCCAAAGAGGGCGTCCTACATGTCGGTCAGGAAGCGGATCGACAGGATAGTCAGGCAGGCCGGGCTGCGCGACCCCGAATAGGGCGGGGCCAGGAGGCACGCCGTCCCGTTCATGAATGGCTTCCGGCGGCTCTGGAACAAGACGTGCAAGGAGGCGCTGTCAAACTACTCGCCGCTTGCCTCGCTGATAAGAAAGGAGTTCATGATGGGGCACAGGGGGTTCGTATCCCTGGGCCAGAACTACTTCAAGACGTCCGTGCTGGAGCTTGCGGGCGAGTACGCCGGCGTCGTGCCGGACCTGACCATAGACGACTCCGAGAGGCTCAAGCGCTCAAACAGGCGCATGTCTGCCAACATACGGGAGCTTGAGGCCAAGGACACCCGGATAGACCAGCTGGAGAGGAAGGTGCGCAACCTGGAGGGGCTGCGCGTCGAGGCCCTCGACATGGACAAGCTCCTCGAAGAGGCGAGCATGGACATGAGGGTGGCAACGGAGGGGATCTGGGTGGGGTTTGGGGGAATTGCGCATAAGATCTATCATACACGCCGAGAAAACGCATTCATGTTAGTCGATATTCAAATGTAATGTTTTAGCGGGTTTTAATCTAGACCGGTATTTGCAATTAAGCTGTCCCTGTCATACTGAAGGCCGCTGTCTTTTTCATATATCTGTGAGAGTATATCATAGCAGTGTATCCTGAGCCTGAGGCTGTTTATGTGATCAAGACCTCTTCCATGCTTCACATCATTCCTAAGGGAGAGTATAATCCTCATCTTGTGTTCGAATACCTGCTTATCTATGAAGACACTTTCAAAATAACTCTTCCAGTTGTCTTTTTTTTGCGATTATCCTCCATAGCCATCAAAATTAATGTAATGCCACACCTCATACGTCGGCTTGTTCAGTACGTCTGACATTTTTTTGGCGTCCTCGTGCCTCTTGTCCGCGTGGTTCCTTATCTCCTGCGGAATGCAGGCCTTCCACCAGTTTTTTGTGCCAGAAAGCTTGCGCACCACGAACTCTCGTGTGGTTTCCTCGAAATAGTCCAGCACTTTAGAGTCGGTCGTCAAGGCTGCATGTGTCTTATTTTTAGATGTTAAAAGTATGATGCCGGGATTGATATTGTCCAAATTCTAGTTTTGTCGTCTCATTTTATGTCCTTTTGTGCATGCTGTAGCGACACGCCAAAGTTCGTTCCAAGAAAAATGCACCAGACCGAAAACTTTGTAGATCGCTTCATTCTCTGACACAACATGGGGTGAAACAGAGCGGAAAGAACTCAAAGAGGCATGCAGGAAGGAGAAAGATCCCATGGCGGTTGCAAGAATGCTCGCGGTGCACATGTACTCCTATGCGTAATCCCTCCAAACCCCACGCCGATAAGCTTAGATCAGACACGATCACCCCACACACATATGACCAGATGCAGCATGCAAAAGGCTAGATCATCGGGTGGCTCTTCTTACATCTTGTCCAGAAATTCGTGTATCTGGTCCGAGGCATCTGGAATCTTGGGATCCATGTCCTTCAGGGTGTCTGTGATGATCTTTCCCACTACCCAGTTGCGGTACCACTTGTCGTCTGCCGGTACCACGTACCACGGAGCCCACGGAGTGCTGCATCTTCCGAGCACCTGCTCGTACGCCTCCATGTTCTTGTCCCAGTTCTTGCGTTCCTCGTAGTCTCTGCTGCTGAACTTCCAGTGTTTTTGCGGATTCGTGACCCTCTTGGCCAGCCTTCGCTTCTGCTCGTCCTTGCTTATGTGCAGGTAAAATTTCAAGGTCCGCACGCTCTCGTCCCTGAGCATCTTTTCAAAGTTGTTTATGTGCTTGTATCTCTTGGACCAGCGCTCTTCGGGCAGGAGGTTGTACACGCTGACTGACAGAATGTCGCCGTAGTGGGAGCGGTTGAATATGACGATCTCTCCGCCTGCGGGAACCACCCTGTGAATGCGCCACAAAAAGTCGTGCTTTGCTTCCACTGAATTTGGGGCTTTGAACGACACCACCCTGCATCCCTGAGGGTTGAATCCTTGCATGACGTCGCGTATAGTTCCGTCCTTGCCTCCTGCATCCATCGCCTGCAAGACAATCAGCAGTGCCTGCTTGCCTTCTGCAAACAGCTTGTTCTGGAGTTCGAACATCTCCTCGTGTATCTGATCCAGCTCCCGCCTTGCCTCCTCCTTCTTCACTCTTCCGCCGCCTTTAGTGCTTATCTTGCCAAGATCAACTTTGGATTCAGGCTTGATGCAAAAATCCGACTCCTTGTATGTCAAACAAGAATATGAAGATCAAATGTGATATAAGCATGCAGTTGTACCCTGTTCAATCTTACCTATGTGCAGCGTTTTTAAAGATTAGCTGGATTTTTCCGTGTTGCTGGATGGCCTTGGCTAGAGGTGATACTCCACTCAAAGGATGGTCGGACACTTATCTATACGAGCACTATCACTCAGTACCATTCTTCATCCATTCATTAGGGGCAAGTCGCAGTTAGGTGACGAGCATGAAAACTCAAATTGAACACCGCACAAATCCCTAACCACAATCTCCTGACGTTCAGTCATGCGTATAGCGACACGCAAAAATTCGTGCAGTGTGTAAGCAGACCGTAAGGCTTTGATACGCTTAAAAATCCACTTATGGAGTCAAATCCTTCATGGAATACACTGTTTTCTTTTGACTAGTTGTGATCGATTCCAATAGGTGCTGGTCAATGTTCTGCACAAATTTATGATCGGCGCTATACCTGCCTGAATCGCAGGCGCACACTGCCGCCACAACTCCGAGGAGCATCGGAACTAAAATTTGTACTCTTTTCTATTTCTATCACCTCCTTTTTTCCGTGGCAGGCTGAAGCTGCAACCATCTATCAGGGCTCGAGGCCCAGTAACACAGCAGCTCGGACTGCCCCATTCAACTAATAGGTCTCTTTGACCATGGTACGTGAGGGGTCGGCCCGCCACACTAGGTGGATAGGAGGGGTTATCATGTGTTCAACTAAGTGCAAACCTTTCCCGGTTCATTCTTCGCGTATTTGGATACTAACTCAGATCTATCCTTTGCCGGATGCTGGCCTGTGCATTCGATTGTGTTCTTGCGACAGGCCGCACAGCCGCCCTGCCCCTACTCCGGGCTCTGGATCCTTGAGGTGCCGCCGTGAGCCGCAAGGAACTCCAGCGAGCCCTCGGCACACGAGCGAACCATGGAGCTGGGATCCTTTGTAAGCTCCGTTATCTTTGCGATCCCGTCCAGATCCTTCCTGTTTGCCAGAACCAGCGCAACAAATGCCCGTACATTCTTGCGGGGCGAGCTCAAATGAGGAATTAGGATGTCAGAGATCCTGTTGCTGTTGCTCATCAGGGAGCTAAAGGCCTCCCCCCTGACCCGGATATCCGGGTCGTCAAGCATCGGTATTATGGCCTCGACAAGCTGCGGCCTGTCCGTATCGGAGAGATCCTCTAAGACTTTGATCTTTTCTTCACGGGTGCCAGAGTCCAGTACTGCCATCAGATCGTCAACCGATCCGGATTCGGCATCAGTCTTTGCCACAAAGCTCACCCAATATTGCCAAAGGTCGGATCTTGAATTTAAGTTGTGCCAATGCGGGTCGCAAGACTCTGCGTGTATAAGAGTGGAGCAACAGCTGCCGTGCGCGATACCGGCCTGAGCGGGCTTGGCAAAATCCGGAAGGGACACACCCACGCAAGGGCACCATGGCAGAAGAGACAGATGCTGCTGCGTCCCGGGATGCCATGATCATGCCGCCTGGTGGCCTGTCAGAGCGCGTCCCAAGCGGGATCCGGCAGCAAGAACTACGACTAGATCCAGGCAACATAAAAAAACAACTCTGTTTCCTAATTATTTCCAGTCACGCCTAACGGCTCCAAAATCAGGCCAGACTAGACACGCCAACTGAATTTGAGCTTCGTATCAGGCATTTTCAACAAGAAGCCATATTGATCAGAGAGGCGTGCCGGTAGTCAGGCTGCGAAACATGACCACAAACACCTCCTCTCCGAATACACCCGACCCACATAATACTAAAAAATCTTTCAATCCGAAAGAATGCAGGCTCCAGTACGATGACCGCAAGTACATAGACCGTGGCCAGCTGTACGTGCTTCAGATAAGCATGGCGATCCTAAAACAGGGCCTGGAGGAGCTAAATCATGGAAAGGTCGGCCGTCCGTTTGGCTTTTCAAACGCATGCTTTGCGGCAGCATCCCTGTTCAGAAACGCCACGGGCATAAAGTACAGGCAGCTGCAGGGCCTGGCAGAGACAATCGTCGGCAGGGTAAACGCACCCACATACTCGGCATTCCAGAAGAGGATGACAAAACTCAGCTGCACTTTTGATGAGAAAGGCAGTGGCAATACGGCTGCCGCATGGTTCTCAGACGGCAGCACGAGAACCGAGATAAGCCTGTTTGCCTTTGACTCCACCGGGCTCAAGCCTACAAACCGCGGTGACTGGATGACAGCAAAGTGGGGCACGAGGCGCGGATTCATAAAGCTGCACGTGGGCGTAGACACCAAGACCAAGAAGATCTATGCCGTGGTCATAACTGACGACAAGTGCGGAGACTCCCCACAGTTTGAGGAGCTGGTGGAGCAGGCTTTTGCAAATGCGGAAAAATCGCCAAACGTGGATACGTCCGCAGACACCGGAGTCGCAGCTGACGGTGCGTACGATACCAAGAACATCCGCAGCTACTGCAGCGAGCGCGGAACCAACCCGCTGATTCCCGTCCGCATTGATTTTGCCGGAAATGCAAACGGGTGCATGCCACGCAAGGAGGCAGGATTCAGGCAGCTTGGCGGTTTTGACCACATAGACAAGAAGACAGAACACGGGTTTGCAGATCTTACGCGCGAGCAAAAGAGGGAGCTCCAGAAGGCATGGCGGAAAGAGTCAGGATACAACGACAGGTGGGCAGTCGAGATCGCCTTCTCCACATTCAAACGGGTCCTCGGTGAGTGCGTGAACGCACGAAAGTGGGAGAACGTCAAGACCGAGATATACGGCAAGGTGTGGCTGTACAACCACCTGATTGACACGGCAATCGACAACTGGTATGGCACGCCAAGGGTGGTGTGCCCGTCTGTAAAACCGGCCCCGAAGACAGCAAGACAGGAGGGGAGGCAGTGACATAGACAGAGTCGCACAGGCGGGTGTCTGTGTGCCGCATAATTAGGAAACAGAGTTAAAAAAAAACCCGTACTTTAAATTATACTGAAGCTGCAAACACCCTAATGTCTACCGAAGCAAGAGACACCATCTACATAGGCAAGAAGCCGTTGATGGCGTATGTTACATCTACGCTCATTCAACTGACTAGCTTGCCGGCCGTTAGCATCAAGGCCAGAGGTCTGAGCATCGGTCACGCAGTTGATGTGGCACAGATCATATCACGCAAGACCGGGAGCGCCGGATACTCCATCGGAAGCATAACAATTGGCTCTGAAAGTCTAGAGTCAAAAGACGGCAAAGCAAGAAACGTATCCACCATCGATATCGAAGTAAAGAGAAACACCTCTTAGACACTCTTTACTTGACATTTTTTATCCTAGACCGAGCCGTACCTCTCTTCCAGCTCTCTGAACTGGGAGAGATCCACCAGATCGTTGAACTGCTCAAAGTCCACCATGTTCCCCTCCAGCTTCTTGGTGGTTCCAGACAGCCGGAGCTCCCTTAGAACGCCCATGGCGGCGTACGAGCTTGCAAACAGGACCGACAGCGGATACAGAATTATCTTAAATCCCATACTGTAGAGATCTTCTGCAGAGCTGATGGGCGTCGCCCCTCCCTCGATCATGTTTGCAACCAGAGGGGCCTTGATCTCCCGTCCAATCTGTTTCATCTCGTCTATGGATCTTGGAGCCTCGATGAAGATCACGTCTGCGCCAATCTTCCTGTTCTGCCTGCCTCGCTCTATGGCGGCATCTATGCCCTCAGTTGCCCTTGCATCGGTTCTGGCCACAATTACAAAGTCCTCGCTGTCCCGCGCGTCAACTGCAGCCTGGAGCTTCTCTGCATATTCTGCCTGTGGGATCACCTCCTTTCCATTCATGTGTCCGCAGCGCTTGGGCCAGCGCTGATCCTCAAGAAATATGCCCGATGCCCCTGCGGACTCGAGATCCCTTACCAGCTTCCATACGCTGAGCGCGTTTCCGTACCCGGTATCCGCATCCACTATAACCGGAAGCGAGACGGCCTTGCAGATTCTTCTCGCGTTCTCTGTGGTCTCGGCGGCACCTATGAACCCATAGTCGGGCATTCCAAAGAGGGTGGCGGACGTCCCATAGCCGGTCTGGAACATTGCATCAAACCCCACCTTCTGCACTATTTTTGCGCCCATGGCATCGTACACTCCGGGAACGACCAGCGGGCCGTCCCGGCGCAGGATCTGCTTTATGGTCTCCACAGACTGCCGCGGAACGGGAGTTATTTGAAGCTTGAGTGTTTTTGCGCGCCGCATGCCACCGGCTCCGGACCGGCAGAGCCGGAGCAGACCGGATGCAAGTGATGACAGACACGGCCAAATGCAGAAGCTTGGCCAGTGCGCGATCCCCGGCTCGAATCTGCAGAACCTGATACGGCAGGTCGGCATCTGCTGCATCCGGAGGATCGCGCAAACACACGCGCATGTTGAAAAAGCCTAAATTGAGCACGGGTGGCATCTCACTCAACGGGTCTGTAGCGCAGCCAGGTAGCGCACCGGACTTTTAATCCGGCTGTCGTGGGTTCGAATCCCATCAGACCCGCTCTCCCTGTGGATTCGGGTTCTCCAGCACGACCCTGCCGTTTGGCATGGCGCCGACAAGCCTGAAGATCGAGTTGCTAGCAGTGCCCTCTCAGTACTTGGCCCCGCCCAAACATCCGTCGGATCTCATACCGCCGTTTCCGGGTTGACGGGATCGGAGGCTGCAGATTCGGAGAGTCCGATAATGGCAGATCCGGGCCGGCAAACATTCCCTCCGCGCCGGGTCTGACAGACAGCGTCGCAGAACCGCCGACCGCTTTGGGTGACCGGGCTGCGATCTGCCACAACTGCCATCAGGGAGGCAGGTGCCGTAACGGAGTCGTTTCGGGAGGCAGAACCTCGATCTGTCATACATCGTGGGAGATCCATAGCTTGCGCCTTCTGGGATCTCGGTCATCGGTCGACACCGTATCGTGCTGCCCTTGCCGCATGCGCGTTCCGGAACTACTCGTCACGCATGCGCATTTCTTGTCAATGCATGTGGATCGTTGGGGCGGCTCGTTGATCTGCATGTGTCAGGACTGCCCAACCTCCGGGTTAACTCTATATAAGATAATGTTGCCAGTTAACATTATGGTTACAAAGAATTTACACTTGGGACCCACAGAGCTGAGACTCCTGCTGGAGCTGGAAAAGGAAGAACGGCGCATCTTTGACACGGGGGATGCGAACCGGATTCTTGGAACCGGAAGGGACTCTGTAAATACGGCCCTCTACAGGCTCGGGAGAAAGGGCAGGGTAAGAGGATAGAGCGCGGAAAGTACATTCTGGTTCCCGCAAGGGCGGGGTACGACGGCGGGTGGGCCGAGGTGTCTCCTCTCATCGCAAGCCGCCTAACGAAGCCGTACTACATAGGGTTTGCATCCGCGCTAAACCACTGGGGCATGACGGAGCAGGTGCCGCGCTCCACGTACATCGCCACAACCAAGAGAAAGAGGAGAACGGAGCACGCATCCCTGAGGTTTGTCTTTGTTACCCTGACGGAAGACCATTTCTTTGGAAGTACCGAAGTGGCCATAGACGGGATGCCTGTCCGCGTATCCGACATGGAGAAGACGATAGTTGACTGTCTCCTGCATCCGGAGTACTGTGGAGGGCTTGACGAGGTCTCCAAGGGATTGTGGGAATCGTGGGAGGATCTGGACAAGGCCAAACTGCTGGAGTATGCGGAGAGGACCGGTGTCGGGACCGTAAAGAGGAGACTCCTCTACCTGCTGGATGTCCTCAAACTGAACGATGCGGCAACGGAAGATGCCTTGAAAGGGGTGCAAGGAATGAACGGCCGGGTGTGGCTTGATCCCATGTGGAGCAAGACCGCGCTCCGAATTTCCAAAAAGTACAACCTTATCATAAACAGAAGCAGTGAATCGCTTACTAGATGGAGGGGATACTGACTGATTAGCGGCAGTAGGATAAGAAGGATGGCCGGCGAGAGAGGCATCGATCCCTCAATGCTGGAGAAGGACTACGTTCTGGGCTGGATCCTCTATGGAATCTCGGAAAGTTCGATCGGGCAGAGGCTCGCTTTCAAGGGAGGTACCGCCCTTTCCAAGGTATACTATCCCGGAGAATGGAGGTTCTCTGAGGATCTTGACTTTACCGCACTTGACAGCTCCGAGTGGGACAGAACTGCGGATGCCCTGGGGGGAGAGGTGCCGGAGAAGGTAAGGGAGTCGTCCGGGATGGAGATCGCTCTGAGGCCCAAACTGCACACCAATCCGAGATATCTCCAAGCAAGGATGCGGTACGTCGGACCCATTGGTCGGGGCACGGCAAAGGTGGACATAACGAGGGAGGGGTTCTTGGGATCCGTGGAAGACGTCTCCGTTCCAGCAGCATTCGACTGTCCGGAATTTACCGTCAGGGCCCATACTGTCGAAACCATACTGGCGGAGAAGATGCGCTCCATAATACAGCGGGGCCACGTCAGGGACTACTACGATGTGTGGAGGCTGCTGGGCGAGAGGCCAAGCCGAGGGGTGGCAGACATGTTCGTGAAAAAATGCAGGGCCGCAGGAGTGGACTATTCCGGTGTGGAACAGTTCTTTCCAGCGGACATAGAGGAGAACCTAAAGGCGTATGCAGATATTGGTCTTGCCAGACTCGCCGCGCATGATATGCCTTCCGTCGAAGAGGTGCTGTCAGAGCTCAGGGCGTCACTTGAGAGGCTCCTGTCTGCTTGAAGGCGCCAGGACACATCCCGGGCGCGAATCCCATCAGACTCATTTCCTGCCTTGCCTGTCCCAGACATGCCTCTGCCACACCCCATTCCTGGTCTCTCCGACTCCCGCTGCCCCTTGACGGTGGAGCCGGATTCGCAATATGTGATGCGGCCATGGTATAATAGCGCCGAAGGCGCATTTGATGGCAGTTGAAGATGGACTCTCCGACAGCGCTGGGAATCGCGGCGGCCGCAGTGTTGTGCACCTTTGCGGCATTCCTTGCGTACGGTTCGGGAGGCGTTCCAGATCATGTTCCACAGGAGGACGGGATCACCAAGGACGGGGAAGCGCTGCTCGCCATGGTAGAAATGGCGGACGCGTACAGGGACGGCGGGCAGGAAGGACGCGTGCGCCAGAGTGAGCAGGACGATAGGCGTTTCCAGCAGAAGTTGGGGGGACGGATGGTCCGCGTATCGTATGCGCGCGAAGCGCAATCGGACTCTGGCGTGGGAATAAACCGTCGGCACAAAACAAAGAACAGACAATCTGGACTGGGTGAGGGGGGGAAAACCGGGTCAGTGTGGGGTATGCAAAGGGGGTCATGCGCAACAAAGAGGAGGGCTGGAGGTCTGAGGAACACGCAAATAGACAACGACGCTGCCACGCCGTCGACCCGTGAAGAGACGCTAGGGAAGGAGTGCGCAACCAACATGGTTACCGGCGTCCGGCGATGCGTCTCGGCCCGATTAATCGGCGGCTTTACCCGCGGCGGGCATACCGGCCCACCTTGAGAAGGTGCGCGGGGCCGGGTGGTTCATGGCGTGTACATGGAAAAGTACTCTTCCTATACGATCCAGATGCACCTGAACGACGAGCGGCCCGAGCTCGGGTCTCTCTCACGTACGGCACACGGCAGGCCGCCTGCGCAAAGCGATGGCGGCAGCGCCACCACGTACTTCCACGTGGACACATGCACCGGCGAGGTGATCGATCCGGACAGCTACCGGCTGACCCGTGCCGCGACGGAGGGAGCGACTATGTGCTCAGCACATCAAACTACGACGACACGGTAGCGAGCTTGGAACTGGAAGAGTTCTGCGACATACCGCTGGATCCGTGGCGCCAAGATCTGTACGATTACTCCGTAGAGGAAAGCGAGGCAGCATGGGATCTGCTCGCAGAAGATCCGGAAGACTACGAATCGTTCATGGCGCGCGAGCGAGAGTTCGACCAGCTCAACTTGCTGAGCGAACTGGCGCGCATGGCATACTCCAACAACTTCGGAGACGCGGAGATCCAAGAGCGCATGCTGGAATACTGCGGCAGGTTCGGGCCCCTGCCGGAAGACTTGGCGGATTCGATCTCATGGAGGGCGGCGGACCAGGCAGGAGCCTGTCCGCGTGCTGAGGCGCGCCGGCACCCTGCCTGCACGGGACGGTGCCACAAATGGGCGGCACGATACCGGGCGGGCCACAACATCAGGCCCATTGAGCGCGACGCTGCCGACACCCCGCCCGGAGGCGTCTTGTGCCGGAGCCTTGAAATTTCCCCGCATCCACGTGTGTGGCATGTAACAGGCGCACCAGGCCTCCTTTGCTCCGGGTCGTGGTGATCCGACCCGGAGCACATCTTGCA